TAGGTGTACGTGACTTTGTTGGTTTTTAACCAACGGATAGAATTGGAAACGTTTTATAATCTAAAATATTCTTGTTAAGAGCAATTTGAAAGTGAGACTTCGAAAACACAATGTAGACTCTAGCCGATCCGATCAAAGCATGCATATCATTTTCATATAAAAACAAGTCATGGCTAGCCTTAGAATACCTATAGCCTGATTACTCAAATATTTGGAAATTCAACGAGTAAAACATGAATCCCTCTAAAGATATATCAGTAGATATAAAATTGGTTTGATGTGAGGGAAAGTACATATGGTACATCACGATGCAAGCTTCCATAAAAGATGAAGTTCTATAAAATACATGTTTCACGTCATCAGCGTAAAAATGGCAGAATGGTTGATGCAAATGCTCTGTTGAAAATGAAAAAGTATGGTACTGAGGTATAAAATGAGAGAACATGAATGATAAAGGTGGGTACTGGATCTCTTTCGATTTTTATTCGATTCCCTAGCACAACCATGTTGTAAGTCTTGCGAGTTAGTTTAAAATATTTCTATGGTACAATTTCTTGTAATTTTATTATAAAGAGGTTATTGTAAGTTTTTATGTAAGGGGTTATCTTAGAAATCGCTGATCGAATGCCCAAATTTCTTTCACAGATATATAGCTACAATATTCTCAAGAATAGGCTATAAATGATACTTGATTAGCATATTTTCGTAGAGATATCGCTTTAAACGCTTTTTAATATCCCGGGTAAGTTACTTGTATACGCGTTCGAAGCCGCGGGTGGAAACTAGTCGTAATAGTAATTACAAAACAAATACGAACCGTTTCTTTGGTTAAGTTTTACTAAGTCAACAAGAATATTGTCTTCTGTAGAGTGAAGATTTAATGGCCACTTAATAAATTGTGCAAACAATATCAACGAAGAGAGTTTAAAGAAATAATTTATCTAATTAATATTTTTTGTGATAGTTCGGCAAACGTGCTGGCAGATTACCTGATGGTAAACAATCAGCGCAGCCCATGGACAACCGAGAGCAACAGAGAACCCCACTCATACGGCGAAACACGACGCTGTGGTAGTTTCACGCTGGTTTTCTGTGAGTCCGTGCTCCGGTCGAGCCGACCCATTCCTGCTGAAGCATGGATCTCTCACACTTGAATGATCAGCATAAATATCAAGTACATATTTATATATTTTTTTAATCGTTGTATCTTTTATACTCGTTATAGTTACTTATATAAAATTCTAAATCGTAAACAGCAGAGTTGAAAATCGAATAATCAATTTCATTTCTCTGAATTTCACCCTATGCTTTTTAAGTGAAAATGATTGACCTAGATAAGCCATGACAAACACGGTATAGTGAATTATTAATTATTATGTAAATGTCGCAATTACTTCAATCATCGACTTATCTGTTTACCTAAATATGAATAAAGGGTTTGTACTGACAAAGTAGCTGTATGACCTATTTCTTGCATTATGTGTTACAGAACATTAATACTTATTATGTAAGTACGTTGGTGTATTTTTATTTGTTGTTGAGGCGTTTTCAGTTTGCGCGCTAGGTAAGCTCTGCGAGTTATGTAATAAGGTATAATTTTCATTAACTTAACTGTAAATAAATATGATACCTATAGACTCATCGAACCTTGTTTACTTGTAACACTTATTTTTATATCGATCAGATCCTCTGAATCTCAGTCCTATATATATTATTAGTATTGTACGAAAAAAATTAGCTTTAATTTTATACAATAAACAAGTATTACCGACCACGTAATCATAGTTATCACTATACAGATTTGACAATTTCAGTGTTACAACGTTATGACACGTAATAAATAGTGACGTTGCGAAATTATTCGATATGGAAATTGAATATTTCTGAATCGATTCCTCTCGTTTATAAATTTACTCTCGTCAACTAAGTTTATCAGGAAATAAAATATTTCTGAACCAATAATTTAGTTTTGACAATTCAGGAATCGAATTAAAATTCTGACTATAGAATACCAAACGTTATAGATAATCAACGCTCGACCACCAAAAAGTCCCGATATAGGGAAAATTTCTTTAGTCACACCAAAAAAAAAGTAGATTTGTAAACTTTATACACCTACATAAGATATGTATCTACGACATATAGAGAGGGATTCGTGACACAAATCATTATAGCGATGTGACAATAAAACGCGACGAATAAAAGTCGAACATCATGTCTAAGTAACACGAGTTATTTTCAAATGGCCATAATTTTTATGAAAACAATTGTTTAGTGTGTGAATGTGAAATAACAACACGCCTTGTCGTAATCTAAATGAAAAGAGACATGGTTTTGATGGGGAACACCGTTAAATGACTTCAAGAGGAATTGTCAGACTTTTACTGACTGAAAACCCTCCCATACGTACCCTTCTTTTCCCCCAGGCACAATCTGGTACTGCTCCCTCAGCAGGACATTAGAGCAGAAGAAAGAACGGGGCGTTATTAGTCAGTAAGAGCCTGAAACTTCCTCTCGCTATACCCTGATATATAATTCATATTTTTTTTTAACTTGCAAGAAACTAGTGCTTGACTGCGATCCCACCTGATGGTAAGCAGTGATGCAATCGTTGATGGTAAGGCGCACTAGATTATTTAGAGCCTATTCACTCTAGCCTTGAAGACACCTAAATTGTATTCGGACGGAGAGACTAAAAATAATGATCGCAGTCTTAACTATTGAACATAAGGATGATAGTTCGATTCAATGTAGGAATGACAAAGACAGTAAAGATACAACTTTCCCAGTGAATGCCAGAAAACCATTACCAAAATAGAAAAATAGTTTCATAAAACTCATGACTTATAATAAGTATATAATGAAAGTAATATGTAAGTGGTACTTAAATTTAAACATCAGTTTAAGTGACAATAATTACACGGTAAAGAGTAATTGCATTTCCTTTCAGGTGTCCATTAACTCTTCTATATATGAGAACAGGTTTTAGATATAGAAGTTTTCTCCTGTATCGTAGGTGGAAAACCAATGTTAAGAGGCCTTTTACTCAGAAGGGCACTTATAAATATAAGACTTGATCATTAATCACCACGCTTGCTCAAACTGGATTGGCGATTTCAATCTTATAATTGGACATTTTTAGTCAGTCTAGATAGGTAGTAGTATAGCTAAGATAAGTACTGACTAAATAAATTTAGTACACATAATTCGGAATAAATTTGATTGGTACTCCTTTGATTTCGAACCCATACCCTTGTGCATGAGAAACGGGCACCTTAACCCCTGGGCTAGCACGACCACATATGTTTAGTTACTCAATAATTATGTTTTCCTAGTCCACATTACATCACATTCAAACAGAAAAAACAAATTGTGGAGTTGTTCCGTACAGGTAAAGAACCCGCGACACGCTGCGCAGCAGATTGTTGCTCGGCCACTGCGCCAAGGTAAGAAAAATGACAATGTTTTTTATATGTATGTTGCGATAATATTTTTTTGTCTTCTTAGGTACATTTTACCTTATGTGATCTTTATGTAGATACTTATTTGGTTTTCAATAAAAACTTACGCCAACTGAAGACTTATAGACTTTTCTGATGATGACAGGTCTGCTGGCGAAGGTTCTTGGCAGATATCTCTCCGCGTTTAGTTTATTACCTACTTAATACATTTAATAAAACTTAAGCCTTTGTTTAATGTGTACTTAACACATAAATGTACAAATATTGCACGGTTAGCGCGATGGCTGGGCAACTGGCTGCCGCGCAACGTGTAACACGTGTCGGATTCGATTCCCGGGTCAATGAATGTGTGTGTATCTTTATTTTTTAAATAGGGTTGTAGTTTTGGTGTACGGCATGTCATATGACATATTTTTTTTTAATTATTTTATTTATTTACTTCTCATACCTAAGAAGAAGAGAGATGATGGGGCAATTCCAAACTCCTCCTTCTTAATGTCCTAAGAATAAAGTTAAGTTAAAACCTATTTGTGTACACAAATAGGTTTTAAATTTTTTCATCTAGCCTTAATTTTGTACACGAAGTTATTATAAAATGGACCGTATTTCCACAATACATTGAGGTCAATATTATGTTTTACCATCTTCAGTAACATATGGTCCCAATAAAATAAATTGTCTATATTAACCTTCAGTACAACTATACATACAAAGCTATTTTATAATTATGATAATACAACTTCACGCTTATCAAAAAACCCATTATCGAACGCATTCATCATCGAATCGATAAAATTAATGGTTACATAGTACTATGAAAGATAAGGTTGAGTATACTACTATCAAAGTTTAACTATAAGTTTAGGTTAGTACCAGTGTCTTTGCACAAGATGGCGAGATGCTGTACGTACCCAAGGCGGGACAGCGCAACCAATAACGATCTCTGGTAACGACTCATAGTTTAAACACGTTGTATACATAATAGTTACTTCATAAATTGTAACATTTATTAAGAAATATGTTCATTTCAGAATTCTAGCGGCGACAAATTAAAAATAGAGTACCACCAACTACCAACCATTTTCTATAATCATAATAGCACATAGTCGATGGTCACAAATAATGATCGATTCGACGGCCCACTTTCATATGACCTACAGATTGATTACCCGCCCTTCAACGTAACTTCACTAATTGCTTAGACAACGTGAACTTTTCAATGCTCACTTCTTCGATCAATTAATAGTCCACGATACTTTATTAAATACTTTCACAACTACAGGTAATTAAGTAATTAGTTACAGTTAAAGCAGCTTAGGACGTCAAGCTTGTCAATGATAGGGCATGGGTCGTGTTAGCTACAGTGGGTTGCAACTAATTAATGGAAAAACTACGGTTAATAGAGACACTTGATAACACAAACTTAGGCTAAGGAAAGATGGGAATCAAGAAGAAGCATGATTTAGTGAAGCATTAGTGAGCGGGGTCGTCGAACGGCGTCGGCGTCCGGGCCGGGAGGGGCGACGGTTTCGGCGCGCGCTATCGATCGGATCGCATACCTTCCTGCGGCCGCAGCAGAGCATCCTCCGAGCGCGCGACTGTCCGCCCGGCGAAGACTTCAACCTGGTAAGTTTTCGCCACTGCATGGGTACCGGTTAACGCGGCGCTTGCGGGAGCGGCCGCGGGGCCGGCTGCTCGCGCATCGCGACGCCGCGGGCTGGACGCGGCCGGAGCGCGCGAGCCTTCCTCGCGAAGTGCCCGCCGCACGCCCGCGCCTGCGCGCTGCTCACCACTCCGCCACCCTCTCGCCCCCTTACTCCTCGCGATTAATAATTCCGGCTACGCTGCCAGTGCGTATGTGGGTTAGTTTTTTGGCGATCGATGCGATTATTCGGTGCGAGCCGCTTCCGGTCGCCAAACCATCGCGGTGCACCCCGAGACGCCAGACGACCTATTAATCGCTTTCTGACATCACCCCTTTAAGTGTCGCGTTGACGCTATAGGTGTCCTTAATGCTTACCGTGAATATAGGTCAGGCGCATAAGTAGTATAAAATCACTTAACATGCAAGGAACGATTATGTGCCCCACTGAACTATATTGGCAGTCTTCAGTGTAATGAACTGAATGCTTAGGAAGCTCAGTGAGGTATATAGACTTAGAAGCTAAATGATTTTCGACTCGATAAGGCAGATTCATTTTACAATTAACTACTCCTCGATCTAGGCATTATCTCACTGTTCTAAATTAGTCTAGGCACTCTGTCATAGTAACATCAACAGGTATTAAATACTTTACCATTCCTTGAGTCACTAAAAGCAAAATAACCTACTGAAAGGTTCGCAGTCTAAAATTGTAAATAAAACCATCACATCCCAGTTGAGCATAATAAATTCATCGCAAAACGTTCTAAAGCGCCAATAATTAAGGGTATAATAATTACGTACGAGGGCTAAAAGTCAAACGTGTTTGGACTGATATTAGCCTACAATACGACGGTGAGGGTTACATCCGACCGCACAAAGACCGGTCTAAACCACACGAGGCCCTCCCAGCCCTCCGAGAGGGTTGTACAGCCCAAAAACGAGCTTTGAATCGTCCGGACGGATCACTTTCGTACTTAGGAGCAAATTAATGAAATTTCACTAACGTTTTTCCCGTATGTTGTTTTCCCTATACGGGATCCGTTATCGTGAGGCGATCTGGGAAAATCTCTTCGAGGAAAACTCGGCGAAATGACTTGATAACTTTGAATGTTATCTACTTTGTGAGATATTGTGCGTAGCTGCTTTGAGTTGAATTGGCAATTGTGAAATATTTATTATGCTATTTGGAAAATATGTAAGGTATATTATTAAATCGAACTTATTTTTTTAATGATCATTGTTTTTACTTTTTTCAAGAATTGACACTTTAATTAATAATTTATACATATTAAATCAGTACAACCTAGATTGTTATCAAAGTTTTTTTTCATATACATGCAATTGAGTAGTTTCCCAAAAAAGACACACTTTTTTATACAGGGGAAGGCAGACTATAAAGTATCGATAGACATGAATGCACAAAGATAATGATAACGACAAAACCTTCGTCAATACCTTAGCTAAAACACTATTGTTTATACGTGGTACTCCCCTTACTAAGAACATTGACAGTAAGAGCTAAGCATTCACCCGAATAAAGGATATTGGATTAAGTAAGTACTTATGCCCAGTTAGCTGCAGGCGTTTCCTTAACACTTACAATGAATGCGCTGTCCAGTCTAGTCCAAATTACTGTCTTTTTTTAAGTAGTATACTGTTATAAAATGCATTAATGTTGTTGTATAATTTAGGAGTCACTTATGTTCAATTAAGCAAGACGTTACTAAGTAAAAATGCCCCATTTTATCTTATTCTCTGTGCAGGGCAACGGTATTTCATTGCGCTTCACCCACAACCCAGGTAAGCAACGGTGACTACATACCATCACTTTATAAGCTTTGTTGGTACTGTAAGTAATATAGAAAACACAAGACTATTTAACGAGGCGGACCTAAGACGCAAAAACATTTTACATCGACCGAAAAAACATCAGAATCTGCATAACAAGGTCACGGGTCCCTAATTCCAAAATGGCGTGGTCCTCAACAGAATTGATTAGGGCAATTTCGTAAATTATATTTATTTTAGTTTCACCGTTTCATTGGCGCGATGTGGCGAAAGCCTCCGTATCGAGTGTTGACTTTGTTTAGAAATAATAAAAAGAAAATTGTTGTTAGCCAAAGGAAATTAGGGGATCCATTCTTGGTTTTTCTGCTATTGAGATTTTGTTTACTTGTCAAAAACAACTTAGATGATACAAAAAAACTCACTTATATTTTAATCGACTTAATTGATCATGTTTAATGTTCTAATATTAGATAAACGTCAGTTTTTTTTTTATTATGAATATTGCAATAGCTAGATTTAGAAGTACTTACAGTTTTACTTCAAGCCTGTTCTATAAAAACTTATTAATATTTATTAAATGAAGCTCGGACAGCTCAAAATAGCTACTTCAAAGCTAAAACAAAACTAAATATTGATAGTTTATATGCCGATACTAGGGATATGCCGCAATAGCTGCTGCTTAATGTAACGCCTGCTGGATTTAGCCACTAGGGCGGTAGTGAGGGTAAGGGTTCCACAATTCTGAGTCGTTCTTCTCAAAATGCTAGGGGCCTTTTGAAGACACAGCTTTCGCACAGTAGCTGGGCAACTGGCTGCTGGGTTGAGGTGCAAGCCCAACCTCGGCAAAAAGCAGAAGGAACAGGGGTTTTTAGTCAGTAAGAGTCTGATATTCCCCTCACACCTAAGTCGTTAGATGATTTTCCCCTCACAAAAAAGCTGGCAACTGGCTGCTGTGGCTGATAAGCTTAATTCTCGGACGGAACAACACTATGTGTGATCCAGAAATCGTTGTCCCGGGTTAGTATGTTAGGTGGGTATTGTATGTGTAAAATATTTATAAAAACTCGACTCCACGTACTAAATCATAGTCGAAGTTTAAGATCGGTGAAGTACGTCTGGACTTTCTAATTGTAGATTTGAAATCGCCAATCTGCCATGAGCAAGCCTGGTTATAGGCGGCTCAAACTCAAAATGGCCTCTTTATTAGTTAACACTTAAAAGCAGCTGACAATGTTGATGATGATGAACAAAAAATAACACTGAAACAGACTTTATTTTAAGCCTAGTCTTTCCTAAAGTGTCTCCAAGGCAATAATTTTACTAAGTCGACATAAATTCACTGAACGAGTGTAACCAATTTTTGCTCTAGACGGGAACCTATTAAACGATTATTTGTCGGTGTTTTACCGCCTTCTCTGTCGACAAGCACTTAGCTACACTGTATTGAGCATTTTACGACTATAACTATGTATGTACAAAATATATTTTGAACGAGTCTGGTCATAAGTGACTACTCTGCTCCCAAGCATAGTCTCAGGTCAAATTCTTTGTTTTTTATATTATAGGGCCTCAAACGAGCAGACGGATTACCTGATAGTAAGCAATTAGCGCCGCTTATGGATACCCGCAACACTAGAAGAATTTAACCTTATTAGGTTTTGGAATTGGGGAAGTATTGGGTCTCTGGTAACCTCACTCAAACGACGAAACACAACGCTGTGATTATTTCACATCAGTATTCTGTGAGGCCATGGTATCACTCCGGTCGAGTCGACCCATTGGCACCGAAGCTTGGCTCTCTCATACTTAAATTTGTTCGGGAGATAAAATGTTTTGTATACAGGTATGAAAATAAATATTGATTCAGTTTAAAGTTACCTATCAGTTATGTAGCCAGTTGGTTAGTTCAGTACTAAAGGAACCAATCACTTGTTACACGAAATATAAGGCACTTTCCCTATACTGAGACAACTCTGCCGCTTGTACTATTCATTGTGATTGGCATTGTTTGTGAACTATGGCAGTGGTCGTCGCCTATAACCTACTTGGAGCACACCCATAACATAACTGACGAAAATTAGTGTAATGTCTGCATCAGGGTTTGAATCTTCTTGTATACAGAATATTCTATGTTATGCCGAACCTACTTAATTATTTTTTGTAATAGTGTTTATACTACAACCTTGCAGTTCAAAAACTTTATTCATTTATTTAACCTGCCACTCATATAAAAAAAATTTTTCGGTCAACTCGACGGAAAGCTACCGCCCACTGCTGTCCGTGGACGTCAACGTCGCCAAATCGTTGCTCGCTATTAGATACTGATTCACTATAAACAAAATCCGATCTCGTATAAACCTTTGAAACTCAGCCATAATAAAATGGGAACCGTCACAATGTATTTTCTTTAATACTTACCATTCTTAAGGACTCCTCAAATAGCTGGAAACCAGACGTGCAACCACCTCGATTAATTAATTAATATCTACCACTTAATAAAGCGTAGTAAAGCCAAGCTTCGGCACAAATGGGCCGGCTCGACCGGAGTGATACCACGGCCTATTGGGAAACTAGCTTGAAACAAAGCTTGTATTTTATTTCGCCTTGTGAGTGAGGGTCCAGTCCCTAAGTACAATAATTTCACAAAACCTCAAATTCTTTAATTCCTAAAATCCTCCAAAACACCAGCAACTCTGTTGTAACTCCTCTGATGCTGGGGGTGTCTGTTTAGGCAATGAATTGCCGATTGTTTACCATCAGGTGGATCTTTGATATGACGCTTACCAAAATATCATATAAAAAATGGACCGTCATATTATTTTCTTAGACAAAGTAGTGCTCCATATTTTATATCTCCATTAATAACTATCGATGTTTAAAATACAAAAAAATATCAGAATTCCTCAATTAAAAAAAGTCATTGACATAATGGTGTTCATTATAAAGTTTACCTAACCCTTCAAACAAAAACATCACCGGGAAGCATATTAAAAAATTCGCAGTAAAAAGCATGACACATTCTGCCATTCTGCACCGTCCGATGTGATAGAGCAATTGCGTATAGGTGTGTCTCAATAATTGGCCAATTTCAAACCAATTTCGTTTGATCCATCTTGATAATGGTTGATTGACTTTTCAATGGAGTTACAGGAACTATTATAAAATGGTAGCTAGGTAAATGGTTATTGATTACTTTGTGATAGTTTGTGTGTTTAGTTGCGATAATCAATGTTTCATGTGGTTTCGTGATTTTATTTTGATGATGATTAGGTTGTATTTAGTTCGTAGAATAAATTTGAAGTGGTGACCGTAGAGTGTAACATGTTTGTAACACCACTTCTCTTGCTGGGGGTATTTTTTTTTTTTGGTATTGTAAGCGTAAGTGTCGGTTAAAGGACCCCCATTGTCCTTCAATCAACACACGTGACTGATACCTGTCAGTAGAATATTTTTTTTGTTGCACCTGAAGTTCTAAATTTTTGCTTTAAACCCGCCTGGCGTACCTAAATTATGAGGATTAAAGCCGACTAGTACTTTTTCTTATATAGAGGAGACTTTGATCCCTTTTTTATAATTAGAAATATCATCCGATGACTAAAATCAAGCTGTTCGATCTCCGGCTCCAAACCAGGCCGTGGTACGTTATTGTGATTGCCTACGTATACAACACATCTGCCTTAGTGGGCCTCACCTGTAGAGGTCTGACAACTATTACGCTTGGTTCTGGTTCTGGTCCACGCTTACGGTGGCCGGAGATAGTTTCTTGATCCCCAACGTCCGTAGCGTCTTCTGCGGCAGCTAGGGTATGAGCATTCCAAAGATCTATACTGAATTGTCCTGAGCTATTACCCTTACGAGCTCTCGGGATTATGGTGGTAAATCAGCTACAAATCTGCAAGTATTAAGGCAACTATGGTACCTATCTTTAAAAGTTTAGATTCGATTTTTGCACTAAAACTTGCCTCAAGAATCGGATCTATAATCATCACTCGATATCAATCAATAGCTCTCGAGATATTTTGAATATCGTGCGCTAAAATTCTTAACTCTTATCACTACGTAGTATAAAACAAAGTCGCTTTCTCTGTCCCTATATCCCTATATAGATTTTGATGCTATTTTTTTATGGATTATCAATTAAACAGTGGAGAGATTTAGCACCAGCTTTACACCCATGCGAAGCCGGGACTGGTCGCTAGTAGTACATTTACATTTACGAATTTTGACAGTCTTGACACCTAATGACTAGAACTTTGTTCTAGAGTAATAATAATAACATATTTATGAATTAAAATTATTGACCTAGAAATATAATGATACATGAGTAATGTATTCATACGACATAAATTAGATATCAGAATGAAAAATAAATATTATGTCCAGAGTTCTGACACATGTATATCTAGGTTAAAGATAAGGGTATTAAACGAATTTGACCTTATTTCTACAAATAGTTTTCTTTGTCGATATATTGAACTTAACTTGCATTATGAAGTTGTAAAGTAAGTCTTAATTAACAGTGAGTAGATATTTATCTTTATTTGCTTTTATGTTAAGTAAGTACTTTAAAAAGGAATGATGATTATTAAAATACGTATTCGTTTTTTTTACACACGCAAAACCGTTCGATAGTGTATTCGCATGTTTTATAGAAAACAGAACTAACTAACAAAAGAGGGTATTTAAAAATTGAACCTTATTATTGAAACATATTTTGTTAGATTCAAATGTCTTCTTTTTTTGAGTTAGGCTTCTTTTGTATTCAGCATACGATATATATAATAATTTGAAATGTGGTTTTACGTCACGTATTAGTATCACTTAATATTTAGTCCTGACATTGTATTCTGAGCGGTAACGGAGTGACCTCCAACTCTTAAACTTTAATTCATTTTATTTAAGTGTTGTTTTTTAATGCGTTATTTTTTAATTTTTCATTTTCTAAATGTATTTTTAATATTCATCTTCCCTTATGTGAAGAGTTAGATTTATTGCTTGACTTATTTTATTTTTAACTAGTTAACCTATACCACCTAAAGGTCTAAATGTTAGTAGGCAGTTCCAATCAAAAGTATAAGATATATTATTATTTAATCAATAGATATGGTATAAATCATATATCAACACCATATGTATGTATATGCTCTACATTTTTATCATTTCACATGGACATGATGCCCAGACACAGAATAATAATAAAACAAGCAGCGGTACCGTGCATCACGATTCTTCTACACCGTAGATTAACACAAAGAGTATGGACCTACCTTTTATCCAGACATGAAATAAACTCTTAATAAACTAGTGCGCCTTACCATCAACGATTGCATCACTGCTTACCATCAGGTGGGATCGCAGTCAAGCCCTAGTTTATTGCAAGTAAAAAAAAAACATAATATTATTAAGATCCGCCAATCTTTAAAATCTATCAAAAATAAAAATCTTTACAATAAAACACAACACTCAATCCACGTCAATCATTTAAATAAATTAAAATAAACATCCTAAAATACTTAGAAATAAATGTTCATTAAACTAAGGACATTTTTCGACGCACTCATTAGTGATGGTATCCCTGAAGGTCCCAGGGTTGCACCAGCAGTCGCAGTAGTGTCGTCTCGCCGAATGAGCACTTGGAAGACCACAGATAACTTCGAAGGAGCAGTCAGGGCCAGGGTCGTATTGTCCTGGTGGACATTTTGCTGTAATTTTAAAAATGTTTATGTTTTATTCAGTCAGCCAAGTCAAAACGTCGTGGTGGTCCGGAGGTTAAAGAGCCCGCTTCTCATGCATAAGGGTGTGGGTTCGAAGCCTGGCAAGTACCAATGTGACTTTTTACAAGTTATATGTACTTTTTATGATTATTTAGACACCACTGACATACGGTGAAGGTAAACATCGTGAATAAACCTGGACTTCTAATTTCTAATTATAAGTTTGAAATCGCCAACCCGCATTGAGCAAGCGTGGTGATTTAATGCTCTAACCTTCTCCGTATGAGAAGAGGCCTTTGCTCAGCAGTGGGAACCTATAGGCGGATGATGATGATGATGATTATTCAGTCTTTAAAGGAAAAGGCTTTCTTACCTATAGGGGTGATCTAAGAAAACACCTAATAATATATTCTTTTACATACATGAGAATCATAAGTATCATAACATATTTTATAACTAATGAACGGTGGGCGTATGTAAAACAATGGTTACCTCTACGGGGATAAAAGGCGTGATGGTATATAAAAAATATTTTAACAAATAAGTGTGGGAGAGCCAAGCTTCGGCACGAATGGGTCGGCTCGACCGGAGTGATACCACGACCTCACAGAAAACCGGCGTGAAACAACCACAGCGTTGGGTTTCGCCGTGTGAGTGAGGTTACCGGAGGCCCAATCCTCATAAAAACATTAACACCTTCCCAATAGTCATAAAAACATTAACACCTTGCCAAGTGTGTGTGCATGTTAAAGTTAACTTGAATACTGATTTAGATACTCAGTAACACACCACGATTATTGAATTGAATAAACACAATCAAGTACCTAATCAAAACTGTGCAAAACAAACACGAACAACAATACAAAACAAAATAAAAAGAACACATCTCCAGTCTTTTGGAAAAACCATAGATACACGTAAACATTAGATATATATATATATATATATATATATATATATATATATATATATATAAAACTGAATTGCTGTTCGTTAGTCACGCTAAAACTCGAAAAGGCTGGACTGGCGTGGCTTAGTGTGGTCTTGAAATATTCCTGGATATACAGGGAAGGCTTACAAGAACTGAATAAATAAAAAATTGTTATATTTGAGGCTGTACGAAGTTGGCTTGGTCAGCTAGTTAAACAAAAGAAAATAAAAAACATACTCACCATTAGACTGATGTAAACTAATACCAATCAGGAACAAAACAAATAAAACTGTCAAACTCCTCATGTTGACGGCACACACACACAACAACGAATGCAGTTTATCACAACACATCAACTGTTTAAATAACTTCTTCACCTTGATTATCTGTGCCACTAATTTGTTCAACTAGAACGTAAAAATTATACATCTTAGACCAATTATCTTACACTGTGTACAAGCATTTTATTACTTTAAAACCATCAATTGTTTTCGCACTATAGGTACCGTTCTTGACTGACAAAATAGGTCGCATTCATAGATAGGTATATTTGTTTAATTTTGATAGTTCAACAAAACCAACTACGTAGATTGAATTTAATGAATCGTTATCAATATTACCTACCCACTATTATGTTCTTAGAAACTAGAATACTTAATAATTTGTGGTAGGTACCGCAAAACCAATTTGAAAACGATTAGTTTCAAGCGATGAGATGAGACTGATTGGCTCAAACACGATTCTCACGTGTTATATACAAACGTAATATAACAATAGAAGTATATAAGTACGTATATGTATATGTATAGGTATATTCATGTTTTTATGAGGTCGGTTATAATTATTCTATTTTGGTCACGTTACGTTGGATGTTTCTAGGCGCAAAAATTATGCTTGGTTTTTCCACTGGAGTAAAGAATAAAGAAACATTGTTTTGAAGAAATAAAATCTCAGTAAGTATTAAAGCTAATTAACATAAAAATATTCAGCACATTTTTATTTTTTGTTCCTTTGTATTATCATCACTATCATACGATTACAAGTACGTAGGTACTTATATAGTTAGTGGTTTCCTTCGGAATTGAAGTCCAAGCGCCACGACATAAATATGTAGTTGATTCACTACACCAGCTTTACCTCAGAAATGACTTCTTAATATGTTACAGAAATACAATTAAGTCATTACATTCCTAAGAATCATTCAATCTACATCTTTATCTCAAGCCTTCTGCAACCAATTTGGTGGTCCTCCTTCAATCCTAGACAATAAAGTTTTTTTTTTGTGGGAGAAAAAGCGTCCAATGTCTTTTTCCGCTTTGTAGAGGGGTAAGAGGGAGTGTCAGCCTCTTACTGACTCAGAACCATATCATTCCTTGTCTTACTCCAAGTCGGGCCGCGACACAGCATTGCATTTTTGTCTTACAATCATTGATATCACGTCCATCTCTTATTTAATTAAACACTTTTTGCACAATAGTTGCACAATAGAGGACTTATTCTTATCTGTATTTCGTTAAAAGAATCATTGAATATCTCATAGGACCTGACGTCACACATCAAGGAAACAAGTAAGTCACCGATGCAAGTACAAAAGACGAAATAAAATGTATTGAAGAAACTTTTTGTATGTAGGTAATATATATGAACAAAATGGTGTTATATCATAATAATGACTTCTTTAATAACAATAAATTGTACGGTTTGTGAGCACATAATTACAACTCTTCAGTCATTGTTATACGGTTTAGGAGAACGAGGGTTTTCTGAGTTTTTCGGTCTAGTGACCAATTAATTTGCCAGGCATAATAGAACCCACGACTTTTTATAAGGAATCCGTGTTCTGGTATGTTGCAAAAAAACGTGTAGATCGTTAATTGAAGAATTTAATTAGTTACCTACGGGCAAGCATCTGCCTGTTTACCGATGTTTGAGTATGATGAATCATATACTGTGGTTTTTGGCTCCAAACTGGTTTAAAAGTTATAGTGTCATTTACAGGAAAATATCTACACATATGAATGAGTATGAGCTTATGTAAAAAATTAAGGTTGATATTAATCAGTGTATTTTTGTTCATTGTTTATTATATTAACTTAACTCAGCAATGTCTTTGTATAAGTTAAAACATTTTTAACAATGTTAAAACCTATTCGAAACCTGGCAAGTACAAATGTAAGTTTTTCCGATTTATCTATATATAAGAAGTACCTACTTTCTATGATTACTTAGACACCAGTCCAGTGACATACGGTGGAGAAAAACATCGTGAGGAAACCTGGACTAATAAATTACAAATTATAACTTCGAAATCACCAATCCATTTTTTTAGCAAGCGTGGTTAACCTTCTCCGTGTGAGAAGATGCCTTTGTTCGGCATTGGGCACTTATTAGGCTGATAATGATGATGATTTGATACATATATGTATATGTTAGATGCACAGGATACATTGTGAAATAGAAAAACACAATTGTTATAAAATTAATGCTTAAATTTAATGTTAACATCCTTTAAGGTCGACACAGGCGTTAGTATCCAGGTTTCTATAAGTGCCGGGTATACACCAACAATCGCAGGTATGCTTCGGGTACGCGTGAGAGCTTCTTGTTGAACATGATGGTTCCAAGCCACAGTTAGGTCCAGGGTTGTATTCACCAGGTGGGCAGACCGCTGTAAGGAATTTTGTTTAGTTTTATTTAAATTGCTAATGAATGAATAATAAGTCTTATGGCGGATTGTAATATTTCATTGCCGTTTAACTTACTGTTACATTTGAAACGTGGCGTGGGCCAAACTAACTATAACTTTATTGATGTTAAACCTTTAAAATGTACCTAAGCTTTTAAATGCAGATTAACTGGTGGTAGGACTAGATTGATATATCAAACTAACGTAGTATATATTTTTTTATGTAATAGGTCGGCAAACGAGCATACGGATTACCTGCTGGTAAGCAATCAGCGCCGCCCATGGACACTCGCAACGGAGGAGTTACGAGTGCGTTGCCAACGTTTTAGGGATTAGGGATTTGGAAATTTAGGGATTGAGGAGGGATTGGGGGAGGGGAAGGATTAGGCCTCCGGTAACCTCACTCACACGGCGAAACACAACACAGTGGTTATTTCACGCCGGTTTTCTGTGAGGCCGTGGTATCACTCTGGTCGAGCCGGCCCATTCGTGCCGAAGCATGACTCTCCCACACTTATATTTGTCATGTGGGCCGTTTTCAACTTCTTTTTGGTATAGGAAGATTGAGCCCTTCAGGTACTTTTAAGGGCTAGGCCATACTCAAAGACTCACCACCTATGCCTAGCTATGCCGATGAAGATTCCTTATAAGTTATTACCTACTTATTATTAAACTACAGTGTTCCTTCATAAGTTTTATTCTAAATCGCATCATCATATTCTAAGAAGTATATTTCTTGATTTCTATTTCTATGAATTTGTTTTCTATATTTGTATAATCGTCACAATAGGGGTGTATTGTTTAGTAATCGGAATCGTTTTACCCTGTTCACTTCACCAATTTTATCGCAATTATGGTAAAAGGAAGAATTGCGAGTACCTAAATGGAATGTTTACGACCAATAAAAAGATAAAGATTGAATATTACCAGCAGTTTTATCACAGCGGTATCCGGTATTATTATTGGAACCGGTAAACTTTGGTAATTGGTGTAGGTACTTACTTACATTTCGACAATCAGCCAGATATTGTATATTATGTAGGTACCGAAGAAGTTAATTTTTTAATCATGTGATACCTAATAGTTTTCAGGTGAATGTCAATGAAGGTTAGCATTTTTTTGTAGGTCAATGATCTTATTTCTTTTAAATTGAGTTAGTTATACTCATGGTTACTCCAAGTTGATAGATACCTACCTACATATGTATTGTCATCCCAAATTATATGAAAATAAATTCTAAATAATCACCTATCTTTTTTTTACCAAATCTACTACAACGATTTGAGTTTTGGGACATAGTACTTTTAGCAAACAACGGCGGTATTAGGAGACTCCGCGCTTCTATATTTATTTGAAGTACCTAGGTATACCTACAACATTCACTACAACATTTTATTTAGGTAAGTAGGTACCTACTGAAATTTTAATTCAAGTTAGCGTGGTGAATGATTTGATACCAAGTTTTACATATTAAAATTGGTGGATTGTATGAAACCCCGCGATGTCAGGTAGGCAAATATATTACCTACCTATGTTTCGTTAAATTACTATCTATTTATAATAACTATTACAAATTACTATAAGATGGGTATCCTAAGTATCTAGGTATTACCTATATGATGAAAATCCTATCCTCAAGGGTCATGCCCCATTTATCTAGTAACTAATATTACTTGTTAATTAAAGACACGTGCACTTATCGGCACTAAGTATAAAGCTATCCAGTGGATACTTACCTACATTAGTTGCATTAAATTTATATACCTACTATAACCTATATTACCTATATTGCTTAGGTAAATATATATTACTTCAACGCAATATAACCTATATTGCTTCTGTATGACTTATTAACATCATGGTTTAGGGTATAATTACTAACTACTAAGGTAGAAGGAACGTGGTGGTTTTTAGTCAATTAGAGCCAAGACCGCAGACGTCATTACATGATTTCCCCCTTCGAAAAACTGGGTATTGATATCTTGTATCTACCAGCAACCGTGTTCTAAGTTTTACCTAAGTAGGTATACCCAGCTTCTCCGCATGGTCCCCCATGCTGCCCTGTTTGGTTGTTTCATTGTTATATTGATATTTGACTTTGTTGAAAGGATTATAACAAGACACGATTTTTTTTTTCATAGATAGGTAACGAGACTTTCAAAACAACGCTTTCGCAAAATCTATATGAGGAACCTCTTTAAAATATTAGTATAGTATAATTTATAACTTTGTAGGTTTGTAGATATGGAGGGAGTTATCTTTGGAACCGCTGGACGGATTGCCAAAATTCTTTCACTGATAGATAGCTACAATATTCCTGAGTGCTATAGGTAGTAGTGCATAAAACATCACGCTACGATCAAATAGAACTGAGCAGCGGGTAAAACCGCGTGAGAATGGCTAGTATAGGATATTAATATACCTAGACGTTTTTATTCGTAAGTAGATGTTTTTACTAGGAATATCAAACTAACTTAACTAGCTCTCAGCTGAGCAATAAGTAAGTAAATTGTAAAGCAAACCCAATAGTTTGAATTAAACTTGCCCGCCTTACAGCAGTTACTTGCTAAGTGTAAGTTTCTCAGCAAGTTAAGTTATCTGCTCTGCAAATATGTACCTTAAAGCATTGTAGGTAGGTACGTCAAGTTTGGCGCCACTATACCATATTGTCTAACGATTGTTAATCTCTATCAAGTAGGTAACAACTTGGTATCTCGCAACTTCTAAACTTATTTAAATATAGAACTGTAGAAAACTTTACAGATTCCTACAAATTTTGTACTTAGGGACGAGACAATTTGCAGTACTTAGGTAATACCTACGGTAGTTTCCTACTAGTCAAATTCAATACTTTTATCCAAATGTCAATAACGATACTTTTCTATGAAATTTTTATGAAACACTGATTTATGACGTCGTAGAATTTTTGGGTCAAACAGCTAGCTTAAGTATTTATTTTCTTAAAAATTAGCTAAAAAATATCTAAAATTTAGTGTACCTATCGATCGATTGATAAATAAAAGTACCTATACCTAGTTATTGTTCAATATTTTATTGTATTTATCTAAACGTCAAATTTTTATGTGAATGATCACAAACACGTGGACTATTGCTTAACTGCTTTATCCTAAGTAGGTGCCTAATTTATATTATAGAGCAATAAGAGCAATATTGATATTGATACACTTCGCATCAGTATTGCTAGGCTAATTCTCGCAGGATAAAATAATATTCTTTCTAAATTACATAGTACCTAAACTACACAAAAAAAAGTATTTGCTAACCACCTACCAACTTAATACTGTAACTTCAGATTTCTTTAAAATAGGTGTAAAAAGGTTTCATGTCATTTCGGCTATGGCGACCGTTTCTTCATGAACCTACTGGCGTCTCCCACGGGACTAGAAAACCTCATTTGTTTATCACTAATCATATACCTACCTACTTAGCTGTGTCTTTAATTATAACTTCGCATACTTATTTTCAAAATAAAGTATTAAAATATTTAAACACAACAGATGTCAAAGAAAATAAATGAGCCTAGATAAACAGGGAATCACTATCTTATACTTATAAAAAAACAACTTACCTAGAGCCAAAGCCACGTTAACAATCACAAAACACAACACAAGCTTCGAAAACTTCATATTTTCCATGTATCCGTGTATGTTTTGAGTACAATGCAAAATACAATGCGATGCACCTTTATAAGAACTCTAGAACTATCGATTGAAAAAATACAATCACAACCGGTCCGGTCACTGCTCATTAGGAATCTGTTTTGTTTTGTTTTATACGCGTACCAGATAAAGGGTTATAAGGACGAGTAATTATGTGTTTGTACTGTTAACAACAAAAGTGTTCGGGAATTTAGGTCATTAATGACTTAATATTATGTGCGACTTAAAATCTTCAAAGTTATTAAGGCGTAATTTGTTCAATCGCTTCTTGCGCCGTTGTTGGAGTGAGAGGGAGAGTCAAACTCTTACTGACTAAGAACAGTAAAGCCAGGAAAGTGGTACCATATTGCGCTTACCCCGCGACCCCGACTGACCACCGGTCTTTGTGAGCCCTGTATGGTGTGATGATATTTGAGGCTCGCGCAGAAGCGACGGTTTGGTTCTTGTCACGCTTATAAAGATACTTATTACTAGATTGTGTCTACCTTCACAAGTAGTACTTAACAAATTTAAAGGTACCTACCAAAAGGTAGGACAAGAGACGCTTAGGTTTATACTATAGGAAGTACTATGTAAATCATAATTAGGCGATAGGTCTACAGTCTACAGTAGCCATTAAGCCAACTACAATCTGCAAAAATCAATCCACAATGAATATTAGGTAGGTACCTAGGGAGGTAGGTAGGTATAAATTATATTAGATTATAATAGTTTTTGTCGGAGGATAATCATCTAATACCTTCTCTCGTCCAGAGTACATAGGCGAGAGGGTCTTACTGACTAAAAACCCCCTTTTCCTTCTCCTGCTTCAGGCCGAGGCCGAGGTACGTTTTTGCGCTTGACCCGCAGCCCAGGGCCCAGTAATAAATCAGCGTATGATTCAATATTCTGTTATGTTTTAGTTCTAATAAGGTATTGCAGGTGGCGCTTCAGTCTTGCAATAAACATTGCTCCAAACACACGTGCCTTTGATTTAATAGTGGCGACGAGGAAAAACAAAATGGCGGTCGGAAAAGTGCGGGAATTTGAAATAAAATCAGGGAATTGGTCATCGTATATCGAAAGACTCGAAATGTATTTCATAGTGAATAAAGTGGAAGATAAGCTTAAATTACCTACTTTAATTTCATTTATGGGAGAAGAAGCATATGATCTTCTATCTACATTAGCCAGCCCATTAAGACCGTCAGAATTATCTTACAATAAGGCTGTCGAAATATTAGCTGCTCATTTACAGTCTAAACCATCTATTGTGGCTGAAAGATACAAGTTTCGACAACGACGTCAACTTACCAACGAATCTATAGCGGATTACTTACGTGACGGAGCTTAAAAAACTTGCAAAATTTTGCGAGTTTAAATCTGCCCTGGATGATAATCTTAGAGATCAGTTGGTATGTGGCCTGAGTAGCGAGATGATTCGACAAAAATTGTTTGCGGAGGAAAATTTACCATACAATAAAGCGGTCAGTCTGGCGTTGTCATTGGAGGCTGCAGAGCGGGACGCGAGTGCAGTGGAGCCTGGCAATGGGGAAGCAGCTGAAGGAATACACAAGCTGAACCTTTACAGTTGTCCGAGATGTGGCGGCAAGCATAAATCAAACGATTGTACATTTCAATCCTATGAGTGCAGCGGGTGCGGTGAAACAGGACATTTGAGAAGAATGTGTCAAAGGATTGCAAGACGGGAAGAGCTGGCGGATTCTGCCAGTGGTGGTGGTCGGTACAGATCATCATCATATTCGAGGGGGAAACGTGTATCTGTTCGCGGCAACGGCGGGCGCGCCACGGTCGGCGGGGCAAAGCGTGGGCAGCGCAATACGGCGAGAGGTAACGGAACACGAATGTTCTACAAGCAAGACGAGGAGCAAGATGAAGAAGTGCACACTGAAAGCATGAATATGTACTCTACGGACGTTACCGACGAGTGCGACGACGAGCCTATGTATCAATTATCACTAAGCAATTATAAACCGGTGCGTATATCTGTTAAGGTTCAAAATCACTTACTTAAAATGGAAATTGACACAGGTTCAGCATTGTCGTGCATTCGAAAAACAGTGTATGACGAATTATTCAGTGATTTGCCTTTAAAAAAATGTAATTTAAGTTTAAAATTCTATGATGGTTCTATTATTCAACCTTTAGGTTTCATAGAGACAACTGTTTACTATAACGGTGTAGTTAAAACTTTAGATTTGTATGTTTTTAATAAAGGAATTACTTACGAATTTATTAGGTCGGCAATGGTTAGCCGAACTCAAAATACCGATTAAAGTGTGTAAGGTCAATTCGTGCACCAATCATATAGTTAATCATCTTAATAATGGATTATGCAGCAATCATATGATCCAAACAATTGTTTCTAGACATGAGTCCCTGTTTGATGGTACATTGGGCACTTTTACGGGCGGTGTGGCTGAGTTGAAGGTGCGAGAGGGAGCGGTGCCTGTGTACTGTCGCGCGCGTCCTCTACCGTATGCGCTGCGTGAACGCGTCGACGCGGAGCTAGACGCGATGCTAAAGACCGGCGTCATTGAGCCAGTTGATCACTCCGACTGGGCCACTCCACTGGTTGTGGTACGGAAAGCAGATGGCGGTTTAAGAATTTGTGCCGATTACAAGGTATCCCTTAACAAAGTCTTAGTGATCGACAGATTTCCGATTCCGAAGATGGACGATTTATTTAGCGAACTTAGTGGAAATATGTATGTTATTAAATTAGATTTGTCGCAAGCATATAACCAGGTGGTTTTATCTGAAAGCTCTAGAAATTACACAGTAATTAATACACATAGGGGTTTATTCAAATACTGTCGTTTAGTTTATGGTTTATCTTCGAGCCCAGGGATTTTTCAAAAACTAATGGTGAATATGTTCAAGAACACACGCAATGTAACCATTTTTTATGACGACATCTTAATAAGGAATAAAGACCTGCCTTCGCATTTAGAATCTATAGAAAAAGTTTTAAAAATTTTGGAGTCAAATGGATTAAAAATTAAAAAAAGTAAATGCGAGTTTCTGGCTAGAGAAGTAAAATATCTTGGTTATATCTTTGATAGGAGTGGTGTACGAGTAGATCCAGACAAAGTAAAGAGTATTGTCACTATGCCCCATTCAACAAATGTTTCTGAGCTAAAATCTTTTTTAGGGATGGTAAATTTTTATGGGAAGTTTATTAAAAATTTAAGCATGCACCTAGCACCGCTGTACGAACTTTTGAAAAAGGGGAATCATTGGAAATGGGGTCCTTAACAGAATACGGCATTTATACAAGTCAAAAAATTTTTGTGTAGTACTAGCACACTCGAGCATTGTGATCTGAAAAAGGAATCTGTTTTGACTGTCGACGCGAGCGCGCGCGGATTAGGCGCGGTGCTGGCGCAGCGCACACCCGGCGGCTGCGACGAGCGAGTAGTGGCGTTTGCCTCACGGTCGCTCACGGCTCACGAGGTACACTACAGCCAAATTCATAAGGAGGCATTAGCGATTGTATTTGCTGTTGACAAATTTCATCAGTATTTATATGGAAGGAAATTTGTACTGCGTACAGACCACAAGACGCTTGTTAGTATTTTTGGATCATATATAGGTATACCAAGTACCTACGGCGGCCAGTCGTCTGCAGCGTTGGGCAATTAAACTATCCGCTTACGATTTCACGATTGAATATATTAAAACAGATAAGAATGCAGCTGACGGTCTATCTCGATTAATTTATTCGCAAAAAAACGAGGTAACATGTGAGGAGATTAAACTACCTGAACAAACCTATTTACATTTTGCAACGGAAGCTTTGCTCTTAGATTACAATGTTCTTAAAAAGGAAACTCGACGGGACCCTATTTTATGTCGGGTTTTAAGTTATATAGTGGATGGGTGGCCGTCCGAGGTCGAAATTAAGGAACTAAAGCCATATTATAATAGAAGACGAGAATTACCTATATTGTGAACTAGGTTGTATTATGTGGGGTCATCGGGTAGTTATACCACCATCGTGTTATAAAAAAGTCCTTCGTGAGCTTCACGACTCGCATATGGGAATAGTGAAGACTAAATCACTTGCTCGAAGTTATGTGTGGTGGCCGGGCATAGACGAGGCTCTGGAGGCGGAGTGTCGCGCGTGCGGCGTTTGTGCTGCTATGGCCGACGCACCACCCGAGCACGCTTCTCACTCATGGCCTTGGCCTTCGCGACCTTGGTCACGGTTGCACATCGACTTTTTGGGACCGATATCGGGAGTAACATATCTTATTGTAGTCGACTCGTGTTCTAAATGGATTGAAGCTATTAAAATGAATAAAACGACTGCGCAAGCTGTCATTACCGTATTACGCAAACTATGGTCGCAGTTTGGTCTTCCGAAGCAAATCGTTAGTGATAACGGACCACCATTTACGAGTGTTGAATTTCAGAAATTTTTGGAACATAATGGTATTGAACACATCTTTACAGCCCCTTACCACCCATCTTCGAATGGTGCAGCTGAAAGCGCAGTCAAAATTTGTAAACGCGCGATAAAAAAGGCTTTAAAAGATAATTTAGATGTTGATATAGCGTTATCCAGATTTTTATTGACATACCGGAATACAGAACATACTACTACTGGTGATAGTCCAGCCAAAATATTACAAGGGCGTAGTCTTCGTTTAAGGTTAGATAATTTGAAGCCGGAAAGGGAATTTCGAGTAGCGATACGTCAGGCACGTAGTGAGTACTATAAGGGGGGTTCACAGCGTTTATTCGAGACTGGTGCTCAAATTTGGTATCGTGAATATAGGAGCTCAGATAAATGGCAACCTGGTACAATAATTAAACGGTTAGGCAACACAGATTATTCTATAAGAACAAGTTTCGGTACGGAAATACACAGACATGTCGATCAACTGAGACAAAGGGTTATAGCCAGTAACGTTCCAAACACTACAGTAGGGTTAGACATACCTACAAAATTGGAAATAAATCAGAAATCACGCAAGTCTTTGGCCATCCCCTCAACCAATGTTGAGGTACCAGACGGCAGTGAGCAGGAGCGTAATATTACAAATCCTGGTATTCCAAGGAGCCCTAGGTTGGATTCCGAAACAGGCCCAGGTGTTGTCACGCCTACAAGCCCTCAACCTGATTCGAATGTGTCTAATGTACCATTAGATCAAAATAAGACGGCTCCTAGCACTGGGGTAGGAAAAAACCGTCCACAAAGATTTCGTAAACCACCTGTTCGGTATGGGTTTGAGGAAATAGATTAATAATAATTTTATTTTTAATCAAGTGTAGGTTACTGTTACTAAGGTTTTTTTTCTTGTTTTTATTGTTGTTGTGTTGTATGTTAATTAACATTTATATTAGTTAAATAAGCATGTACCTAGTTAAGTAAGACTTGTATGTTACTTATAGTTTTAAGTTTATGATAGTTAATCTAATTGTTAGTAGAACTAAATAAGGGTGGAGGTGTTATGTTTTAGTTCTAATAAGGTATTGCAGGTGGCGCTTCAGTCTTGCAATAAACATTGCTCCAAACACACGTGCCTTTGATTTAATATATTTCTTTCTTTTTATCTCACTTTTATAACATTATAATACATATTATGTACATGGGTACCTAGAAAACTACAGTATTACCATGCCAATATATAGATACACGCGGGTGTCTATAAGTACATGCATCCCTCGTCCTTATTCTCATAACCTTGACACAGTTACCTACTTCAAACGAGAAGATGGGATTTGTACCTCCTTATATGTATGTATAGCTAGTAACTTTATTTAGCAGAACCCAGAGGTAGAAATCAGCAGCCTAATAAGAAATTAAATAAATTAAGGCTCTTCACATGATTAGTGTGAAAAGCAGACTGTATAAATATAAATAGGTGGGTACTTTTAAACACCTTATTTCCAAAAAGTGGTGTTTACATACTGACAAAAAAGTATCTATTACGTTTCTACCTACCTATTATCGTATCATATCATATCTACTACCTACCGGTAAGTTAAAAATATTCAAATAAAAGCAATTTCTTTTAAAGGTATGTTTAACCTAGGCCGCAAAAAACTTAAGCGCCATCATGCTACCAATAATAATACTCTGGCCGTCGTGAACCGAATGACTACTAAGCCATCAAGTAACTAAAAAATATATATACTACAATTGTTTAGTATTATATTTATGTAAAACCTTTCGCAACTACCTAATAAAATAGGTCAACATTTTTATTTTTATGTATTACTGCAGTTTTGTTTTTATTACTTGCAGGACTAGTTAAATAGGAAAAACTAAAATGAAATCATAACGGAGTAGCTCATAACTAGTATACACAAATATAAACTGTATTTCATTGCAGAACAAGGTTCATTGTCAATACCTGGGCTTTAGGTGAATGTTAATTGTTTACTCACACAATAAATTAAATGTTACCATAAAAAAAACATAGAATATTAGTTCAGAGAGTAAAACAAAACGATTTTTTTTAATTAACTTTTCATGTTTATTGAATTCAGTTTCATATTTAAATTTCTGAGATACATTGATGGTCTCGATATAATTATAAGTACTTAAAACACTTAAATACTTTTATATTAGGTACCTACTTATGGATGATTTTATTTTACTACTCATATCTTACAACACTACATTGCTTGAATGCAACAGTAGTAATTACTACAAGTATTACAACTGCGAGACATTGTTTATATGGATGGTTGTAACTCTTTCATACAAACTATATGGCTTTAGACTAGACCATAGTATGGAATAGCACAGGCTATTTTATAAGCTGGTCAGGTGATGTGATGGCAGAAGCTAGTTAAGTAATAAATTTTTAGCAGTCATACTTACTGGAGGGCACTGCAATAAGCAGTGGACATATTGTAGCAGATGTAATGATGATAGAATATTGTGTATATGTAGTTTCAATGGTGGAATAATGAATATTATAAAGGATGATACCTTGCCATATTGTCAATTATTGATATCTATAGTATGAACGACTTTTACAAACAATAGTTACAAATGATATATGCCTATGAATAAAATAATTAATTACAAATGCAGAACTGATGTGAATCAATTTTTAACCGACTTCAAAAAAAGAAGGAGGTACTTTTTTTTTAATCATATTTTTAAGTGTCAACTACCTAGTACAATTAGCTATACTAATGCCCAATTGCCCAATGTACAATTTCTTGTATATTTGAATCAAAACTAAAAACTTAAATAGACTAGACTAATAACCAGTCACTATATCTAATATATTTTTGGAAAACACATACAAGTCTTTCTCAAATTATAATATTGTCAGTTCTAAAGTACTTTAAAAGCAAAAAATGTCTACTTACAGACAAAGAAACAAGCATAACAAACACTTTTCACTGATTTTATTTACAATATTCTTAAGCTATGTATTGAAAACTTTAATACTAAGTCCTAAGTACTATTATTATGAGCCATTTCTCTTTGCAGTTCAGCCCAGGGATCTTGCAGCATTGACGGATGTATATAAGCTTCTACATTAAACCTTTCTTGTTGTGGACTGTTATTGGCATTATAACTAGTGTTACTAGAATTGTTCTGAAATTAAAAAAAAACACTGTATTAAGGTTTTATTCATTTTATAGGAAGTCGGAGAGAAATTGTAGTGATACCTAAGTAATTACAAGTATGGTGAAAAAATATTCAAGTAATTGTTTTTTCATTCGATCATCCCATGATAGACATTTTTATACGAAAATTTATGGTAATAGTGCTTTGATTGGGTGTAACTCGTGTTAATTTAGCTTTCAGTACTTAACATACCATGTGGTAATATTGTTTTTTATTTAAAATGACAATTGTTATGGAAAGGTCAGTATTTATAACATTCCAATTCTGAATGAGTGCTATAATATTTAGCACGTTGATCACTTTGTAACTTCAATTTCGGCCATTAAACAGAATGGTGAAGACAACATTTTGTGGCGCCATTTCGAGATGTGATGAACCTTTTTGCTTTATACGGAAAAATCAATAAAAGGTACATTATCAATATGTTTGACCGTAAATTATAAATATATCCAGTTAATACTCACTCCAAAGCTATTTCGCGAATTAGTCCAGCTATTGTTGCGGCCTCCACGATTTCCACCACCACGACCCTTATATCTTGAGTTTTGACTATTATTCTGTTGCCATCGGTTGTGAACTGGAGTACTTTGGTTTAAAGGTATAAAATTATCGGACATTTTTATAATTTCCCTAAACAAGTTTTTAACATACAAACAAAACAAACGTTTCTATGTTTACAAAAAGTACGAATGCATCACAAATGTGACAAGTTTACAAAACGAAAGTCAAAGTCAAAAATGACGTAATACGTAATGTTGCCAATTAAACAAATATTTTAGACTCGACTATTTTATTTTGTTGATGTAAAAAAATGAAAAATATCCATCAAAGTATGTCAGTCATTTCAGAGTGAAAAGAATTATATAAAATACGGGTCAAAGGTAACGCAGGCAATGTTTTACAAGCATAAAAAATATGTAATCTTGTTGATATCTTCCATTAATTCAATTTTATTGAAACATTTTGTCATTCAAAGTACTTTAATACCTCTCATAAGTTAAGAATTGTGTATACAAATTAAAGACGTTTATTCAATGCCAATATTAATAAATTTCTAGAAACTAATGGATAGTACTTACTAATTTTAGGTTTTGGTCATAAAAATCAAAATAACCAGAATAAACTGTAATGGTAGAATTAAATCTTATGTGATAATGTTTTAAACTTTTAACAAAATTAATCTAATGAAATTGTTTAGTATACTAACGGATTTTTACTATTATGGTACCTGTTAACACTAAGTAATACTAATTCACATCACTTCCACACTGCTGTCAAAAATTTGATCGAACGCAGGTTTTTGTTCGGAATTGATTAAATCTATTTTCGGAAGAAAATAACAATTCTTCTAATATGATTCAGTGAATGTTGTGTGTAAAATTTGTTGAAGCTGGCGGCGTTCGGTGCAAAAATGTGGATTCCTACGAAATCACCAAAGATAGCTGTCGGTAAGTTGTATTTTTTTTTAATCAATCAGCATTACGCGGTCCGGAAACATCCTGCCAATTACAGCGGAAACGAAATAACATGTTATGAATTTTAACTAAGAAAGACAAAAGTTATGAGAGACTCACCATGATATTTTGATAACATCTTAAAGAAGGATGTACTTGATTGGTCATTGCAACTCTGATGGGATGCACTGTTTGTCAACCAAGTCTGTTTTGCTTAGTTTTTGGCCTTGTTTTTCAGATCAAGAAGTTGTTTTTTGTTATGGCTATTTATAGAGTTAAACTTGTACTTAGTGTTTAAGATTATTTTATTCATAATAATTATTAGACGAAATTATTTATACTTTTTTTATTTAAATGTATGTTTTCATTTATTTTTCTGTACCTACTCTTCTGTCCTACAATTAATTGTTTATCTCTCACTTTAAGCTAATTCTCTACATTATACCGCTGCATATCCTACATGTTTATAAAAAATACTGCATAGTAGAACCTTGCAATTATTATACTCTGGCAAAAACATATATTTATCTCAATTTCATTATTTCACATATTAAATAGTAACAATACTGATTTTATGACTATAGCATCATATCTTATCTGCTACTGTTGATGGTTCTATTTACTGTTCTGTGTAAAGTTATGTAATTTACAAAGAATATAATTTTCATTCATAGTTAAACATTAAATGAAAGTATGTTTGGCAGGGAAATTTATAATGTTAATCCTTGGAAACATAAACTTGTATATTTGAAAACAATGCAAAAATCTTACTGGTATTTTATAATGCAATAATAATATAATTTCTCTTCTGTCATAAATAAGAATTATTTATAAATATGCTTAAGGTCCTTGGGAGTTAATATTGATTTTAGATTATAACTTTATTTGAATTATATTTAAATATTTACATTTCAGCTGTTTATAACTGGAAAGGCGATGTTAGGTCTGGATTGCCATTGGAAATTGGAGAGACCGTCCAAATATTGGAAGAAAATGGAGGTAAGTACATGTGTATGAATACTCCTTTTTTGATTTGAGAGATACACCCAAAATATGTTGAGAGATACACCCAAAATATGTGCTCTCTTCTTTTAAGTAGGTGATGAAACAACACTTCTTAAATTTATTACTTTCTCAGTAATTATGTGGTGGTTAAACATTATTTTCCCATACAGTTTATTAACAGACATTTTTGCCATCTATAGTTTACATATTATGCCAGTTTGATCAACTTGATTGTTGTTTTGTTGTTGTTTTTGTTTTGCTATATCATTTTATAGAAAAAAGTATCGGAAAAAGTTAAGATAGATTCAGGAATGGAAATCAGTTTCTTATAGGCATACCACTAGATATACACAAAAACAAGCTATGATTGAAAAATCTAAATAAATCTTAAAAATCACAAATGTTATCACTTTATATATTCTCGAACATTACATCATACAACTGAGTTTATATTCAATTATGCAAAAAGACATTGACACAAAAACATAACATGAAATGTTAATCAGTTACAAGTTCTTGTTCTCTTTAGTGCTTATCTATGAAACACAACCATTATAATGTACTAATTGTACCTAATTATTATCATCCCACAAACTAGGTACTTAGCTGACCTAAAGGAAGAGACCTAGCTCTATTAATTAATTTAGAATGTCAAGTATTAAATACTCAATTATAAGTTTATAATTACTTAAGTAGATGTTTGTTATGACTGATCTTAAATATATTTATTTGTTTTCTGTGCTTTTTAAGTGTGATATATAAAGGTACTAGTTACTTTTCAAACAACTTCAAAAAAAGGAGGAGGTTCTCAATTTGTCTGTATTTTTTTATGTAGACTTTTATGGTTACATTCTGTATTTTTTTTATGGTTACATTCATTTGTTTTTAAAAGAAAATGAAGTCATAGGAAGTACTGGTTTTTTTTATTAGTGTATGATGAAAAAGTTAGTTATTATTTGTGGCATGATATAAAAAAAAAATATTGTCTATTATTTTGCTAAACCAAAGTATTGGTAAATTTATTATTGCAATAAGTTACTCTGACATTCCCAGAATTACAAAGCTAAGTTTTATTAATTTACTTTACAATTTTATTTCTTTCCAGTCTGGTACAGAGGCTTCAGCTCCAAGAACAGGTCTTCATGGGGCATATTTCCATCATGTGTGGTGTCCATAAGGCCATGTATTGTGAAGGGGTCCGGTGCCACGGCCATAGCAGAGCTGAAGGATGATCCACTGGTCCGGGAGATTGCATGTGTCTTGAGAGAATGGGCCAGGTTGTGGAAAAAGCTCTATGTGGTAAGTCAGATTTTAAGTATTTACTAAAAATTAGTTCATGTTATTCCAGATTGTAATCTATTGTCGAAGAGTAAGAGTAACCAACATACATCCTCACACTTATATATTTTATAACTAGTATTTTATAGATTCAGTTTGATTCAGATTCCGAATATGTAATCTGTCTATCTAATTTTATTAAGATCTATTAAACTAGTAAGTGTATTGAGTAAGATTTGAATTGAGTACCTAATGAACACATATCTTATAATGGGAATAATAAGGATTCTATCTACTTTTTCTTGTATGCAATTTGAGTATCCAGACCTAAACTAGAATATAGAACAACTAGCTACTCTCGCGCGGTTTCACCCGCTGCTCAGCTCCATTTGATCGTAGCTTGATATTTTAGCCTATAGCATACAGGAACATTGTAGCTATCTTTCAGTGAAAGAATTTTGGCAATCCGACCAGCGGTTCCAAAGATTACCCCCTACATAGAAACTTACAAATTTTAACTCTTTATAATATTAGTGTAGAAAACTAGCTGCACTGTAAGACAAACGTTTTTATTACTTACTGTTGTTAAAATAATTCAAAAGACTCAAAAATAAATAAATGGATATATATGAGCAGCATTTATATACTGTAGGTACAGAATAAAAAGGACTCAAGTGTCGTTAATGTAGATCAGAGTTTGAGTTTTGTCTACAAGTACTTGTTGAGCAATGTGCAATGATTCATACTGTAATGACTGTAGACTAACTTGTCTTTGTCTGGTAACTGCAGTATGTTTGTGAAACTTTATTACGTTTTATTGTTTTATAATTACAGAACAAAATTATACTGCACTTGTGGTTCTCAATTATATTTACGACTTATCCTACTAATTATCGGCAGCCACGTTTTATTCAATGTTCAAATCGTTTTGCCGTGTTGAACTCCTGAATCAATTTATGGATTTTTAAACTAATTGATCATTGCCTTGATTTAAACTTATTCCAGGTAGTACATACACAGTACACATATATAGTTAAATATTAAACACTTGTGAGTTCATTACTTGAAATGTATTATTTATACTAATAAATTAAATGTTACGCAAACGCGGGATGGTGCTTGGCTTGTAAAGCTGAAAAGCTTTTCTGACTGAATTTTCTCCCGAATGAGATATTCATTAGATTAAGTTTTTTTTTATCAAGACGTCTAGCCGCCTGTGACATCACGCATTCGTAGCCTCTCTATTTCGAATATACCATAAACACAATTAACTTTCAATACGATAGCAAATAACAACATAAAAAACCTTCTATAAAAAATACTCTAAATATTAAACTTACAATAAGTCCTATAATTGAGAACGAACTTAATTGCTATCTTATTTAACCACGGCATTACGCGAGACAGGAAACTCGTCACGCGCCTAGAATTTCTATTGAGCTACGAGCCACGATTGAAAGTTGACGAGCAATAAATAACAATATATTTATTACAAACGTACAGCACATAATTCGCATATATTATAATGATGTTGGTATTATGAAGAAAAATTCCGTTTTCCGGTACCGATAAACAAAAATTATTAATGTGTGTAGTTTTTATTGAATACTAAGTAATTGTTTTATTGAGGAACGTTATTTTACTCGTTGATGCCTCATTCGTTGCCCTTTGAACGGTGAGGTTATGGCAGAATGCCTTCGTCACCATACTCTTTTCGTGGGTGTGGCAAATACTGACTGTATATTAGACAGAAATTGGACATCAGCACTCCTTCATAACTCCGGGGCTTCGGGGCAAGAGCAGTAAAGTACCGCATCCTCTGCCTAAAGCAGGAGAATCGTTCCTTCTCCTGCTGCTGGGTGGGTCTTAGTCAGTAAGAGTCTGACACTCCTACTCGCCTCAACCTGGGAAGACGAGAGAAGTCATTTGATGATGGTTTGGGTTTTCTTTAAGTTGGGAAAACTAAAAAAGCCCCGAACCTTTTAAACCCATCCGCAATCCACCAATCCTCACATCTCTAAAAACCTAAGCGTTTGGCAACGCACTTGGAAAGCTAATGCGGTCCAATTACTTACCTACGGGAGATCCGTGGAAATTATAGCAAGCCCTCATATCAGTGTTCTAGACTATGGTCCAGCAATGGATTGTCACGGCTTGTTGATGTTCCTTTTAGCCAGTTATGTTATGTTATTAGTTCAATTGTAATAGGGGGACAAGTGGACGACGGATTTCGATAACGGAAATCGCATATTTATCTCAATTACAAAGAAATAACGTCGCGTACGGTTCATTGTCTGATCAAGAAAAACAAAAAATAAATATACTTTGTAAATAAAGGATCATTTTCTAAGTACCTAACGTTACGATTTCCTCTATCAGGTCACAGTGGAATTGTAAAGTATTTATTGACTTTAATTTTTCGCGGTATGTCGTTGGTGCAATACAAATAATACAATAGATGCTTCGGCTACTGGGCATACCCTACATCTCGCCTCGTAGTACTTCGGGTAGTGGTTGGTGTTTGGTGTAGGGTATCGAAATGATCAGTGATTTGAAATTAGGGTATCGAATCCTAAATACTTCTGCAGTACTTATCTTATATCGTTATTAAAAATATTGGCTTACAATATCGTAAGATCTTCTTAGTCATGTACTTCGTGTACTTCGTGTCGTGTTTGTTGTGGTCATGCGTTGGTCGATTCTTGTGCTGGTGCTGCGCTTGTGATGCGTCGCCATTTAGCTCTATGCTTTGCGGAGTGAGAGCAATCGTTGATGTTCACAGATTTAATAAGTTCTGTTCATCGTGTCAATTAAGTCTTCGTTACTGTTGTTGTGGCCAAAGAATTAGAAGATTCGTATTTGTATAGTCGACGACAACCTGTCTTTGATGTTGAGTTCCTTCGTGGTGGATTCATTGGTTCGATGCGTGTTTCATAGGATTCTAAGCATGCGTCTCCGACACCACTTTTCCAGAGCGTCAATGTTACGGCGATCCTGTATCTCAGCTCAGTTCGTGTAGAAAGATTGGGAGGATCAGGTACCTCATTAGTTTCCACTGAGAATGTAGTTATCGCGCAACGCCTCTATTTCATCTAATTTCAGCCTCACAGCTTCCACCCATAGTGACAGTGCATCCCGAATATAATCGTTAGATATTTCCTTACAGAAAAAATATTTGTGTGTTGACAACACACAACTATTTTTTCTTTTTCTTTTTATATCCACAAAACTGAAGTTAATAACAGTTCAAAAAGAATAGTAATTAAAGTCATTAATTAAGTAGTAAGTATGTAAACTTTTTCGTGATTAACTTGTTAGACCTCGATGTATTGTGTATGAATACCAAATTTCATTACAATTGGGTCAGTAGTTTCTATGTTTTTTGAATTGACTTGTCTGAAAACTCGCTCTTAAAAATACCAAAATATATTTCTTATTCAACACAGAAGATATTTGCTTTAAAACATCCATAAGTATCTACTTAAAAATTCAAGCACACATCCTATTCACAGATTTCTTTGTTATTTTCTCAGTTATTCATGAGTCATTGTTCGTCGTTACTCTTTTTCCGTGTGAACAATGTTTTTTTTAAGTTATGAATACTCGAATTCGTTGTTAAGATTTTAAGAATGAGTAGGTATTATATTTTGTCGTTGGAAAGAATTTCAGAAATTAATCTTCTGCCTTTCTTTTTGGACGAGTGACTACTAGAGCGTTTGCTTAGAAATGGTCTCAATCCTGATGTCGATGGAGTTGATAGCAATACGATATCCAGGGTTGCCTCCGGTTGCCGAGTTTGTGGGGCAAGACCAATAAGGCACCGCGGCCTCGGCAAAGAGCAGAAGGAACGGGGGTTTTTAGTCAGTAAGAGTCTGACACTCACTCTCGCAACACCCTAGGCGGGAGAAGTTATCTGATGATTTTTCCCTTCCAAAAAAAGGGTTGTTGCCGGCTCATACATTTCTGCCTATATAAAAGGGCCTTTGCTCAGACGTAGGCTCGTAGTCTGATGATGATGAATTGTTCCCAGTATATATTAACTAATTGCCTCTTATTGAATATTTAGGACGCTTTAATTACGTCACCATGTTCGGGGATAAGACCTCAATGAAACAGAACTTATATTTATAACCTCTTTTAATAAACCGAGTAGGTGGAGTAGTTTTTGACTACTACGCAGTTTATATAATGAACAGCTTATTTAAATTGTTCAATGACGATATTGTCGACGTCGCCTGTACCTAATAGAGGACCAATCAAAGCTAATTACGCTTAACTAAACGGCAACTTGTCACTCATCATCAAAATGTTAGTTGGTATGCTATTATTGTACTTGAAATGAAATGAAAAAGTAGTCTCAACTAAATGTTACCACAGTAAAAAAATATCAAACATTCACGTTTGAATAACGTTCAAATTACTTAATAATCTTATCAGTTCCTATGTGAAAAGTAAAACAAAACTTTTCTGATAGGTACTCGAAATTTTCAAAACAAAGATTTTTGATGTTTATATTTTTTCATACTTAACAGCGTCGATCAGGATTCGTTGGAGTAGCATTACTTTCAAATAGAACCCAAATCAGAACTGACAGAACCCACCCAAAATTAATTTTTGTAATTTATCCTCGCATAATAAAAACGTGTGCATCTCCTGCCCGCCATTCAGATATACATCTACATAAAATAAACCATACATTAACCTGCAATAAACGCACTTACGGTTTAATAGATTTTCCCACAGCGTGCAGTTATAATAAGGTTTTGTTGCTTTATACTTGGACAATAATTACCAAATATTTGTTGTATAGAAATGCTCAATGGACTACGATGTTCAAAAGATCCCAATTTATCAGAATTAAGTGGAATTGGCTATTCTGAGTTCTGACCGATTCCTGGGCTGCGGAAGCATGAATGAACCTGCGATACAATGCATAATGCGCCTCAATAATAATTTAATTGAACTTCAGAATTACTAGTCAAGGCATATTCAGTTCTCTAAATTATTTCATTCACTTGTCCCCATAAATTGTGTCGTTCTCAGACGAGATGTAACTACTTCACGATGTGTCAATCCCCACATCCTTCCTTCCAATTACTGCGCAGACGCAACTAGTTGAAAGTTTTCTTATAAACATCTTAAGTCTCCTGGAGAGGTTATAATGCAATGATTTATTTATTTTCTCTTATTATATAAAAGTAGGTAACTCATTTGGATATCTCTCATAGTCTTAAGTCAACCTTTTTTAATTAGTAATTTATATTTAAAGTTCTTACTATCGCAGAAAAGATTACATGCCGTCTGATGGTAATTGGACCCAAACCCACTACTGTAAGCCTAGTTATTTAGTGTGCATAACTTTATAAGATTTAGGTCACCATGGCGGCCAAAAGCTCTTACTCTAAGGTACATATATGTTTTTTTTTTAATTCTCCAGGAGCGGGAGACCTACAGATTCAGTGCAGTAGCCAAGGTGATGCGGGAACTCCTAAGTGGCAGAAGAGCACTCCTAGCCGGGACCCTTACTCAAGACCAGACTCGAGCATTGAGACTTAAGCTGGTCGCCAAACTGGACTGGGGGAATAGGTGAGTCATAAATGCATGTTGCTTTTACAGGATTTCTGACTTAATGAGCTAGAGAAATAGGACCTTGGAAGTCGAATTTCGCTTGAAGGTGTTCTGAAATTATTACGTTGATTTTTCACTGATTATAGTGAGATAGATACTGGTGTTAACTAGCGTCATCCTCTCTCCTCCTCTGGTTTATAGAGAATTAAAATCCAAAATAAAAGAGTTAGCAAAAACATTTTCTGTACATAAGTTGCAGTTGTTTGTCTATGTATTGTCTGAAACCTTATTTATTATGTCCACAACAAACAGTGTTAAAATATTTTAACATAAAATGCTGGATAAATAAATGGTACCATTCTTAGGAAGGTAATTCAGTAATTAGAAAGTTTGCGTCAAACATCAAATAAAATCAGTTTCACGTTTTTTTATTCCGTGTTCTTGTGTTTGATTTTCTTTCCAGTAATAAATTATGATTTGCTTTCTAGTATTTATTGACGTTTTATTTGTAAAGCAGTTTTTATTGACGTCTTGCAGCTTGAAGAATGTTGTGTGGATAGCTCACAAGTATAATACGTATATTGACAACTTTTTTATTTGTTCGAGTTAATATTTTCAGGATATTACGATAAATGATAAATTATTTCAACACACTTATATTTGTTCTAGGTAGGTACATACTTTACTTATAAACCTTTAATCGAACAAATAATTATGTAAATACTTTATTTATAATTTGGGGAAACAAAAATAAAACTAGAATTAAAATATTTGAAGTCATTTATTACCAAATAATAATGTAGACAATGTAACACATTGAAAATAATGATTGTTGCAGTCTCAGAGATATTACGTAGGATATGGGCAGCATCTTATATTCACTATAAAACATTTTATATAGGAATGGCAAAGTTTTATATTAAAAACTAGTCAATACATAGCAAACTGTCTTAGTCCAGTTCCATTGCAACACAACAAGGGCGCATGGAAGACATTGTTTCGAGATTCCAAGAGTCTAATTCATTTCATTCACACAATCTATTAAAATAATGCATGACTCAAAATCTTATTCTATAATAATATTTGAGATACGTTGAGAATCGTGGCCTTTCCTCTGGACATCTTATTTAATGGCACATTTGGAACAATTTATGAGTATAATTATTCACTCCGAACTTATTGACACACGTACCTTGATAATCCATTCACACGCCATACATTTACATAGTTATGATCGTTTGTCTTAGTACCAAATATACTTTTGATATCAATCGTTGAGATTGAAGTAACATTATATAAAATTTGACTATCAGCAGATACTCCCAGACCTAACTACACATACATAATATTAGTTACATTTATATCCTTATCATAATGCTTACTAAATCAATGGAACAAAAGAAAAGCACGTAGAAAATAATCTAAAATTATATAATATCTATCTACTTAATTATAATCGAAAGACTTTTTCAAGTCGATATGTTTATTCCCAAGTGTTGTTATAGCTTTACATCTACTACAATTAACTCACTGAATATTTCATATCATCAATTAGATAAAATCTAAGACCAAGCCTGTTTAGTATGGAAATATAGATCACGTATTGTCAAATGCATGGCTATTGTCTTAACATTTTATCGAATTATCAATACATAAAAGAAGTTAATATTAAACTTAAATATCTCACGTGCGAGGCTATCACGAAAAGATGTGGGCAAGGCGATTATATATTTGATGAAAAATATAATATTATATAATAATGTCTAGATATAATTTGCCCAGATCTCCCTTGCTGTTAACCTCTATTTTTTATAATAAACTAATACAAATGATAGGCTATAATTATGATAGAAATGATTATGTGTATACTTCGTGTGTACTTTAAAATATCATTTGCATTTAATTTGCGAGTTGCATTGAACTTACAACACTAGATAAACACGAAACAAATAGTAGTCATGTAAACAGTTAAATGTTGCTGATTCGCATAGTCGATAGTGCCACAGCAAATTCCATATCAGTATAACAAACAGTTCTTTGTATATCATACGAATGGTTCAACAAATTTTATACTAATTTAATCGTATTTTTTCACTAAATTTAAAGCTCAAGGCAAAAAGGCAATTGTTGTCTTATTTTTAAAACAGGTAAAATAAGGAATGTCATGGTCATTCATGTCGTTGGAACTGAATTTTCTTACATTACTGCGAATGAGCGTTACAATTATAAAATAACAATACACTGCGTCCTAAACTTTCTATTAAGGAAGTAGTCTCGGATACAAGATTTGAGATTGTTATGAATGGATTGTATAGGAATCTCACTTAAATAACTTTCTCAAATATCGTATTCGAGGGTCAACTGGACGATTCTGGTAGTGTTTTGTGTATTGCTTGCTCAGTCTCAAAACTTACGTCTCTGTTTCCTTGGCGTACTTGTCAATGTTCGGGTAGATGGGGGCCATCTCGAGAGTGGAGGGGGCTGATGGTGCGTTGGAGTTCATGTGCAGCCTTCGTGACAGTTCGTCTAGCACTTCACCGAACACGCGCAGTGACATATTCTGTCCAAGCAGGTGCAAGAGTAGGAAGTCACCCACCTAAAAAGAAAACAACTCTTTAAACATATTACTTCCCAAAAATCGCCAAAAATCGTTCAAAATTTGCGCATTTCTTGCCCTTCTTTACGGGTGTTTACGTACCTGAGTTTTTCTAACGAGTGATTCGACTCCAGCTGGTGTTCCGAAACGGAAACGTCTCTTTAGGATCGTCTCGCGAGTGCTTGGCAATAGGATCACTGCTGCTGAGTACATCAAAGCCAATCCGCTTACTACTGATAAGATGATGAACCTAGAAAAAAGAAACACATGACAAAAATTAAACACAACTTAACATAAAACAGGCACGTACATACATATTAACTGTAGGTAGTGTCAAATGTCCAATGCATGAAATCATGCATTTCAAGTAAATGGAGGTCAACTCACCAGAACCACAGGAAGATGAAAATCTTCTCATTGAGAATGTTCAAGGCTAGCACACAGAGAGCGTCGTGTTTCTGGATCGTACCAGAAGCTCCGAATTTGTGGAATGTACACTTAGTCAGTCTTGGGAAGACTTCGATCTGGAAAAGGAGTTTTATGTTAGCTATTTTTTAAGTAGAAAATAGAATAACTTTATTTAGAACGAAACATTCAATTCAGTGAGCCATAGCTCCAAAGTTTTTATGTGTTTAAGATGTTAGATGTGTTTTATTAGTTTTGAACTTACCATAGGGTCAGTTCGTTGTTCCTGGTTCATGTTAGAGAATTTCACTACATCGGTACCGTACGTCAAGAAAGCACCACCGAGGAATGTGTCCAAGAAGAAAATGTTTCCGACCTGAAATTATCAAAGTACTCTTATTATTGCGTGTGTCTTGAGATCTTTTTCATTTTAGGAAGATTAGCCATGGCTTAACCACGCCTCCCATTATATGGGGTATAATCTTTTGAGGCTATCTAACAATGGTCCCTTGTGTCTTCCAGTCATGATTGTAGTACGTTTTTGTTGCACATTTTTACTGGTTATTTATTCATTTGAATAAAATAGGAAATTCCGAAATGCATATAGTAAGTTAAGCGTTATATTATGTTGAGTCTAGATTAGCAATACACGCGGGTTACTGATGATAAGTAATTGCCATTATCTTAAAGCTAGCATATTAATAGTTTATCGTAATACAGATTGTAGATACTAACCACGTTGATGAAGTTCAGGATCTCACAGAAGAAGTAACCGAAGGAATAAGTGTTGTGCATGTGTTTAGTATCCACCAAATACTGGACGAGCCGATTCTGCAACATACAAAACAGAAAATTAGTCATGAACAACATAGGTCTCTCAACAGACCAGAATATTACATAATAGACGTTCCAGGCTCAGTTAATTTGTCTTATTAGGGACGTTCATCAAGTTTCATTAGTATCGGGACTTATCTCAATTGTGCCACTTTATTAAGAAACAAGATACCTATGTATATTGGCCTTATTTATGAGCTGACATTATCTGTTTACTATTCCACTGGGAATATTCTACAATTATATCAACTTACCAAACGATTGTTTTTGTCGTCAGCAATGCTGGCAGCGGTTCCTCGCATACCGTCAGAGATCATGCGGATTTTGCCCTCTTCCCAGTTCTTCCAAATCCAGTGAGGCACGTAGAAAAGCAGACCCTGGAAACAATTAGGTTAATTGTCAATTACATCCAATATAACATTATTATAACGTACACAAACGTCATGGAATTGAATAGAAAATTATCATCGCGCTTCAAACCTGTTTGTAGTAGCAAAAACTTAAGAGGTGGCAAGTCAGATTTACTCGCTCGAAGAAAAATTACATCATACATTGCGCAACGCGGTACAAAGACCTCTCGATCGATTACAAAGACTTCTGCAATTTTTAATGACTGGTATTTATTGACTGGTAAAAATATCGTACTTGGAAGAACAGCATGAAAGGCACCCATTGGTAGTAAGCGTGGATGCGTTTTTCTTCTTCGTAGTCATTTCCAAGGCCTGGATGTACGATGCCTCGGGCTGGTGAATTTGGTAGAGTGAACGTGTACGTAATCCAGCAATAAGTGTTGAGGACGTGGCCAGGAACAGCTCCATCGTTGATACATGAGATCGGTTCGCCTAGAAGAAAACAATAAGGGTAATATTACGTACCTGTTTTTAAGTACGGTACTTACATTTCCACGTGTCTTTAGTCGGAAAACAAATATTTATTAAACCTTTAAATGAATACAGTCATTTATATGAATGTCATGAAACAGGACCTTCATATTTCTTGGTAATTATAAAAACGACGAAGTAAGCTAAATTGCGAAAGTTTGTACCCTAACCAGGTAAGTATGCAAATCGTGTTCTGTGGTTTTTACCTGACGTGGATTAAATGTAAGTCGTGGTGCGTCACTGTCGATTTAGGGTACTTCGTGGCTGCATTTTCCTTATCAAAATATTTCTTATAATATTTTCTAGAGTTATTACGACCCTCGGCTGAGTCACATTATGACTACTTAACAGATTACAGTTAAGTTAAAGTCCACATTAATATACTCGTTATGATTAAGGCCATTGGAACTTTGCTTTTGAACAATCAATTGCGTTAAGATGGCATATCATGCTTATCAAGCATAATGATATTCGTATCAAGTATTGAAACCATAAAATATTAATGTTATTGGAATTACAATAGTAAAGGGTTTGTCCAACAGCAAACAAGACTTGATATAATTATTTTATTAATATGAATATCTATTCATAACCCTGACATTGCAACAACAAGTTGCGGATGACGCTAATATCGTCAGTAATAGTGCATCTGCCGTCCCGTCGTAATTGTCGACCGTGATTCAAATCACCTTGCTCGGAACGAGGGCTGAGTTCCGATGTTATATGTTCCTGTTATCAATTCATAAACCACCCAACTTATAACACGAAATTGTTTAATTTATCTCAAAAGAACGAGGTTTGTTTTCAAAAACAGTTTTTCATTCGTCGGTTTTTCACATACCACGTAAAATGTTTCATTAATATGAGCAAATGAGAATTTAATTTTTCCTGTTTCATCCAGTTATGTGATCTCATTTAATTTGCTGGATGGTGGCATTGAACCGCACAATGACACGTCAATAGGTACGGTACTACTCTCTGTATCAGACCACAATGTTGGGAGTGACCAACTTACCACATGACGGATGCTGTGAACAAAATTCTGAGAATACTGCTTTCAACCAGGTAGTGCGTATTGTATGTATGACGTTTAACCGTTTTATCTGATTTCCTCAGAGGAAAATATTGATACTCATTCATCGATATTATTATAATTGAAACAAACTACCTACTACTACGTGCATATTAATACTATTTCTATAATAGGTAAATATGTAGGTATATGACCTACATCACATTACATAACAAAATAAAAATATTAAAAAGCTTCGGCTTTCTTTCGATTCTATGAAAGCCATTTGCATAGGTCACAATGCATTTCGAAATTTTGTATCATATGAATACCGTTAGCTCTGACTCAACAACCGAGGTGTCGAATTGACCGAAGTCACATGCTTGCTAATTGCCCCATAACGAGCACTTGCAATTGTTAGAGCATTTATCGCCGTCTTGATAATCTCAAACGAACACACAAATAATAAATAATGACTTAGCAAGTAACTCGTTGACATTTTTATAACTTAGAGCATACAAAGAGTCCACAGAAAAGCCAAGTTCTATAAAAATATAATTTAAAAAGTTTGCAATAAGGAAGAAATGATAATATTCATCGACAAAGAAACAGTAGCAGCCTTCTTTATCCAAAGTGCATTGACTTCATAAAGTCTTACAATTGAGAGAAATCGCCGGCGACAATAACTGCAATATAATCACAACTCAGGCTTTTACCATCAACAAAACGAACAAATTACCTTTCCAATACTGTTAATGTTATCGCGAAGCTATTCAACTTATGCTAATTCTAAGTTACGTTTTCCATTGTAATACTTGATAAGGTTTTAAAACAGTTCTATCAACAGTAGCCTGAAATACTTGTTTTGCTGCGATTGCCTGGTTATTACTGGGTCATGGTGAGCAAGGCTGCATAAACTTAATATTATAGGTACTACATCATAGTGTACAAACATGGCATATGCTCATTTAGAACAAAAATATCATAAATGTCGTGTGGAGAATTTAGGTCGTGACGTTAACTAGTGTCATAATAATGTTGACCATTGCAAAGTGTGGTCGCTGACAGTTTACGTCCGTCCAAAATTATTATAAATCTATTGTTTGTCACGTACTACAAGCTTTATCGCCCTACACATCCCTTTTTTACAATTCCAGTATACGATTAAATGTTGCGTATGGTCTACGCAATACGCAACTATGATGCTAGCCAAATCAAATACTTTGGATCCAGAATTTTCTCAATTTGGGATCGTAGTTATAATATGGTTAATGAAACGATCGAATTCGAATTATATATTGAAATTAATAGAGATTTTTTTTACGATATCGTAGACAAAACCTGTTTGCAGTTTAATCGACTTTATGTAATTCAAACAATAATTTAATCAAAGGTCGTTGGTTCGTTGTCATAGCAAGATGCATAGTAACAGCCAATATGTAGCTGTGTTATCGTTGCTAACTTTAGTATTATGATTACTAACACCTGAGGCACAAATGTGATTGTACAGGCTGCATGTAGGGCAAATATCACCGACTTCAAACGTTGCAATAAACTCCATATGGATTGCTGACTAACTACCTATGAGACAATGTGCACTGAGTACGTGATCTAGCGTAGGAACCTGGACGCTTTAGTATGCAAGTTTATTTTGATATGACTACTGTTGGATTGTATGTAGACTTGGAAAGTTAAAGACAATGAACCACGGCCTAATGACCCATTAAATGTCTTCGTCTAGTGAAAATTACCAACACACTTATACGTAATTGTTTATTTTAGAATTTAACTGTTAGACTCAAAGTCTACATGTTGAGACACTAATCAGATTTGTTAAGACCAGGTTAGCTAATTTGTCTAATGTGATTTGTCTGTCACGAACATTAGCAACTGCAGTGGAAACTGTTATTACGATAAACGATAGTTGGAGGATTTCGAACAAAACATTTAAAACATTAAGTAAATCCATTTTACATACAATTGGAATTAATTGTTTCAAGTCTAGGTCACGACGAACAAATTTATTCAATTTTTATACCGTATTTGAACTCAGAGAGCAATAATCGTCATATGGTTAATAAGTATAAGTTACAAGTGGTCATTAAGGAGTAGTTTGTTTGTGTTTGTGCCTCATCGAATGGGGAACACGCGATAACGTTGAACGTAAACATCGTTTGTTCCACCGGCACCGGCTCATTGGAGCACTTCCTAACATCACGTTCGTTATTATGTAAAGACGTAATAAAAGGCAGCTCGTTCACTTGGCACAGAACTGGTTCATAATTATCTGATTCTGCATCAGAATCACAATTTATTACTACCTAATAGTTATTCCAAAAACATTTAGGCAAATGATAAATTAGTCCTTCTTTTCAATGAATCATAGACGGAAAACTTGTTGAGCATGATAAAGGCAAACCTTAAATTGTAAACGATAGCGATCGCTAGGTAAGCATCAAATACGCAAACATTAACATGTGTGTCATAATCGCTTCATTAACACGTAAATCATTAGGTAATTGGGGATAATGTGCCTAATAGACGGACGAGTCGTTTGACGACTGTTTTATAGTCTTTATCGAGTTCACGATAACTGTTATGGTTCTAATAAGCTCGCGTCTTGATAGCATCCAGATGTTCGTTATGAAATAGACGCTTGCTTGTCGATGTGACATTTTGGAAGGTAAGAACGATGCGTTTTTAGGAACGTATCTTTTTCCTTGATACTTAATTATGTAATACTTTATTCGGGATTAACACATTCAGTGCCCCCGACGCGTATGTGCGTGCGAGGAAACGCACATACGCGTCGGGGGCACTGAATGTGTTAAAAAAAATGAAATTGACATTCTATAGCTATAATGGTTCTAGTTGCGATATAGATATATCAATATTTATTTAAGAATTTTAATTTAAGAAACAAGTCATAGAAGAAGTAAAGGAAAGATAAATAAAAGAAAGGATTTCCACAGGATTTCACTAGTAACGTAAAATAAACATCCGCAATAAAGGCTATTTATAACATTTAAGATGTAAACACTAACATTTAACGCGTTCTACATTGTATTTGACTTTGAACTGTTGTTACTGTTAAACTCCAGTCGACCGTAGAAAGATTACCATGACCTTTGCTTTCCATGCTTTGGTGATCAAATGATACAATTTAAAAACGTTTTTTTTTAACTTTATTTAAAGTTTAGTTTTCTACTTTCAAGGTTTTTGTTAGAAAGAGATGTGACTCAATATTCGACCAGTAAAGATTACAAATAGGGCATTTTACATGTGAGACGCATGCTATATAGCAATCTTATCTCTTTAATAAAGTAGGTTGGGAAAAGCGAAATTGTAAAGTCAACGAACGATTGAGCCGAACTGTGTCTAAAGAAGGATAAGCAAGAGTTGCTTTTGTTTTGACTGCCTGGGAAGCGTCGACAAGTAGATGCAAACGCTCTCATTGTCACTGTAAATTACTATGCACAAACTTTCCACAATCGGTTCATTCGAACACTTGTTGCCTAATACATAATCTCATATGCTTTGTAAGTTCACTGACCCGTTTCGCTCTACTGAATTGAATCTTATCACGTACGCTTACGAGTGTATATGTTTGTACAATCAATTTGTCATGACGTCTCAATTTGGGTAACTGTAACACACACGATGTTCCTGTTCTGAACAATGATCTGAAAATGATTCACAGTTTTTCGGTGTTTACTAGATCTGACCAGACGGACTATTATGACTGTTTAGAGTCTTTGTGTTATACGGTCTTTAGGTTACTGTCTAGGTCAAGATTTGCATCTTTAAAAACATTAGCGTTTGTAATTAAGCGCACCGAGTCCAGCTTTCACTACAATATTACGATGCTAAGTAACGAAATGCTTTCTCGAATATGATAGTAATGATCATGATAATTTAATTTTTATTACGTACTTTAATTCAATTTTTGGCTTGTAATTTTTTTAGGTCGTGTGAAATGAGAGGTATTTATTAAGTCACAAATTTTAATAAACAAGAATATATACCATTCTAGAAAATTCTAAATAAACAACTGCAAATAGCCAATTGTGCACAAGAATGTTATATGACTACTAAAATAAGCAATATTATCAGAACTCATATCAAGTTACGAGGTTAACAATAGTTAAGTAATTCCATCTCATACATAATGGTAAATTGTAATGCACCTTGTTAGGAAACAGGTTGAATCTCCGCGGAGCGTGAATAGGGGGAATTATTTAGTAGATTACCTAGTCACATGTTTTCATGGGAAATGTAAAAAAACTTTCCTTGAATTTAAATAGTCACGAAGTAAAATTATTCCACTAAAGTTACTCTTTATCGTATTAGTGTTACTATTTGTTTCCTGACTTGATCTTCGTTTATTTTGTTGTCTTTTAAAAAGTTTCTAACACTTCCTTATTACTTTTTTACACTGGCTTAACAAAGGATGAGCTAGTTGTGTTGATACGAGAACTACATTTTTCTTCAGTAAATTGTTTACTTTATTTCGTCTATTGTAAAACCACTCGTCTGTTTCACGTAATAAACTATAGACAATACGTATAGAGTTGTAACCTGTTGTCCCATCGTCGATCAGTCTAGCAATACGACAATGACCCATATCCCGTTTACGACTTCCGTGAGTAAATCACTAGCTGATATAAGCAATTTTCTAACATTACCATATCAAAGAGCGTGGTCTCAGTCTATACTTATAGATCATGTCATAAATACATCCTAAATTTACGGAATGAACTATCCTAGGTCCAGCTCCAACAATGGCTCAGGAAAAAGAATAAAAACTTACCAATAAGGTTATTAGCGGTGACAAGAATACAGCAAAGGAACAATATTGCTGATGTGATGCGATAGTGCATCCTGAACACCATGTTGTCGATGACAGCCTTGTCGATGAGGTAGCGGACCTTCACGAAGCCCGCCACCGACGATACCAAACCAAACACCGCCATTTTGGATGTGTTTCTTTACTTTCGTTGTCTGAAACAAAAAGTATAACAATCAGTATTCAGAATATAGAACAAATCTTATCTAGATCCAAATTTAATGTAAATCTTTATCAGGAAATAACATGAAATTTTAATTGACTTGCAAATAAATGTTTTTTGCTAATCTATTTATCAAATACATGACAAACTAACAACCCTTTGTCTACATTAGAACACTAGTCACAAACACTCCTATAAATACATCGACGCGTCTTAACTAACTTCGTGACAAGTGCCATACGCCACCCATACGAAATTAGAACTTAAACGGTAAACTTTATTAGTGTTTTGATTCTCTCAATGTGCGTAACAGCTGTGTCGCCTCGTCGTTCTCATGTCTTCATTTTCGTATAAACATTGGCTTTGTACGTTTATATCCCAATTTGATAAACAGTTATTTGATGAGAACACGATTCTGGTTTACTAGGGCTAGTCATTTCAATCAATGACCCCAAACATAATTCAACGATGTATCTACTTGTCGTGTCTCCCGCCCACGCCTTGACCAGTCGGGTCCATAAGTTTTTGTAAACCAATATTTTTTTTTTTCACAGCTCCACGTGTAAATATGTAAAGTTGTCGTATTGACTTTTATACTTTACTAACTAAGCTTATGTTCGTTGTGCTCTATGGCCGTAGGATGTATATAAATGAATGAATAGTTACAATAGTCTGGTAGACAACTCATGATAAATGGATCTAACCTTGACGACTTCTTGATCCCGTTCCTACGCGGTGTCGCTTCTAACATGTGCTATTTAGGTCGCTCGCAGGGGGCAATATTAATTGATCATTGAAATTTGTTATGAAATCATCTCGGACACGAGCGTCTATTGTAATATTGTTATTGACGGAGTAGAATATTGGCTTTTCATTCCGTATGATGTGTATTGGAATTTGATAGGCATCGTTTATGCCCCTTTAGTCACCTACACGTAACTCACATATGAGCCACAAAATATTTTTAACTATTTTGCTAACATAATCGTAATCGTGTTAGGATTGAGTGCGGTGGAGGCGAATGGTGCGCCGGCGCAGGGCATGTGGCGGGTCGTCGACCGGCCGCTGTTCGTGCGCCTCCTGCGTTTTTAACCTCCCTCCTCCCCCGGTCCCCCTCGCTGCTTTACCTCAACCGACCCTGGCTGATGCATCGCTTGGCAACGCGAATTTTACGCGGAAACCAGTTTGAACGGCGACAATCGTTACAAGTTTGCATGTCGCGATCTTGACAATTGATTAACGTTAGCTAGCCGCACCTACTATATCAATACCAATCAGATTTTGAATTTGTTAAACGCATCAACGCGTTTTGGATTCGCACTACATGTATGTATATGACAGACTCATCAAACTACAAATATTTACTTATCACATTGTCATCGGTAAAATCGATACGTTGACATATTCCCTGAGTGATAAATATTTTGAGGAACTCGTTGTTTGCTAACGCCGTGACTGATAATGGGTTAGTGGAAGAGGGGGAGGGGAGGTGAAGCGTACATTCCGCTGTTTATGACATGCACAGGCGCACAGGCAGTGGCGGGTGGGCTCCGTCCCTGAACCTTTTGTGCCGCTCTTAACTGCATATCCTTGTTCCACTCGCTTATTACCGCAGCCGATTTATCACCGGCACTTCGCCTTGCTAACTTGCTTTTATATCTTTTGTTATAAATTACTTCGGCATTTATAGGTTTTTCTCTTGTAAATCAAAACAATTGACTGTTTTACGTCGTATGGAATAGGTTTTAAGATGTTTCATTTTATTCATATTTTATTATGATGAGCTAGCCGCATATGCAACTTCAATACTGTATTTTAAGTCAGGGCACGCGCGACTAACAATCCCAACTGAATGGGCACTAATTGCGGTAAATGTGAGCCGCTTCGAGCAGCACAGCACACGTTCAAATTCAATACAATACTGGCTACTTTCGTGGGAAAGAATCTCAAACCTGCGGTATCGATGCCTCAGTCTGACAATAAAACATTTCATCAGAAAGCGTGACTAATGACGTGAAACGATTGCTCTGAATATTAGGTAACGTACAGATTTGCAGTGCAAGTGAACGGCCCAGTTTGTCGCTTCTGTTGTAATTCACGTCTCAAGTCTCGCTCACAGTTAAGGAACGTACTGATTCAGTTTGGTCGGCTACTGTCGTCTCGTGCCTGATATAATTAACTCTCATTGACTGCGTTGATTGTTACCAGCATTCCTTCCCGCATTGTTTACATTGTAGAAAAATAATACAATACCACGTGGTACTGCTTATTAAAATTTGTCCGAGTTGAAATTATAGGCGGTGGCTAGATAAGTTGTGTTGGTCATAACATCCGCGGTGACTACGCCCGCCTTTCGTCATGTTTTGTGTCCACTCGCACGGAAATGCGCTTCTAATGTGGACCTGCGGTTGCGTTAATGCGGTCCAGATTGTATTTCACAGACCTTTTTAACTACACGCTCTGATAAAATTCTCGAATGCATTGCTTATTGGCGTTATTGCGATTGCAAAAAGATAATGATATTTTATCTTCCTGGGGTCAAAGATACACATTGAAATTCTTTATGGTTCGTAAACAAAGTCATGCTTTAACTTATGCGAGCTAATTGATAGCGCGTGTGCAGCGTACGCAATGAAGTATATAATAGGTCTTTCGAACGTGCTTAGTATTTATCTACATTTCTCTGCCAATGCCAAGTACAGAAATTCAGGAACAATTTTCCCAAACATCAGTCTTTACATTCTCAGTAATATTTAAATATTTAAAAGGTACTCGAGAGCTTTACAAGTACAAGAAAAAGCCGTGACAGTACTGCCAATTAGTGATACTATTATTTTTATATGAGAAACATGAATACTAAACAAGTTTGCAAGTTCAAGGCATGTTTTAGAGGTTATCGCCAGGCGCTTCGGCGTCATCATGGATGCAGGTGCCGTGGCCGCGCGCCGTGACAAGAATAATATGTGAGACCGGTTAAAGATGCCCCCTTTTGTGGCATCATACCAAAGAAACTCTCACACGGTAACTAATGAGTACCCGATAATTTCCTACTCTTTCATAACGTTATTTGAAATTTAAATGTGCTTTACGGTAACTGTTATGAAATCGTATTTAAAGTACTTGATATGCTGACCTTTTTAAACGATCTTTTTAGATAACGGCAACACTCCGTGATTACATTAATGTCATTACTGAGGAAACTACTGTTTATTTAACGTTCGTAATAACCAGTAATTATGACGTCTAAATTAACAAGAGTAATATAGTTCACCTATAGAAGTTATTATTAGTACGCTGTCGTTTGTACGGTAGGAAATTATTTTCTACAGTCCCTCACAATGTAATTGTTATTTGGTATCGTACGCGAACATGTCCGGGTTGTTAAAATTAAGCGGGCAGAGGTTTGATTGTTTTTATTTCTTTATTCACTGTGTCCTTGGTCGGCACATCTTCAATGAAGTTTCATGGACCGTGAATTTTGCGTGTTTAGCTACATGTGTAGCCGTTCTTATTTAGAATCTCGACAATTAAATAACACGATTTGCATCTCCTACAACACAACGAATTCTAAGTTTTATGAATTAAAACGTGGTAATATTCATTCAAACAATGCGGTGTAATTATGTTCATCCCTTTAGCTGAACTTGCTTTGTCCATTCTATTCAAATGGAGTTCCCGGTAAATAGAACGGCGTCCCTTTCTCCCTTACTCGTCGCTCAGGTAAACGGGCTCACAGCCGCTACCTGTGACCATGAGAAACGACACTGGCACGTCGATGTGTCTTTAATTCATAACATCATTAGGTTCATATGGTTCCAGTAATCATTCGTTCATTACTTACCCACCATAGCTACATTGCGAGACAGCGATTGGAATAAAAAAGAAATGTGATGACTATGCACAAGGCTTTTGTTCCCGCACATGTATGCTGTCAAACAACATTCCTCGCGTCGTCGATATGAGTTAAGCTCGACTCAATCCATCCAGTAAGCCTTTGTGACACAACTCACTTACCTTTTAAACCTAACTGTTACTTCTCCAGCAACTCCGGTAACAAATATTTAACGATCGCAAGTCGCTTGTTCTTTGTACACAACACTGATCACAGCCTCACTTATTTGTCTAAAAATACTTTGCTACAATAGTTCAACGTCATTGTATTACAAGGGATATGTCATACAATAATAATGAAGCGGTTCAAGTAAAACGAGTGGCAACTGGGGGCCCGCAGCACAGCGCACCAGCTGCTCGTGGGTCGGAAACGTAACTGAACGAACTAGCGGCCCGATTCGATCGGCCTCGTACTCGGTGACTCGCGCGGGATTTTACTACCAATGTTTGGCGGCTGCGTTGCGCTCGCGCATCTCTATCTGTCTCACTCTACTCCGCGCGCAGCACGCCGGGCTCGCATATCTGCTGTCTCCCTCTAAAGCTAAAATGCACAGTAGCTGGTAGCCACGGGTACTGAACGAGTTCGAGTCGAGGGTCTTGACTCCGTCTTGAGGTTTCACTGTGAGCAATATTTCTCGTGTAGATTTTTTTGGCGAGATTTTGATGACTGGTTTCGGATTCGACGGGTGAAGATTGCTTGCGGCTGTTAATTAACACATATTCAAGCAATAATAATTTACTTACTAAGTTGCAATGTTGCCCTTGTGATAACATTAGAAATAAACGCATTTATTAGGTATTAATATTAAATCGTAATATTTTAACATTACGACTTGTTTTGAATGCGTTCGGCAACTTAATGTCAAAAGAATCAGCTGGCTCGTTTAAGATGTTTGTTTTGATAATCGAAAGCTTTTAATTATTTTATCCAGGTGATATTTCAAGATTGAACTAGTGTCTGAGAATTTTGTTATATTATCTTTTTATTTTCACTAATGAAACAAAACGTATGTCATTATAACTTCTTCATATATCACTTAAATGCTCAATTATGAATAATATTTCTTAATACCTTTGCGGCTGCAACCTCATTGGACAGGCATGCGACCGTCTACCTGTTCCTTAAGTCGATATAAAAAGCTAAATACAGCTGAGATGTGGTCTTACCCGATTGCCCATATTTAGTACTTTAGCATTACGTAAGTTTACCAAGCCCTGTGTAAGCAAGCCTACATCACTTATTATTTTTATTTGCCCACGTATTGCTAAAGGTTTTATCGTCATCTTTTAAAATCTTCAACTTAGCAAACCAAGTTTTTGCTGACGTCCGTGCTTGCAAAAATATTTGCTTCTCATTTCTCGGACCTTGTGACGATGATTAATTATCGCTTTTGGCAGCGGTTGCAGATTTTTTTACTTAATTAAGATCCATGGGATATGGTTGTCTCGCATTATTTCTAGACTACTAATAAATCAACATTTCTTTCACACCTTTGCCTTTAATGCATTCTACGCCTGGAAAGCCAAATTGGACTTTAGCAAAAGTATCAACCGGTTGTCCCGCCCATTAAAATAACTTAAAAGCCTTCTGACTCATCGCTTGTGAGCCTCCACGTGGTATTTCTTCGACAATGTTACTTTTTTTATGCAACTGTGAAATAATGGATTTTTGCATTATTTTGAGTAAAATGTTCATCAGAGATTCTTTGGAAGTTACATTTTTGCTCTTTAACTAGTGGTTAATTATTATGTTAATCTATAGTAAAAAAAAAAATAATACCAATTGTCCTTGGAATTCCGATTTTCAGATCATTATCTTATGTGCTTTTTTTTAAAGAAATTAGAAATTTGGGAATTATTATAGCAACACATGCCATTGCAGTAGTCTAACAAAACAAATGACTGATAGCGAGGTAGTTAGATACCCTTGTAAAGCAGTGGCGGTCTATATAAAATACCTAACAAACTCTTTATACTGGAATGGGTAGTAAAGTTCAATATGCTTTTGTTTGTGTTCATCGAATAAAATTACTGAAAATAAATACGCGAAAAAGGAATCTTACAAAACTACGTAAGTTAAAAACAATAAAGAAAGTTTTAAAATTCGTGAATCGTAAAAGCGTTTTATATAAAAGTATTACGAAATAATTGTCTAATGAAATGTTGTAACGTGATGAAGTTCTATGCGCCGGATCTCTGCAAAACTTGATTTACCTGTTTGGGCTGTCACGATGAAACCTAGCTTCATTTCTCGTTTATTTTCGGCTGCGAGAGAAACACTGGTTCAAGTCTGTGCTAGGAATTTATAAAAAAAAACGTCCGAGGAATAATAATGAAATTCCTTTTCGCATCTTTGTCTCGTATCTACGAGTAAAATGTTGGCGATTTCTAATAAAATCAGTGTTTGATTTAATAATGAAGAAGCTAAGCTTGATTTTATTTATATTTAATGATATATTAAATATATATATTTTCTTGTATGTGCGTATTAAGAGTAATGACAAAACCATTTAATGAACCAGGTGCGGCAATCCCGGTCCAGTCGGTGAATGAATGAATGAAATGTGTGAGGATAGTTAGGGTCACACCCTAGTTTAAACCCTAAGCTTGCAAAAAAAAGGGGGGTGTTGCATCATCTCGTTTCTATGAATAAGTGACTATAGTCCAACGAAGAAATACATTATAAAGAACTTATACTAAGTATAAACGGATACTAATGCTCCATGCATACATATACATATTTTGTAATCTAAAGAATTTTTAGCGAAGATATTAAGTACTACCTAACTGACAATATAGACACGATACTTAGAAACTAATAAAATAATGCTATCCGTGCCAGTATTTATTACGTAAGACTATAATTAACGCGACATCATTAACGCACAATTTATTAAGTGAAGACTGTTTCGTAGTCGTGTGGCCGCATAATCAACTGCCGAGCAAGGACTCTTCGGTTCGTTTCCCAGAGTAAAGTTTTATTGGCTTTGCTATGAGTAAATCGAGGAAAGAATTGACCCAGGTACAACTTTATAGGTTCTGCACAAAATATGTGGAACTCAATATTTAATACGGAACATAAGTACCTAGCGATAATCTAAGTTATTTGTTTTAGAAAATACTAAAACAAAGCAAATTATTTATTTACGACTAGATAGTGCATCAAATTAACATTGTTAAACTTAAACTTGACACTTCTGGCTTGGCCTTGCGGATATCAAACAAGGAACACCCATACCAAGAAATAACAATACATATATGTATAGAAGTGACGTTAATCTATAAGTGGATATTTCTACACCAAAGTTTACAATAACTTAACAAAATACGTAATGCTGTAATCAAATGACGATCCATAAGCTCATAATATTGCGTATTAACTTACCCTATCTGCATTAACGTGACGTCACTCGTCTAATATAATGGAAATATTGCCTACGTCATCATATGTAAATGGTAGCCAGGTAATTTTATAGCTTTTATATCAACCGTCGATTAGACAGGTCATTCAACTTTGAATATTTAAGTAGGTGGCTATGCTATGTCAATTGGTCGTTGACCATGAGAATAACGAAAGAATATTAACACTATCTATCGACGGTCTCGGAATGATGGATGGTAACAAGCGTCTTATATGGCAATATCTAAATTTGCCTCTAAACGTCAGGTGTCTAACATATTTCCTCTTAATTATTATTGCAATATAAACATTGTCGCTCCAACCCATTTATACACAACGAAGACATTTCCTGCATGCAAAAATGTCCCCTTATTTTCAAGTGTCCGGAATATCGGTCATAGGTACTTCATCTACATTCATTTACACCTGTGAACCTACATTCAACGATATTCCAGTTGTGTAAAAAGAAAACAGTTCCCCGTATGTATCACAAACGTTAAATTCGAGGAAAAACGTCGTCAAATACACGAATTCTGTCCATACAAAGTGTGCGAAAGAACCGTTAGTCTCACCAATCGAATTGATACTTAGCCTTGAATTTATTTAAAAGATGATTCCAAAATATGCAAAGTTAATATGGATTTATTCCTAAGGAATTATCTAGCATCTACTTCACATTCCTAGCGATGTTCTAAGCTTTTTTTTAAGAGTTCTCACTGTTCTCAGTCGCTTGCGCATTGGGTGGCGTACGGTAACCACCTCCAGACATCAGGCAATGTCGCTTGAATAACTGGTTTGGTGACCTTTCTGTGTTGCACATTAAACGGCCCATACCATGGATTTATTTAGGCTATCATCGACCAATAAAATCGAAGTACAAAGTACTTGCACGTTTTGTTTTTTAAGTAAATCGGTAGTAAAAGTATGCCCATACTGTTCATTGTTCCACATAAAACTTTTCGGTTACATAATTTTTACAATATGTCTGTATGGTCAACTTTCAAATAGCTTGAACAGTCTGCGTCAGAATTTTAAATGTTTTTTCACGTGTAATATACAATTTGATGAATAATTTATTAATATGTTTACGTATGTAAAGCAAGATTCAATACCAATAACAATATACAACTGATGTTTACCTTCATGGATCGACTTTAGATACTACATATCATTAATATAATATTTACAATATTGCATTATTATATTTTAAACAAATTGAAATGTTCTGGAATGTCTCGTGTGGAGAACGATTTGCGAATGCGAGTGAGCCGGTTCGCGCGCATCAAAGGTATGCAATACTGCCACGTGGCATCGCTATAGTACCATTGTGAGGCGCGGAATTTATTCAAAGCTTTGCCGCTTGAACTACCATTCTATCTAGCTTTTTTTTTGTGAGGGGAAAATCATCAAATGACTTCTCCCGCCCAGGGTCTGGCGGGAGGGAGTGTCAGACTCTTACTGACTAAAAACCCCCCTGTTCCTACTCCTGCTCTAGGCCGAGGTCGCGGTGCCTCATTGCGCTTACCCCACAGCCCCGGCATTCTATCAAGCTTGAGGTACTTTTTTATTCCTAGAATCAGGTTAGGAGAATTACGTACTTCCAACTCCCTACCAAACAACAGATTATAGCACTTCTGTTACAGATTATACTGACTTAAATATTGCAATTGAGCACAGTACAAAAAATCCATTTGTAGAACAATAATTTTACTCATCCCATTTTTCAAAATGTTTTCCCCGACGCCTTTTGTTAAAAGGGAATTACTTACCTATAATAATTAATTCCTTATGCATTATAAAGGATTTAAACAATACATTTTGGTACAATCAAAACATGTGTCATAGTTTTGCAATAGATACACAAGTTTAGTAATTAAATAAACAAACAATTAATATTGCAAAATAATTTGCAATAACCTTTGTATATTAGAAACCCTGATTTAGTTGGACTTGATGAGTCATTCTCATCTTATGTCAAATAAATGTTAAGTAATGTGAAGTATTTTTGATGTTACGCGAAAATTCATTGAAGACATGTCATAGGTATTTAAAGCTTGGTTTTAACCAGTAGATCTATTGGTCAGCTAATATTTATGGCTGTTTGAAACTAAATAGTAGTTCTTGAGTGTCAAGCACCTCACAATCTTTATGATGGATGAAGCACTTGCATTTTTCTTCTTATAGACCTATCCTAGGGAATTTAATACTATAAACATAATGTTTGTTCTACTGCAGTGCTTGAGTGGCCAAAGCTGCGACTCTGCTAAAGCATTAGATCTCTGATACAATGTCTGTAAGGGAAAAACCATCGTTTTATTGCGGTCTTGTCTTATCGTTAGGCTTTTATTAGGACATATTTTCCCAAGTTTCCAAAGTTTTAACTCTTAAGAACCTTCTGGCAACAGATACAACAAAAACAATAAAATATTGGCGGAATTGGTTTAGCCTTTACACGTAAATATGATTTTGAAACTTTACGGCAATTAATATGTACCTACCTACTGAAGACGATCAATTGCTGGCGTAATAAAATATAAATCCCTAATTATTTGAAAAACAAAGTCAATACTTCAAACATAAGTATGTTAAGTATTGGCATTTCCTGTTCTACCTGTCGTCATAATGTATCTGGCATTTCTGAAGTCACTGGTGCTGATTCTGAATCATGTTAAATTCTCTGCACATAAAACGTTTGATAGATTTTTATATATGTGTAGGTTTTTTTTTATGTAATAGGTCGGCAAACGAGCAGACGGATTACCTGATGGTAAGCAATCAGCGCCGCCCATGGACACTCGCAACGGTGGAGTTACGAGTGCGTTGCCGACCTTTCAGGGATTAGGGATTTGGAGATATAGGGATTGGGGAGGGATTGGGGAAGGGGAAGGATTGGGCCTACGGTAACCTCACTCACACGGCGAAACACAACGCAGTGGTTATTTCACGCCGGTTTTCTGTGAGGCCGTGGTATCACTCCGGTCGAGCCGACCCATTCGTGCCGAAGCATGGCTCTCCCACACTTTAAAATTAGGTAATACAGTACCTAAATTGCATAGGTACTGGTCTAATTGTATCGTCGTTTCAATAAGTATTGTCATTGCCATTGGTTTTCCAGCGAATTAGTGCTATTTTAGTCTCTTTGTTAAACATGTACCACAAATAATTGGAATACAATGCGATACCATTTGTTTTTCATAGTAAAACATTGGTCAGAATAAATTATGCGAAGAACGTTTGTTTAAAAACTGCAAATAAATAACAATAGTAGGCATCACATTTCTTAAAAACATACGTATGATAATGATATTAAATGCTATGTTGATAAGGTTACATTTCCAATGCTACAAACAAATGCGCAAGAGTGATTGAAAGCTCAGTCTACAACGGCGCGGACGTAGGCGCTTACGTGACCGTTTATGCGTCCATTTAATTTGCCTCCTAAAATGGTTGTTTGAAACCATTTCATTATTATTGTTATTCATTCTCAATCTCCGACGCTTCAATTATCTGCACGACTATGATCTGTTTACCTAATTAATGTTAAGCGGCTGAACTTTGATGTATTTTTTAACCGTCTTCTAATAAGGGGGAGGTTTTAAGCGATGCTTTTTCAAAATTACCTTAGTTCTCAGTAGATCGATATAAAATTCGTCGAAAAAGGAGTGATAATAAGTACCTACTAATGATTTTTGATTTCTAATCAAAGCTGGCAATACGCAATCGATATAATTATGATACTGATGTTGCTTAATCCGTGATATTTTTTTTTTTGGTCAGTGAAAATCATTCCCGCCCAGAGTGAAACGAGAGGGAGTGTCAAATTTACGTCTAGTCGTTAACTAAAAACCTCCGTTCCTTCTCTTGCTCTAGGCCGGCCGCCCAGAGTGAAATGAGACTCTATATAGACCGAGGCCGCGGTGCCTTATTGCGTTTTCCCCGCAATCCCGACTGATCCGTGGTATAGAACTGCTTTCGATAAGAACTTTAATGAAAGCGAATCAACAAAAGTCAAAGAAAAGCTATGCTACAACATAAGTCCGTCCATAATTTTACATTTTTAAAGGAAAACAGTTTTAAAGATGTTTTTGTCCTTATTTTGTGACCTATTGCAAACAGGTTTTGCGGTAACAAGAATCCTTTAGACGTGAATCATTTTCGACGGGCAACTTTGCACGTTCGTACATGGGGATTTTATAAGGAAATCTGTTTCTAACTAAATGTTTCTTATATTTCACCAGTCATTACATTAACATATTACGTCAAATATAAATTGAGCTATATTTTGCATCAATAATTATGCTTTTGTTATGTCTGGGAGTTATAGAACAATAATTACATTTGAAACAAAGTAGGAATTAGGTATTTCACAAGGGATTTTTATTTCATAAGAACCTTGTCAGTAATACAGCTTTCTTTGATTAATCTTCTATTTATTTGCGAAATGAAATGTCAAGATTGATGAAAAAAAAACTTGTATTGTTGATTATTTCTATTTTTTTTTATGTGATAGTATCACTTAACACGATGGTAGGCAATCGGCGTCGCCTATGGACATCAGCAAAACCAGTGCGTTTTCGGTCATTTGAAGATTAGGATTAGGAGATTTCGGAATTGGGAGGAGATTTGTGTTTCCTGAAAAAACGTTGTTTTTTTTCTGTGTAGTTGCGTTTACATAAAAATGACTTCCAGACCCAAAACAAGATTTTGAAATTTGAATCACATAAAGAGTTGTTCCATGCGGGAATCGAAACTTGCGAGAAATTGCGCGGATTCCTACCACCGCGGTAACTGTGTAGTTGAAACACAGGAATAAGGGGAGGGGAAGGAAACCTCACTCTCCGGCGAAACAACGCTGTGGTTGGTGGTGGTATCCGTCGAGCCGACCCATTCGTGCCAAATCATCTTCCACACTTTTACTAGGTAAATCTAGGTTTACAAACTTTAGAACTGTTTTGAAAAAGCAACTGATTATAACATTAAATCTATCTATATAATAAACCTACATTAAACTCATTATTAAAGCAACAGCGTGAACGATTTTTTTATATTGATTAACATATCATCATTTTCCTGCCTGGTGCTAATAATTCATTGAAAGGCAATTGCCATGCCACCTACTTGCCTAGGTTTACGTAGCGTAAGGTAATTTCAGCTTAGTGACAATGGCGTAAGAGTCTTATTCGATCCGTCTATACGGGGGCGGAAATGGACTTGTGATGATGATGAATTCCATATATTAATTACATAGTATTAAATTCACCTTGTCCCAAAAATATGGTTTGAATTATGAAATATTTTCTTTATTTTCAGAAAACTCGGACTGGAGTTGGTGCCCCGTCGTGGCGCGGAAGCGGTTGATCCTGAGGATATGAGCCTAGTGGAACTATACAGAGTCCATGTTGAAAGCGCAGAAAGGGCAGCAGCGGTAAGTTCTAAATTACGTGAAACTTATTTTCTTCGCAGTCAGTCAGTTCGTCTGTTTAAATTAAGTAAAATCCACACGATTGTATTCCACTCCCAGGACTATTCTAAAGGATTGTAAAACGGTATTTAATGCTGAGTTATTAAAGTTCAGAGTCCTCTGACGAATTAATAAACTTTTTATTTACATCGGAAATACTGTTTTGCTAAATCGTCTTATACGGGTAGAATTTCTTCCTCAACTAAATCAATAGTCAATGTTGTTTAGTCAGATTTAGGACAAAACTGGGTATTAACCGGACGCATCTACCTACTCTTCGGAATGATGACGGTAAAACTAATGGAGCCACACTACCTCACACTACCTACGCTTACCTATTCCCACATTTTTGTTCGAAAAAATTTAAATAATAATAGGTGACAAATTGTCCACGTTATCAGAAGCTAATATGTTGGGTTTAACAGAACGTAGAACATTAAACTTAAAAATGTGTTGTTGTTGTTGTTAAGCGGGTTTTTTTATATAGAAGCTATTTACCTACTGACAAGTTATTCAACACGTAGAAAGTGCACATTATGGTATAGCTTCACTTAAAATGCATGGCTAGCTAACTTGTAACACATGAGCATTTTTATACTAAGAATTATTTCGTAACATCACCTCTCGACAACTACAGATGGGGCCCTATAGGGCTAATGTTCAGCTGGGGTTGCGGGGTAAGCGAAATGAGGCACCGCGGCCTTGGCCTAAAGCAGGAGAAAAGAACAAGAGAGAGAGGAGATTAGTCAGTAAGTGTCTGACACTGCCTTTCGCCTTACCTTGGACGAGAGAAGAAATTTGATAATTTTCCCCTGACAAAAAAAACCTCTCAGTCGGAATTGCAGGTCAGGCACAGCAATGCTATTGTGGCCTCGGCCTGGAGCAGAAGAAGAGTAAACGTATAAGAATAACTATCTCAAGCAGATGTTCTTGTTAGCTGTGAGGATTAAAGCCCTAATTAAATGTTGCATTATCTGGTATTTCATAAATGGGCTGAAGTGAGATAAGATGCCTCATCAAACAGGTTTTAGGTATTATGTATAGACGATACTAAACGGATTGTTTACAAGTCTATCTCGATGTTTTTATTTAGGGCAAAGGCTTAACCTTTAACGTGCGCGAACCCCTGCGTTCGTTTTATATTATAGAGTATTTTTGTCTATATGACAATCATTGAGTCTGTTTTTTTTTCAATGTTTTGTGTTATGAAAACCATTTATGAAAAATCGTGCGTTTTACAACTGCAAAATGCAGTTTTCCTACATTCCCTTAAATACATATATTTCTTTACATTGAAAACAACCTTATACCTTGTAAGTAGTTCGTATTGTGAGACGATTTAAACTCCGATTCAAAATAAGTTTAACAAGAGAAATTTAAATCTAGAAGGAAAATATTGTATTGTATTTAAAAAATTAACCCAGATGAAAATTCCCTGGTTTTACTATTCATTCATGGCTTTTTTCCTGTTTGTGACTTAGTTAAATGCGTAACAAATGACCTATGTTAGATGTCTTGACAATACTACGTGTGACATACATAATATACATACGCATTTATATATGTATGTACGTCATTTATAAAACATTTTATGAATTATAACAAGTTGAATAATTGTAGTAATCGAGAGTAATCGTTAATATTGAATCTGTTCTTGCTCGTTCTTTACTATAGAAACTTTTTGAATTGCAAAAAGGGTGATTATAGTATGTAATGGTTGGGGAAATTGATTCTTATTTTTAAATTTATTGCTATACGCCCAAATCCCAAATGTGACTGCAGATATTTGATGATTTCTCTTTGGTAGGCTCACCACAAGTGCTTTGATCTTAAGGTAGTTTTCGACACGTGACAAGACAGGAATATTTTTTGAAAAACAAATGTATTTGTTTTAAATTACTGATATAAATAATTTGTCATTTTGACCAAGGAATATACATATTTCAAATAATACAAAGAAGCCTTGGCTTCTTTTTTGTGAATCTGAAAGGGTATTAGGATTATTAGTTTGAAAAAACTTTAGTATACTTTTATAACTCCTATATATGTATATTTTTTGTAGCATGCCTTTGAGGTCACTCATCACTTGGGCATAACGAATAAATTATTTTGTAAATTATTGCATTATTCACTGTTACATAACTCTTCAAGGCAAGTTGTATATCGGTCATCCCTACGTTTCATGTCCAAATTATCATAAACCTGTTCTCACTCGACATTTCATCTCTTAAAAGGTACTGGTATAAGTTTCATTAACAACTAACCTGATTTAATTATACCCATATAACACAAAATGGTCATAACTGTACATTATAAAACGGAGTACACCTAATAATATACACAGATGGTTACATACAGGTTATTCCTGTCCAAGGAGACACGTTTATTTATAGGAATTCGCCATAAAATTAACCTTAACAAACTTGATCCAGACTTAAGTGGAAGTTACGAGGTAGCTTAGGTATGGGATGTTCTATCGCCGGGTTTCTTATAAACTGATGAGGAAATTGGTTTAATAAAAATATTAGCTCTTGAATGCGGGTTCAACTACGTAGTCTTCATTATTTAGAGTTGATGTTTACAAGCTTTCGAAAATAGCATTATACAGTGTTTTTGTATGGAATGGTTTTGCTCACAAGGTTTCGAATCACTCGATGTAAACCAATCATCGTCACCCATGAACATCCGCAACACCAAAGGAGTTACAAATGCGTTGCTGACCTTTTGTGGGTTGTGAGTGTTTTGAGGTTTGGGGATTTCGGGATTGTGGATTAGGGGAAGGATTGTGCCAAAATCAATGAAGCACCCCCAAAGCAATGAAGGGTTTCATTGAACATGTTGTTGAAATTAAAGTACTACCTACTTTATTTGTTGATTGAGATCTTTTTTATGTATTGTCAATTAGCTCTAGGCGCCGCCTGTGGAAACACCTGCCTTTGGGGTTTTTACGATTACAGTTTAGGAGATTTGGGAATAGGAAGGAATGGAGGAGGGAAAGGATTGGGCCTCTGGTAGGTACACCTCACACACAGCTATACACTATACTTTTTATATTATTAAATGCTGCTAATATCATGAGTACCGTTGTCCACTGCTTAAAACAAAGCAAGAAATATTGCTATTGGGCTAACTGTAAATGGGGACTTGAGACTGACGACATCGACGTTACCTGTCAAACAAGTTAGGGAGCTTGTTAAACTTTAACATGTTCTTTGGTCTTAATGTATAATGTATAAAAAAGAGGGCAGATTGAAAAATAGTTCGATTCAATACGTTCCGAAAATAATTAGCACATTCGAAAAAAATCTTCACCGTTGAAAAGGTACGATCAACCTGAGTAAAGGTTATAATATTTTGTTTGCTAAAATATCTATAAAAAACTTATGTTCACCCGTACGAACCTGCGACCGGTCGCTAGTGTCATATTATACATAAACTAGCTTCTCTCGCGCGATTTCACCCGTGTGAGGTTATTTTTGGGTCCCATCTAATACCTATTTACATTTCACGCACATTTCCATAGTCGGCTTAATTTCAAAATGCAATATTTACGATAAATCGACATTTCTCTATTAATTCAGAAATAAAACAATGCTGACCTGGCGTTCAGTCTATTTCTCTCTTTAATCCTATATTATCAGAGTATCTAGTGAGAAATTATCTTAAAGTTAATGCGTTCGGAACGTTACCGCGTTTAGCCCTATGGTTGGTTGGTCAACTTGGCGCTGGCCAATCAGAGCGCCGAACGTCATAAAAGTGTCGAACGCCTTAACGTGGACACTAGTGCAGATTCACAAACAGCATTTATGGTAACTTCATGTTATTGTTTATGTCATTAATGTTTATTCCATCCTACTTGCATATCTGCTTACAACTTGTAAACATTCTGTATGGGAACTTATAAATTATAAATATACTTCTTTTGAATCAATGCTTCTCTTCCCACCGGAAACTATAAAACCGTTACTAATATTTAATATCTTGACTGCAATAGATGTAAGTTCAAGTTTATGACACGTCTGGGAATTTATATACTTTATATTCATTAAATACTATATTATTATATAAGTTAAGGTCCATAATCCAGTATCAGCGGTAATTATGGCTTTTTCTCTAGCAGTAATAATGTGATGAATTCAACTGATTGATTAGTTGGATGTATTCGTAGATTTAAGAGCGTTTACCTGTAAGATCTCATTTCATTGACTGCTGATAGGCTACTGTTGAGGGCGAATCCTCTGCTAGTGTGGCCCACACATTGCCCCCATGGCGTTCAATGTGTTGATGACGCGGGGTGCGTCGGGCGTTCGCCGTACATTGCAACAGAAAGCCGCGTCATCGCCCGCGCAAACCCTAACATTGCAGCAATGTACAACGGACGCACAAAGCGCTGCGTATCGCGCGGATAGTGTGGGATATAACTTCATTAACTCACATATAAATGCTTCTCATTCGTGGGTGTGAGTTCAAAATTGAGCAAGCGTAGTGATTAAAGCTTGTTCCTTCTCCACGTAAGAAAAGCCTTAGCTCACTAATGGGCATTTATAAACTGATATCGAATGGCACGCTGTTTCACATCGGTATGGTGGCTACAAATTAAATGTACATATAATGTAGTACATGGTATAGGTACAAATATACAAAAACAGCGATGGTTTTTAACAAGCTTTAGTTACTAAATTACTTGTTTTCCTGTACATTCTTAGTAATGAATGAATGTTCTTCTGTTACCTACACTCAGCATTACTCGAATGAATAAGAAACGAGTAATTCAATCAATCATTGTGTAAAATACTGTAAACAAATTAATTCCAGGAAAAGGTTATAGGGACTTTTTTAATAACCGCTTTTCAACAGTTTTGTATGCAGACAAAACTCCTTGTAAACGTTCGCTGAAAAAGCGGTCGCGCAAGGATATTGTTATTATGGTTAGTTACTTCTTGAAAATGTGGGATCTATATTTAACAGACATCTAGCCTAAGGGTGAAAATACGTGAAACCATGTCACTGACCTCTGGATCGAAGTCCAGATTTTAACCTAGGTCGTCCAGTTTGCGGGCCATTTCGGAAAAGAAGATGGAAAAGGGTGATTTTTCAGTCAGTAAGAGTCTGACAATCCCTCACGCCCTGGCGGGTCAGCATGATTTTCACCCCCTTCAAAACAGCTGGCTCATTCATATCTACTAAACTTAGGAGACAGTTGGTTTAATGAACCTAAATTAATACAAACTAACTGAATAGCTGAGGTCTTGCAAACATGACACGATTTCTTTTTTAATACAAGTCAGCGAATCAGTGCTTACTTGCCAGTAATATAGCGATGCCATTTATGGGATACGTAGCCTAGTGATTTAAGAGAGGTCGGGTTTCATAACTTAGTAACATATGTTACCACTAGTCTTATGTATTAGGTATATAATAAGAGATACATATGAAATCTTGACTTTAGTTGGCTGACATGCCTTTAATTTTCTTGCATTTGAGCCCAAGCGAAATAATGATTAGGCCACGGTTCGGAGCAGGAGAAAGCACGGGGTGGTTTATAGTCAGCCTTGAGTGACGCTCCCTCAAAAATAAATAAAAGAGGTTTCCATAAGACTTTAATTATCTGTAGCCATGTTAAGAATCTCATGTTATTCCAAACCTAATCCTACAACAATTTTTATTTATTCAGCCTGATTGAGGATTTTTAAAAAGCCGGTACGTGTATTAATAGTGGGTATATTTAGTGCAAAAAATCACTATAACCTAATAAAAAAAATTACGACAAATGACTACAAAGTCCTAACCAGTTTTAATAAGCAATAGTGCGCAAACCCGGTTCCCTTAATAATTGCGGATGGTAGACAGTCGCTCCACATAAAACCAGACTCCAACTTGTTCCTGTATTATGGATGAAGAAAACTTGTCTTGTCAACTCGTGCGCCTAATGAACTCACGACAAAGTATCTTTTTGAGTGATCCGAGCTTGGACATTGGATCTAAGCTAGATAGAAACACAAGTCATCTTATAGGTCAATGCCCTGTTAAATCTAGGCACCGTGTTTAAATGTTTCTAAATTCAAAATTGAATTTGCAATTTAATGGTTTATAATGAATGGTGGCTGCGGGTATTTTTATTTCGAATGTCGAAATAAATGTTGCTTGTTAAAAATGTGGATTTATTTGATAAGTATTTAAAATATGTTACTAAATTTTTACATGTATTCTATTACAACTTACAAGGCTTTAGTTTCCTCTTTCCCTTAAAAGTAAGAGACTACGAACTGTTTATCATTGTCTTTTGTCGTTATCTTACTTCGAGTATTACATAAGGAAGCTCCCGTAATCACATTGAAGAATTGTCCTGACTTAAGCTGGTTTATGATCGATAATTCATATTATTGTACTATTACCTTTTCTTTCCCAGTGGCGAGGCACACTTCGCCGGGCAGGCGGTTCAGGCAGCAGCTTCAACTCAGGCACACTGACCTCAAACAGCTCCACCACATCCAGTACCACAGTCCAGTCCCACCACCTCATGTGCAGCATGAGGGACTTTGGGCATACTGCAGGCGGTGACGAGGCTGAGCTGCTACTTTGGCTTCACGACGCTAGGCGAGCTCAACCTTTGTCAGAGAGGTTCAGAATCCGAATAGCCAGAGACGGATTCTCCAATTACGTGGACAGATTGCATGCCAACAGTACTTTATTTGCGGTAAGTAAGAACTTAATGTGCTTTTGTTTTTGGGCGTAAGCTTTTAAAAAATGGCCAGGTTATGGGGAGAAAGACTTGCTGGTGTAAGGATTTTACCTTACTTAAACCCTAGTGGTGGACGAGCAATTGTAAGATATAGGCAACCGGGTCCTTTAAATAAACTAAGTAAGTGGCTGACGTAATTGCACGGTCTGGGCAACCGGTTGCCCTGCAGTTTTTCGCGGTTTCGATTCCCGCACGGAACAACTCTTTGTGTGTGATCCACAATTTATTGATCTAGGTCTGTGCGTGATGTGTATGTGAAATTGTAAGTTTGTAAACGCACCCACGACACAGGAGACAAAAAATCTTAGGGTAAAAAAGTTCCTAGGTCGGTAATTATCTAGGTTTTGTCATAGAATAAGAATTAAAAAGGAGTAAGCAGGATTTCTGAAGGTTTGCAGGTGTTGAAAATCGATGCAATACTTTTATTATCATGTATACTTACCTACCTATAGAGAGTGCAGAAAGTAATTAAATACAAAATTTTCCTATTGTAACTCACCGCAGTCGTTACGTTACCTTGTAAATTATTACCAATTTGTTTTGCTTACATTTATTAACTCAACATACAAACAATTGATATTTTATTTATCTCACTAAACTTGAAGGCATTGAACGACCTGATTCTACGACCGCAAACAAATTGATGTTAGTATAGGTATTATTACTACGACTTTGTGATATTTATTTATACCTATGTTTGTATTACAAAACCATATATTTTCCAGGTCACTGACTTATTCGTTTCGCCTCAGGTGAAATGGCCATTGTTTTGTTATGAAAATATTGTGTAAACTAAACATATTAATCAGAAGTCGTTTAACGCTCCACAGATGATATGGTTTCGCTTCGATAAAATTTACTCAAGGAGAAATAATACCTACAGCTTACTTGTAGGTTTTTAATCGATATTGTTCGATTCTGCTTTACCGACTGTAGTTATCGGTATGTTCTACTGAACAAAATCGTTTCGATATTGTGAAACAAGTTAATACTGTTTGCACTAGTTAAAAAAAACTTTTTATTAAACTTATTCTTACGAAAAACACCAAAATCATAAAAAAAAACATAAAAGCACAAGAATTGAAAAACATCCTCTGCTTTTTAAGTCGGTAAAACATCGAGTATTATGAAAATAACTGTTTCTGAGTTATTAGCAGAGACCCCGTTTAGGACCTACAACTTATTTAGGATGCTAAAAGTGGTAGAACCACTAGAACATTGTGGAATACATTATCTGTCATTTTGTCGGACATTCCTAGCAGATATGTAAAAGCAGGGTGTTGTGATAGATTTTTAAACATTATACATATATGTAGGTACCTATATCTACATCATCATCAGTAACTACTTTAGTACCTTCCTTATGAATCTACATTTTGGAGTGAGCACCTACGAGTAGCTTCACAATTTCAACTTTGACGTTTTAAATGTGGCTCTTTTGACAATGAATTATTTGTAAATAATATGTATACAATATTTGCGATTCTTGTAAAATACTGCTATGTCTTAAGTACTTTATTATAACGTAACATTAACATTGTAGGTACACTTAGTTAGCAATAAACTTTTTGACTTTGACTTGATAATTATGTAAGGCTTTTTGTGGACATTGCACATCGATAAATCAGTTGCATCCAAGTCCATGTTGTTTGTACTTAAAAAGAGTAAACATTGTGCGTCGACATGTTTAATTGTAATTTGATATTTTTGTTATACGTCATTGAGGTTAAGGCAATGAAACTGGTTCAATCCGGTATATGGCTCGGTGTCGATAACAGAATGTACCTTTTTAGCTGTTTTAGCTAAAGCACTGCAATCGGGTTTAAGATAAGGCGATATGTTTTTATTGTGTTAGTATATGTTTTATAACAATCTTACAAATCGGGCTTATCAGAACAATAGTCAGAGATCGTTCATGCAAAACAGGGTAAAATGCAACCAAAAACGGTAACTTTATGCAGTTCTAAGCTACAGTGAAATTGTATACCTACTATAAATTTTATTTAGCGTCACCTTTAGCAAAATTACTAGCGTATTATAGTTTTTTTTTTATCACAGATAATCTATACTGCTTGTTACAAATGTTAGATACCTAATCTATACTAATATTATAAAGAGGTAAAATTTGTAAGTTTGTATGTAGGGGGTAATCTTTGGAACCGCTGGTCGGATTTCCAAGATTCTTTCACTGATAGATAGCTACAATATTCCTGAGTGCTATAGGCAAACATCACGCTACGATTAAATGGAAACGAGCAGCGGGTGAAACCGCGTGAGAGTAACTAGTCAACAAATAACATCAACATCTATAGTGCTCCTATACTTAGATATTTTGTATTAAAATATAAATTATTCTCATCTGTTATTCTTATACGGTCATGGAAAGTGTCTTCTGTAAACATGTGTAATTAAAACAAAATTTGTTTTATAAGCAATGAAGAGGTTCAAAATTTCTTCCAGGATCTATCAACGACGGATCTTTCTCGCGAGTTATGGCTGGTCGCGTGGGTGATACGGGTGGGGCGATGGGCTGGTGCCGGTAGCAGCGGGAGTGGGACCGGAGAGCGACGAGGCCCTGTGGCTAGAAGACCTTTGGGCGCTGGAGTTCTACCTCTAGCTGAGTTCTTAAGGCAGCCTGGACAACACCCTGGCGAGAAAGAATATACGTTTAAAGTGAGTGATTTCTTAAAACAATTTCTTTAACGTTAATATGACTAGGTTCTATGTAACTTAGATATAGTTACGTAAGGTGCTAGTGGAACCAGAGCAAGGGCCTGTCTTGCATGTGCTGGACTGTTGCCTATTTTGTCGCGGACCAAGGGACACACTAAGGGGGGACAGCCCGTGCGTTTTATCTCATTTTTTCTAGAGTTCGAAATAAATTATCTTCTTTTCTCTTCTTTAATAGTGTCTTAGCGACCAACTACTCAAGTTATGGCGGGTCATGCGAACATGTACCTAATTGTTTCATGTGGGACCCAATCTTGCTTATCAAACCAAGTTTTAAAAACAGCCGTCTGCATTGTAACTTATTCATAAAAAATGTTCATAGGTGTACCAATGCGAGGAAAAAGACTTCCATCAGCTACATGACATGCTAATAAGGAAACAAACAAACAAATGCAATATTCTACCTGGACAACCCAATTACGGTAAGTGCTAATATTATTGTGGGAAAAACATTTATTGCAATATTACATACTGTAGGTATCGCTCAATCACTGCACCTGCTTTTAACCGAACAAGCAAAAATATGAATAACAAATAAATTTAAACTTTTTAATGTTAATAAACCTTCTATGTACGTTCGGAATCGATGCTACTTCCATGGACAAAACTTATTAGAGAACTGAGCCACTCACAAGGACAATGTTTGAGTATTAATCACCACGTTTGCTCTCTTGATCGTTTGCCGCCATATCAAATGATAAACAGCTTAATATACCCTAACTCTTCACAAAGGTTTCCATAAAAGCAGGTTTATTGCTTTGAAGGATGAAAAATGAGTAGTTAAGTATGGGAGAGTCATGTTTCGGCACGAATAGGTCAGCTCGACCGGACTGATACCATGGCCTTACAGAAAACCGGCGTGAAACAACAACAGTCGTTGTGTTTAGCCGTGTAAGGGCCCAATCCTTCCCCTACGCCAATCCCAAAATCTCCAAACACCTGATCCCCAAAAGGTGGGCAAAGCACTTGTAACTCCTCCGTTCTTACCATCAGGTAATATGTATGCTCGTGTGCCGTTTCATAAAATAATCCTCTTAAAAGCTTACAGCTTAGAGACTCACTAATCTAGTCACATAATATTATGTCACGGAATAAATTGCAAACATTAGATAACTTTGCTTACGTCGAGAACCTGTCTGACACCAGTTCTGGGAAACAAGAGAATGTCTACTGCATATCTATTAGGTTAGACTTTGGACTGACAACTTTTGACTGGACTAATTTGTAAACCATAGTAATGCAGTACCGGGTAAGTTCGGGTTACTTTGACCCTGCGGGGTAACTTTGATCCAAACCCTTTTTAACCAATAATAACTGAGAACCAAACGTATATTCGTTTTCATTGGTTCGAAAATTTGGATCAAAGTTACCTCCCAGGGTCAAAGTAACCCGAACTTACGGTATTGATGATAAAACGAGCTCAGAAAACATTTAACATTGGGGGCTTGTTGGTGTGGTAAACGAAAGTCACGAAGGTTTCGGTTTGAATCCCTTAATCAAGTTGAGTAGTCCTAGATTTTTAGGGCATGTAATTGTCACAGCTCTTTCAAAATAACTTTGCATCCATTGTGTCATCCTTAGCATTATTTGAAATAAGAATTTTAACTCTAATACTTCATTTAAAATGTGCACTGACAAAAATCAATGTTATTTATGTATATATGGACATTAAATTTTTTTTATGTGATATGTTGGCAAACGAGCAAACTGATTACGTGATTGTAAGCAATCAGCGTCGCCCATGGACACCCGCAACGACGGAGGAGTTACGAGTGCGTTGTCGATCTTTTGGGGATTAGGGATTTGGAGATTCTGGGAAAGGGAACGGATTGGGGTAGGGGAAGGAATCAGCCTCTGGTAACTTACACGGCGAAACACAACTCTTTGGTTGTTTCACGCCGGTTTTCTGTGAGGCCGCGGTATCACTCCGGTCGAACCGACCCATTCGTGCCGAATCAGGGCTCTCCCACACTTATTCGTATTCGTGCTTTTATGTTAAAAACTTGTCACCAATCAAAGTCTCCCCCTTAGTTAAAGTATCAATGAACAAATTATACAAGATGCTATCTTCAAATGATTGCAGGATGAAGACAATTTATTTTACATTGTTAATTAAATACCCTTGTAGTATTTATACACATCAATCTTCATTTACATAATATATTCATACGGTATTCTTGTGGGTATAATACAAGTAACGTATAATGCGCTTATTATTAATAAATCAAATAAATTTTGTAATAATAATATTTTTTTGACCTTCAAAAGGGCCAGGTGTATAAGTTACGGGTTACTATTGAATGTTTGTTCTGATAGACTTTTGAATACAGAAGGAAGGTACCTACACCTGTTTGCAAAAAACATCTGCCTGTCTATACTGCTTATAGTGATACGCTCGTTGCCGTAATATGTAGTTTTAGATGTGCATTACGGATTTTAGCCAATACGCAGGCAACTTAAATTATATTGATAAAAAAATATGTATCAAATTCTCTTTTGAAATTTCAATTTTAGAGCTAATGGTGTTCAAATAAATTAACCTTTTAGTTTAGCGTGTCGATGTTAATCTAGATAGAATCGACTCAGAACAGGTCAAATAAAAAAGCAGTAGATTAATCAATGTATAAAATATTTGTTACTGGAAAATTTTAATACTGCACAATTCTAAATAGTCTTAAAGAATAGATAGAAGGTCCTTATTTTATTGGCTAGTATGAGATCTAGGTAATACAGGAAATTGAACACTATAAACTGATCATACCTGACATGAAAATCTCGATTATAAGCACTTCGTAGACAAAATTATCATACACTTATTCCATACTATACTCTATTCGTGTTAAAATAAGACATATAATAAAAATAAACATTTCGTCTGTTTAACCGATTTTAACTTCTATTCCGTAAGTACAAACTGTTACAAAAATAATTTATTTTTTGCAATCGCCATTTGTCATTACCATCATAACCTACGTAATAAAATTCAAAATGGAGTGAACAGACAGCAAAATGAGTTTTCTTAAATTCCTAATGTTACTTTACTAATTAACTATTCTTTACAGGTATCGTAGTGGCTCTTCGTCTCTTATCAAACGCGGGGAGCATATCTGAAGCAGTCGGTTCCGGGGCCACTGTCACAGCTAAACGAGGTTTCCCTGACGTCATCATGCCCGGTGACGTCCGCAACGACCTCTATCTGACTTTAGAGAAAGCAGAATTCGAAAGAGGCGGGAAAAGTACGGCGAAGAATGTTTTAGCAACTGTCACTGTTCATGATAGTACGGGACAAGTTATAAATGTAAGTAACTTTATGATTATTTGTTCTTTGAGAGATTTTAAAAGGTATTTTCGACCTTAAGGTTCCTTCGTTACGATCAAATGTTCTTTGCCTCTAGCTAAATACATACTAAAATACAAGTATCATGTGTTGCTGTACTTTTAGTAATTGAAATTGAAAAGAAAATGTTTCGAGAAATGGAGAATGACTGAATACATGTCATTATCGACTATATCATTTTCATAATATTAAGATTAAATCTTATTTACACATAAAAAATAAAGTTAGTCTTAGATGAAGATATAAACGTTACTGGATTTAAATTTTCCTGTCACAGTTAAAAGCTATTTTCCATTTTTCTATTACTGCTGCACTATTTCAGAAGCTATTAAATTTTGTGTGAAATTGATTTTGTTTCGAATCTAAGTTTTGTTGGAACTGTTAGCGCCATCTATTATTCGCTGAGCGAAACTATCCGCGGCACGGTTTCCATACAAACTTCAAGTTCAAAATCTTGCAAACTACTTAACCGATGTTGTTTCGGAAATGAACAAGACGGTCCTAGTAAATTAATTATGCCCTAACTCCTATATAAATAAAAAAAACTGTTCTCTAAACTTATAAATTAGTTAACAACCGTCTTATTTTCTTATTCAATTTATTTTATTTTTTTATCTCCACAGGAATGTGTATGGGGAGCGAGTGGCAATGGGTCTACGTCATACGAGTCAGTAGTACTATACCACAACAACAGTCCTGCGTGGGGAGAGCACCTTCGCCTCACCGTGCCATTAGAAACATTTACCAATGCGCATGTCCGCATCGAGTTCAGACATTGTTCTAGTAAGTAATATCATTATCTTCTTAACAACATTAATATTTATTTCAAACATCAATTTTTAATTTCTTCAATAAACTCATTTTTGATTAAAAATAACGTTGACGTTGCCGGTGTATATAATATCTATTGAACATAATAACTTTATTAACAAAATATTTCATTTACCTACAGCGAGAGACAAAACTGAGAGAAAACTATACGGTTTCGCGTTCGCCCGACTGATGGAAGCTAGTGGGGCTACTTTGAGAGACGGTGCACATGAACTGTATGTGTACAAGTGCGACGATCCTACCAAGTAAGTCTCCCATGTAATCTTTTTTTATATAAAAATTAATTGTTTTTTTATTAAAATATGACTCAATTAAAATTATTTCATACCTTCATTTTTTTATTTGACATACATACTTTATATACTTTTTCGATATTTTCTAGCTAATATGTTTTATGACGTATTTATAAACATGATCACGACACAAGTTTGTATCTCACAGAAATTTCAATAAAGTTTCGTTTTTAATGCTAGTTACAAAAGTCTTGAATTTAACTAGTTGTCAAAAAAAACAAGGAGCCAGCGATTAATAAATTACTAACCAAGTTTTCACAACTTTTTGTCAGAACGCTTGCTCCTTGAAAGTACAGACAGGAGTGGACGTATACATTATAGGTATAGTTACCATAAAATCATCACCAGTTTTTTTTTTATTTCCAGTCGTATGCAGGCTATTGAGTAATTTAAAAGTCGAACGTTATGATTTATTGTTTCTTGCCTCACCACTCTTAACATAAAATTTTATAAGAGACACCATATTTTCATCTCCAGACTGACATCAGCGAGTTACCTGTCGCTGCCATCATGCGCGGCAGACAGTGCTCGCGCGGGTTCCGTCAACGGTGTGGTGCCAACATTCCAAAGAAGTTCCAAAGAAAACTGTACCATCAGCACACTGCTGTGTTCTACAAAATTAACTCAAAATGGTGAGTAATACATACATAACATTTTGGAAATGCTTCCTAAAAAAAATTTTCATTTTTACTTGAACTGTCTTTTATGCAGTGTTTAGAAAGTATATAGTGACATTTAGGAGCAGGTTATGACTTGATTATTTAGTATACCATGTTTTGAGCTGGTCCTGGTTTGGGATTGCAATTATCATCATAATTTTAGCCATAAATGTGATTGATTATCATTACAATTTTGAGTACTTAACTTACATGGTAATAATAGTTACTTTGACATGAGAATCAAATTGATAAACAGTACTTTGAAATCTGAGGCTAATTAAAAGTAGATCAATTTAATTTTTCACGGGAAAAACATTCAATGACTTCTCTCCTACAGAGTGGAGCAAGGGGTAGTGTCAGACTCTTACTGACTTAAAACTGCCCCGTTCCTTCTCCTACTCCAAGCCGCGGTAGTTGTATATTATTACGCTTGCATCCGCAACTAAGACCTAATACTTTATCCTGATTATAGAAATAAAAATAATGCTTAATGGTCGCTTAGCATGTAATACAATGACTGAAGGCGCCATAATTTTAAAACCTTGATTGATTCAGCTATAAAATACTTATCCTTGTAAACGTATTATCAATGCAGCTTTACATACAGCAGAAATATATTATTCATTCGTCATTCGTCAACTAAATTATTTCCCGCCTCGAAACACAATCTCGTATCATGTGACTAAATCTTAATGGCTAAATAACTGGCTGCCTATCAAGGGGTCGGAAGTTCAAACGCTGTTAATTCAACTACGCATCTAATATATGGGCCATGAGAGTACTTCTAGCAAGGTTGTTTTAGACTAATAATTTGGTTTGGTAAACAAAATAATCATGTGTGGAAAAATAATATTTACTGGCCATTTTTACATCTTCATATATATAAAATGTATCACAAAATATGTTAGTAAGTGCATAACTCAACAACGCCTGGAGCAATTTTGCTAATTTTTAAAGATGTTCGTTGAAGTCCAAGGATGGTTCTTACGGCGAGAAAAAATCGAATAATTGCCGAGAAACCCCCAAAAACAGCCATTTTCTTTTTCACATACAAACGTTTTATTACTAAAACGTACAATCAATTTGAGCTTAATTGCTATTATTATAAAGTTCATATTAAATAACAAGCACTGTCTGTTATCTAAGAAATGTAGGTGTGTTCCTAACGAAGTTCAAAATCTAAATTTGCACTTTCTTACCGCTATACAAGGTTCAAATTCAATCATATCTATCAAAACTGTGTGTTTAATATAAATATATCAAAATAATAAATTTATTTAATTATTTTTAATTTCATACCGAATTATTACCAGGATGACTGTTCTGTTCAGGATATTTTTTGCAAAAAATATAAAGTAGGGAGGAACAAAACACTACAAATTTTTGACAGGACGAAGTCTGTCGGGTCAGCTAGTAGTTAATAATTTGGTAATACATATTATTTTCTTGTTTATTTTGCAGAATATCTACCAAACACAGATCTGCAACAATGTGACGAATATGTTCATATCTATAACAATGACAGATCTATATCTAAATACATTTATGAAATGGGAAAAGTAATGTTTCGTATAATTCATTGTAATTTCTTATCTGCTCGAACAAAATTATATCTTGTTGGACCATATTAACAATTTTATAATATAGATTTTCCTTTGTATACTGTAATTTAAAAAAATACTTTTTTATATATTTACAGAGGATCTCCTAGCCTTACTCCAATGGCGCGCCCGTCCAGAGAAGGTGCAAGAGACATTACTTCGTGTACTAAGACTGGGCGACGGACTCAGCTGTGAAGAGCTGATTAAGTTTCTCAGAGATGTACTGGATGCTTTATTTGCACTGTTTTCCACTGAAGATGGAAATAGGTGAGCTATTGATATCCGCATCGCTTTATGTATTATTCATAATATTATTATTACAAATAATTTAACGCTTAATTTAAAACAATAACAAATTTTTATGGGTTAGGTTGGCAAACGAGCAGATGGTAATCTGTTAGCCGATTGCTTAGGTACCATAATCCTGATGGTAAGCAATTTGCACTGCTCATGGACACCCATAATACCAAAGGAGTTATTACATGTGCATTGCCAACCTTTTGTGAGATATTATTTATTAAAACTTCGTGCATTCGGGGATTAACGACGGGTGGAAGGATAAGGCCTAGGATGAGAACTTGAGTAAAATATTATGTTTGTTCTAAAACAATGTTACAACCATTCTACCCCATATTTTATAGTGGTTGTAAAACCGTTGATTAACTTTGTAAAATGTTAATTAACTTTCATCTCTCAAAAAGCCAATGTATTTTTTTAATTAATGTCATGCATAAAGTGAAGTCGTAATAACTTACATTATCAGACCACATAGTCGAAATAACATATTAACTTGGTATAATACTTTAAAATTTGTGAAAATATAATTTTGTTTTCATTTCCAGCACTCCACATTCAGGCACGGTGTTCCTGGTTCTGATATCGATATGCAGCTTGCTAGACGAGAGCCGGTTTCAACATTTCAGGCCGGTACTAGATGTATATATCGAAGAACATTTCTCTGCAGCTCTAGTTTACAAGTAAGTTGTTTTTGAGAAACTTTTACCATGAACGAACACATAGCGCAAAAAGTGCTCGCGAGTAACTGACCATAAAGCAGCATTTTTACAAGCCGAAATTAAACTCTTAGATAAATAATTAATTATATCAGTATCATCAACCAATAAAAACAAGATGGATGTAAAAGCGAACTGTTGTATCGCGATGTAAAATCTAGATCGTGATTGATGATATTGCTGCGTGTTGTGTGGTAAATGGCGCCAAATTTATGTAAATGTAGTGGGCCTTTGACAAACTGTCTAATAATATTTATTCATGGCAAAAAGTCAAATGGAGAAGCAGTTACTCAAGGCTGATCAAGGCATCTTCACACCATTTTATAATTTTATTACAGAGGCCTTCTCTCGTCAGTACAACACTGTGCCGAATGGGCAGCTAGTGCGGAAGGTCAGGAACCAATTCGCAAGTGTCTCCGATCTTTAGGAGCAGTATTCAGGCTGGCTGTGAGGTCCCGACGTCTATTCGCCAGAGCGACCGGTGGACAGTATGAAGATAGCTTTAGAAGAGATGTAAGGGCTGCCCTACATGCGCTAAAGGCGTTTGCGCAACATCCCTATAAGGAACATCTTGCGCCGGCTCAGGTTCGTTGAATTGTTTCTTGTTGGTATTGAGTTTTTAGTTATGTTGTTTTAAGTGGTGTAGATTTTAAGTAAGTCTACAATGTCTATTTTTTGTATCTATATTTTATCTAACAAAAAGACAATTTAAAATTTATTACCGTCCTCGGCTCCTTAAGACCCTCGCCTGACGGCTCAGGCCTCAATGCGCCTCAGCGGTATTCATCAACATTACAAACTTGTATCTTAAAGTAATGCCTTTGAGCTATGACTACACGGTTGGCGTAGTGGTCACACAAAGTGTTGTTCCGTGCGGTAGTCATCTTGCGAAGCGTTTCCTAGCCACGGCACTAACCGTGCAATAAAATTTGTCTTTGAGCTATGGAGGGGTTCAGGGATCCGTGAGACACAATGTGTTTTCTATTGTTTGTCATATACCGGCAGACGAGAGGTAAATGAGTGCGTGTGCAGGTGGCGCTGATGTCGTCGTGGGCGGAGGTGTCCCGCGAGGTGTGCGGCGCGCTGGGCGCGGGCGAGGCGGCGCGCGCGGCGGCCGCGCTGCTGGACGCGCCGCACCACCTGCCGCCGCCGCCGCCCGCGCTCGCGCGCGCCCGCCTCCGCGCCGCGCAGGACATACTCAAGGGGCCGCTCGGGGAGGATCCTGGTAAACTAACACATACCGTCTCTTCTCACATTACACTAACTTCTTCGCACACGTATACACTAATTTATCCAAGAATTTAAACAAAACAGCAGCGTTTAAAACCTGTCTCTGCTTGACTAAAATACACAAATCATACTATATAAGTTATAGCCTAATAGCATGAACACAGAAACTACCTATTAGGTACTGCAAGAAGTTTGAATATCCGACTAGTAGTTCCGAAGATTACCCTACATACAAACTTACAAATTTTAACTCTTTATAATATTTTAAAAAGTTCAAATTGTCAACTACAACACAGTAGTTTCCAAATAGTCAAATTCTCAAAACTACTGAGCAAAGACCTATTCTCGGAGAACGTTTGAGTATTAGTTACACGATTGCTCAAGGCGAAGGTGAAAGTATATATAATTGTCTTTAAAAAACATTGTAAGTACTAAATAGTCAAAATAATAAATTGTTGACCTAGGTAACTACCTAATCCTATAACTACCTAAATTTTCGAAGTTTGAATATTTTTGCAAACATACATGTTTCAAATACATAACTAAAAATGTTAAACTGTACAAATTGTTACTTTTTATCATAGTAAACATCGTCAGACATACTCATTTCTTGCAAATTAACAACGTATTTACTCACGTGAATAAACTCAGAAAAGCTTTACTATTTTCCACTCACAATGAACTCTTATTCATGAGCAATGTAAGTACGCGTCGCGGCCACGTCAATATTCATAATAAAATAATAAGAATTGTAACTTTCGTATTGCAAATGTATATTTCTTTTTTAAATCGGTCACCAACATCTCAAAAATTAAAAAAAAATGTTAATCGTTAATCATGACACAGCCCATATAACTTAAATTAGTTCATAATCATCAAAAATTACCCTACAGAAAGATTCCTTCCTCCCACAAACATGATCCTAAAATTATTATAAACAATCCACAGAAGCAAGAAACATAATACTAACAACTGCCTGTCACCATTTACGAGTGCACCTCGCTCGACGCGACGAGCTTCAACAATGTGCGGAAATGATTGGAGAGTTAGTTGCTCTATTGTGGAAGAAACCAGACCCTGATCGACCAGTAGAAGATGATGAACTGGATCCCGACGTTGATGTACTCTGTCTGAATACCTTGGATGTGTTGGTGGAGACTGTGCTACATCTGATTGGAGGGAACTCGCCTGTACTTGTGAGTAACTGTTGCTTTTCTTTTGTATTTTTAAAGCAATTCGGTAGTCAAATTTAATACTTTTATTGAAATATCAAAAACAATTTTATTGTTTAAAATCGCAATCGCGATGCGACGTCACGAAGTCAATGTTTTACTTCAAATGGTACTTAAACTTTTATCTAAAATTAACAATTAATTATACAACGCAAATATTTTTTTTGACCTAATAAACTACCTAATTTTTTATCATATACAGTCACTTTTAAACCTCAATTCTTGTTTTTTTCTTGGTAAGGGACACAAAGAAGAGTTGGTAAATTTTCTTTGCTGCAAACATTGTATGACCGATACCATCTTTCTCCAATAGACGCTAGGTCGGTTTGTTTCGGAATTGATTTTAAATATGTCATGATATAACTTCTGAGTAGAAAATATACTAAAAGCAATAATGAGGTATGTTTTCGTAAAAGTGTCATTGTCAGTACATTAGAGATAGTGATAAATCGTGATCCGCCAGTCAGGCGGACTTCATACCCTATTTTAATTGGCTTGTTTCCTCAGTCAAAAACGAATTATTTCAACGTATAAAACTAAAAAAATACTGAATAACAATCAGACATTATTTGACGATTTACTTGATATTGATTTTTATTGTTAATTCAAAAGAAATAAGTATACTATTTGACGTTAAAATATTATGATGTCCCAACGTCACAACACATTTCATATGACAATTTTCTATGAATCTTTTCCTTTTTGATATTTCGATAAAAGTATTGATTTTGACTTGTTGGAAACTTCCCTATTCCATGTCTTCTGAAAGTTGCAAAATAACTGTACAAAATTAAATGTCTTTAAAATAATAATACTTACATGATTATTTTTCCCAGGGATCAATGGTAGCTGGTCTTCTCGGTGTAATGGAGTTACTAAAGCCTGTCCATTATCAGCGACTGTGGAGCCATCTTGCTCCACACCCCCATGATCGGAAGCCGCTGAAAGACTTCTTGATGCGAGCCTTCTTAGTGTTCAGACATCTTATTAAACAGGACGTAAGTATAATAATAGCTAGTAGTTAATGGTTAATGCGAATAGTTAATGGCTAATAGTTTCCTAGTAGAAGTATCGATATGTGTTGTGGTAATGGCCCGGGTTCGAAACCTGGCATGTATTAATGTGGCTTTTTCCGAGTTACGTGTCTTTCTGAAGGAAAGCATCGTAAGGAAACTCAAACTTATAATTTGTAATTTCTCATTAAAAGTTTGAAGTCGCTCTTAACTTATTTTTTCTCAGCAGTGGGCACTTATACTCTAATGATGTGACGTGAAATATAGATAGATATCAGTAGTTACCATTTAGGGTTTAACGGTGTACTGAAGCAGTTCAAAATACAATGCGCATGCGCACAGTGCAACAATGTTTACAATGAAGGTTTTTGCGGGTACTTATGTGGAGTACAATCAAATATAAATAAATGTTAAACACTTTGTTGTTGTTACCCAGGTGTTCCCAGCAGACTGGATGGTATTGCGAGTACAAAGCTGTAAGGTTCTTCTGTCAGCGCTCCAAGACCTGGCTCAGCCGCTACTCGAAAGGTTCCTAGGAGACGAACCGCCTCAGTTTGATTCACAGGTATGTTTGAAGAGGCATTTTTATTTGATAAACAAGCACGCGGATTACCTGATGGCGAGCAATCGGCGCTGCCCATGGACAACCGCAACAATGGAGTTACGGTTTCATTAAGTATTACTAGGCTAGACTATACCAACCATGTTAAGTATGTTTTTGAATAGCAACTATCGTAAGACATACTTAATTTATTGAAAATAATGACTTAGTCATGTGAGTGAACTGAGAAAAGCTGTACTAGCATAAAAACACAACGGGACTTTTATACATTACGCCAGGGGAGGCGTGCGCGTCGCGGTGACGTCGCGCATCCAACGTTTTCTCAGTTTTATATAAATGCTACTTATAATTTAAATGAACGATAAAATAATTATTATTGAACTTTACAATTTAATAACAATAATTTCTTTTGACTGAATTCGGAACAAGTAGTCAACTTAACAGAAGAAAATTTTCAAATTTGTAGCATGTATAACTTTCCTTATTTTCGCAGTTATGGTCAGGCTACATGGAGTTAGGCGTGGCTCTAGTGACATCTACAGCGCTACAACCGGAACGCTGGTCGGGTCGCGGGCCGGACAGACCGCGCATGCGCGCCGCCGCTGGAATGAGGGTCTTGGCTACTTGGAATCTTTTAGGTGAGTTTTGTTGCAGTAATTTGATATTTATTTTTATGTAATATATAATTTTAATTTTAAGCTGCTGAAAGTTCGTACTTTAAGATTATTGTATGCCACAGATTACGGTATGTTTCTAAAGGGATCTAGGAGTCTTCAAAGTTCAAATGAAAAAGTTGCTTGTACCCTAGATAGGCCGTATATTCGCTAGCCACTCGATGGGAAACAGACACCCAAAGCTGATCTATTTTCAACACTAAAGAAGTACGTTTGTTTACTCTACGTAGCCCTTGGTAAATATTGAAGTTGAAGTACATAAAGAGTGGTCAAGCTTGACCAAAAACTAAGCCCTGTCTTGTCTCTCACCTTTTGCAATCATTTAATTCCCAAATCCTCCAATGTAACTGCTCTATGTCAAAATGTGTCAATCAATTCGACACTCACTAGCGTGCGTTCGTGCAGCGGAATGTTGTTGAATTTAAAGATTTTAATTATGCAGATATTTAGTGTATGACGTCGTTTAATTGTGTATGGTAAAAAACAATTTGTGCACGCAACCATTGTGGAGAAATTCACCAAAAACTGATTCCGCTGGGCGAACGTTGTCCTGGCGGAACTTTTTTTAATCCATAGACTTTAGAAGAAAAGTGATGTATCCAAAAATTAGTGTGTATTTGTGTGTAATTGTGTATGTATGAATAAAATTAGTGCATGCATAAACTTCGGAGAAATTCAAGTTTCCGCTACGCGAACGTTTGGCCATTAGCTAGTTTTCATATAAAGCGCTTACCTAGAGAGCTGTAGATTTTTACATACGTTGTTTTGAATTTGTTTATATTTTTTTAAAAAACAGATTTAGAAAAAATCGTAGGGTTTAAAAGATAAAAATATAAACGTAAAATACGCTTATTAGGTCTTAGTTCTTAAAGTATGCACTTTGGGGTCTAGATTTTCACGTTTATACAAACCTTGTAAGTGTCTGCAACATGTTGCCAAGTATCAATGATGTTCCGTTAGTAATTAAATAGTTATAGGACAAATTTACCATAAATAGATCACTGTTTACAAAGCAGTCAAATATCACGACTTTCTAAATGAATTGCATGGCAAAATGTATGCCAATAATTAGTGTATTCATTCAACTATTCACATGCAAAATTTCATGTCATTAAATTCAGTAATTAAAGAAAAACAATTATAATACTGACGAAGCATCGAAAACCTACATAACCTGACCAAGTTCGGATGGCTACAAAAAAGCGGCCGTGCCATATATCTAAGAAACGTTCTTAACTTTCCAATATAGCATTTATTTATATGGTACAGTATCGTACACAAGCGTTAGGAAAAATTAAAACAGTATCGTACACACGCTCGTGCATGCCTAGTCTATTGGTTAAATAGTGTAATAAAAAATATTGGTTAAATAGTGTAATAAGCTACAATATGATAAATATTTACCTAAACAGTAGTACATACTTACATGTGGTAAATATTTAATTTCCCTAAGGGGTCTATAGTTAGAATCCTGATCCGTGAAATCTTCAATAGAAATTAGCTGTATGAATTTTATTTGTCTTAAATATAATTAGATTATATCTCAAGTCTCAAGCGCATACTTAAATAAAGTACCTACGTAAATAGTACCTACTTTCTGTCATAGTCAAATACATTTAAAAAAGTAGGTGTCCAAAAATAAATGACCTATAAATTATTTCGAAACAACAAGTGTGTTATCACCTGTACCAATTCAATACCGGTATTATACTGTAAATTTTGGGATGTTACCTAAATATATTGCACAGCCGCTTTTTTGTAGCCATCCGAACTTGGTCGGGTTATGTAGGTTTTCGATGCTTCGTCAGTATTATAATTGTTTTTCTTTAATTATTGAATTTAATGACATGAAATTTTGCATGTGAATTGTTGAATGAATACACTAATTATTGGCATACATTTTACCATGCAATTCATTTAGAAAGTCGTGATATTTGACTGCTTTGTAAACAGTGATCTATTCATGGTAAATTTGTCCTATAACTATTTAATTACTAACGGAACATCATTGATACTTGGCAACATGTTGCAGACACTTACAAGGTTTGTATAAACGTGAAAATCTAGACCCCAAAGTGCATACTTTAAGAACTAAGACCTAATAAGCGTATTTTACGTTTATATTTTTATCTTTTAAACCCTACGATTTTTTCTAAATCTGTTTTTTAAACAAATATAAACAAATTCAAAATAACGTATGTAAAAATCTACAGCTCTCTATGTAAGCGTTTTATATGAAAACTAGCTAATGGCCAAACGTTCGCGTAGCGGAAACTTGAATTTCTCCGAAGTTTATGCATGCACTAGTTTTATTCATACATACACAATTACACACAAATACACACAAATTTTTGGATACATCACTTTTCTTCTAAAGTCTATGGATTAAAAAAAGTTCCGCCAGGACAACGTTCGCCCAGCGGAATCAGTTTTTGGTGAATTTCTCCACAATGTTTGCGTGCACAAATTTTTTCTTACCATACACAATTAAACGTCGTCATACACTAAATATCTGCATAATTAAAATCTTTAAATTCAACAACATTCCGCTGCACGAACGCACGCCACTCACTACTCAAACTGACTTTGATTGCATGGTTAGCGCTTTGGGTTCGCTTCCGGCAAGGAACAACATTTTGTGTAGTTCAAAAAATATTGTTTCTGGTCTGGGTAGCTAAGCACCCACGACACAGGAGAAAATGCTAGTGCGGACAAATTTTATAAAAAAAAAACATATTTCAAATTTGGTGTATGAGTGTGTGCATGTGTACGTGATACTAACTTCAGATTTATCTTCCTTTATCGTGGCACAGGTCCGGCCCAATTACACTTAGTACCAGGAGCAGTAGGAGCTCTCCTAGAAATAACTCTAGTAGGCGAACTTCGTCGCGCGGCGCTAGGGGCGCTGGTGTCGCTAATGGCAGCAGAACGCGCTCACGCCGGTCACGCCCGTCGTACTGAGGCAGCGCTGGTCGACAAACTCGATTCACTCGTCGCAGACAACAAGGCGGATGACCATTACCGACGACTCTTTGATACTGTGTAAGTCTTCTACCATTTCACTTACTCATTTAGGTATTATTACCAGCAAAGATATTGAGCTACTCCAATCGCACGATTTCTTTCGTTCGTTTTTCAACTTAGCAAAAAGTACAGCTGAAAATGTTATTAGAAACTTGGACATAAAGGGGTATTTTGTTTAGTTTCCTGCTCACTGTATGCAGAAACTTATGTTTCAAAAATAAAAATACGTTAAATGTAGGCCACTAAACAATTAAACCACACTACTATTTTCCGCATTTAAAAACATACTTATGAGTTATTTGCATACTTGCTGAAGCCATTTTGACATTTCTTTCGGTTACAATTTCCCAAACACGTGCTTTTCATAAACAAATATTGACTAAAAGAAAAGTTAATTAGTCGACATTTTCACCAAATCACAAATATAAATACATATTACGATTGTATTTATCTATATTATAAGGAATCCAAATAGTCATGACGTAACTATGTTAAATATCAAATATCTAATATACAGGGAAATCATAAATTTTTCCTGCAAGATTACCTCTACGCATAGCGATAATAGTACTTAACTGTTATAAATGAATGGATACAAAATGATATATTTTTTTACTCTTTATTTATTTACCTACTTATTTATGTATCTTTATACATTTACTTATTTTCCAAATATAAAAGGACGTTAAATAAAGCTTATAAATGATACTATTTCTCAAAGCAATAATGCTATTACGGCTTTGTACCCTTGGTCCAATGGGATCGTGCTCGTAAATACCTTTCATCAGATTAAAGTATCCGTTATAGTAGTCCGTTGAAAAGGAAAATGTGGTCAATCTTGAACAGTACCTATTAGTACGCTAAACTATTATTCGAATTAATATTATTAAAAAATAAAATATTATACTTTAGTTTATCCTACCAATGTTCATAATTTAATTCCAATTATATCCTAATTCTTTCTAATTTTAATAACGTTTATATTGTCCACGCTACTCAGGGAACATTTGAGCTCAGTGTAAGTACCAACCAATCGTTTATTAACTGTAACAATACAAATGTGAACTCATTATTTGTGTTAATTGCATTTTGATTACCTGTTACTAAAATAGTTATATTCTGCGTTGTGTTCATTTGTGTTCGTAGAATTATATTATTTTATTTGTTATGTGGATTAATTCGATTAAATATTGACAAAGAATTGTGTTTAAGTGATTTTGTGTAATATAAATTGGAAAATGTCACCACAAAATGATTTGGGACAGTTGCTTCCATTCGCAAGTATCAAGTATTCCATAATTAAAATTTGAATAATTCTATTACGAGTAAATTCTTAAGAAAGTCACTTCCGAATTGTTTTCACGAACCTTTTGAATGTTAATTATTTTACAATAATGTATAACAATTAGCTGAAGTAACTGTTTGAAGAGATAACTCGGTAAACTTGAAGGTCATAAGAAATTCATTTTACATTTTGGAATTAAAACCATACTCGTTGTACTAAAGACGAAAAGACAGAACGATTACATATAACAACCATAAAGACAAAATTGGGTTTCTTAATAGTAACTTATGAGACCTTCGTAATAATAATAATTATATTCTTCTGTACAATGTTAAGGTTGATGGAACGAGTGTCAACGGAAGGTTGGAGGGAAGCTGGTGCCGCGTTCGTGGCGTGCGTGACTCGCTTATTGGAGCGCTTGCTGGACTACCGCGCGGTCATGCAAGGAGCTGAACATAGGGACAAGAGAATGGCCGCTACTGTCAATTTATTGGTGAGGAAGAATTTAATTTTTAGGTAACATACATAGGGTGTGATGTTTACTAATTTAGGAATTGGAAATTGTCCAAGTAGGTTGGAATTTTACTTGACAATTGTAGGGTTTCATCTGTCGACTGTGTGTCGTCGCCTCTTTATTTATTTATTTAACACTTTATGTACATATAAAAAATACATACAAAGGCGGACTTAATGCCCGAAGGCATTCTCTACCAGTCAACCTCACGGGTGATGCAGAGAAGTGTTAACAATAGGTTCTAAACAAGCACACAAATGATTAAAAAGCATAGGCATATAAGGTGACATATACATATAATACAAAAATATAATATATGAATACAATAAATATAACTTACAAATACACATATAACATATAAATAATATATAAATAATATAATTAAATATGGGAAGAATAGATTACGAGTATATACAAGAACAAAAACAACAATACACTAATTAGTGGAATCTGTCAGTTTCTCTAGCAAATAATTGTGAACTTTAAGTTTGAAAGATAGCCGACTGGTTGCAGTGACCCACTGCAATTAATTTAATGTGCAGTGACCCACTGCAATTCAAATTAGGTGGTAATAGACGACGGAGGACAGACGTTGCATGCAGATCGATTACAAATTACAACTAACCAATTTAGAAGTTTTTTTGGCAAGTTCAATGTTTATCGTGAACAGTTTTAGCCAGCATAATAAAAATATTGGGTTCTAAGAACGTCACTCGGTTTTTTAAGAGCTTAGGCTACAGTTGTCTACCGTTTACAAATTTACAAATGCCTAATGATTTTCTTCCAGAACTTCTACAAGAACGAAATAGATCGTAAGGAGATGTACCTGCGTTACGTATACAAACTCCATGACCTTCACATCGCGTCCGATAACTTCGTCGAAGCGGGCTGCACATTACTGGTAAGATTTTGATTATTGGGTAGTTTGAATGTTATGTTTGCAAATATGGTTTATAAAGAAAGTGATTAACTTTTAAAACTTAAGTAGTTACAAATTAACTCTTCACCAATTTGTCAATTAATTATGGAGTGCAGTCTCATATAGATTGCAGTCTATAATAAATGAATGCTTTCTTCATCCATGATGTACCTATTATTCAACTAAAATATAATAAATTTTATGGAATGTTTAATTCGATAAGCTGTTGGTATCTTGCGAGGAAATATTTTTTGTCGTTTATGTTACAAGTAAGACTACACATAAAAATTCTGAAAATGCTCTTTATCAGTTTACGTTTTTGTGTTTACTTACAGCTGTACGCAGAAACGTTGAGTTGGGAAAGCGATCAGATTGGCGTCGACCCCGAGTACCCTGAGATGCCCGAGTGGAAGCGTAAAGAAGCGATCTACAACCAAGTTCTCCAATATTTTGATCGCGGAAAGGTACTTATGTTTTACACATAACAATGAATAGGAACATTTCTTTCGAAGTTGATTCAGAATTCAGACAGCATGACGTGGAGGATTATGCCCACCTGCGAATATATTAATCATAAATAGGACTTAATAGAAAACAAATGAAAATATTTGTCACTGCATATAATGACCAATATATGCAGTGACAAATATTTTATCACTGCATATATAAGCCCGCCGCTACCTCCCAAAACCGCTGCAACTCCTGTAAATTGTGATAGGATGTGAGAACTTGTGGGAAAAATAGAAAAATCCTATTGTGTCTTCTTCAAGTTACTTGGGATATAAAAAGAAAGAAGAAAACCGTCTGCCTCTTTATAAAATCAAATTGTAATGTCAAAAACGTGTTTTATTTTCAGTGCTGGGAAAAGGGTCTGCCCCTACTCCGTGAGCTAGCAACGCTGTATGAAGTAAAACTATGCGACTACCCACGTCTCTCACACTGTCTACGAACTCATGCGACCTTTTTGGATTCCGTTATGGAACAACTAAGGCCTGAACCTGAGTACTTTAGAGTCGGATTCTATGGAAAGGGATGTCCTTTGTTTGTGAGGGTAAGTTTCACTTATTTAGTTAAACACGGAATTATCATGTCATATAATGTCTCCTCCGCTGAGTGTGTCAGACTCTCTCTGACTGATATTGTTATGCCAGTTAGTGTCATATTCTTAATTACTAAAAAACACCCCGTTCGTTCTCCTCGTCTGGGACGGGACCGCGGTACATTATTAAGTATGCTTGCACCCGCAATCCTGGTTTATATATAAATATCCTCCACACCTGTCTTCCATTGGAGTAGGCGCAGTAGTACCTCATGAAACATAATTATTATTTTTTAGTTTGTTTTTTACTTCTTATTCACTTTAACATTTGTTACGACTACGACCGGTTTTAGAAAGTTTAATATTTATGGCACTATAGAGGTCGTAATGGTAAGCAATTTATCTGACACTAGCTCCTCCCGCGCTGTTTTGCCAGCTCCTCGCTGCTATTGGTCAAAGCGTGATATTGTAAGTGGACTATCCAACACAAAAGTAATTGTTCAATTCGGACCAGTAGTACCGGAGATTAGCGCGTTATTTGGGTATTATGCACGGAAAGTTCCAGAGAAAAATTTCAGCTGTGTTAGACACAAACATCAATAACAAGTAAACGAATTTCTTGCATTCTTCTTTTACTTCATGAAATATTTATGTTTTTCCTTTTACTTTGATTCCCAGAACAAGCAGTTCGTATACCGCGGCCACGACTACGAGCGTATCGGCGCGTTCACGCAGCGTCTGCAGGCTGAGTACGTCGCTGCCCATATACTCATGCGGAACACTCAGCCCGACGACTCCATCATTGCCAACGATGGACAGTGTTAGTATAGCTTCAATAATCAATAATCAATTATATGTTATGCTATACGCACGTAACTGTTTGACGATATAGTTGGACTTGTTTATTGCTATAAATTTAATTTTACCTTAAAATTATGTTATTAGTATCACGACGTTAAAAAGACGCTAAAAAGTCAGTCAGTGTAAGTAATTTCTAAAAGATATGTTTCTTTCTGTATTGAGTTTCTGTACTTTCGAACCGACACGACCTTCAAACATACTTAAAAAACTTTGTTGTTGCTGTCCATGGGCGGCGCTGATCACTTACAGTCAGGAGATCCGTCTGCTCGTTTGCCTGTTATTATATACATATAAAAAGTATACATTTTTGAAATGATTTAAAAAAAATGTTTAAAGAAATCTTAGCTTCCTATGACAGTTCTCTTCTTTATTTCATAATTTTCAATGCAATCTTACAAACGTATTACAGACATTCAAATCTGCAACGTGAAGCCGGTAGCGTCTCGTCGTCAATGGCCGTCCGGTACTCCAGAACAAGTGAAACGATTTTACGCCTGCAATGACGTCGATACCTTCCTCTGTGACCGTCCTCTACAGAAACCTCCCATCGACAAAGATAATGAGTTCAAGGTAAGGTAGTAATTTTATAATTTTCTGTCGATCTTTGAAATATGACACGAACAGCCAAAATTGAAGGCTCTTAAAATAAATTGTAAGTTTTAATGACATGTCTATATCACTACATAGTATAAAACAAAGTCGCTTTTGTCTGTCCTTATATTCTCTATGTACGTTTTAAAACTACTCAACGGAATTTGATACGGTTTTTTATTAGATAGAGCGATTGAAGAGGAAGGTTTATATGAATAATAACATCCATTAATTGTGGAGAAATTTAGAAACAGCATTGCATGTCGCTATTAAAATAGTAATCTATGACTTAATTAAACTGTAATCTTATTTTTCAGAGCCTTTGGATTGAACGAACTACTTTAGTGACAGAAAATACACTGCCAGGTATTCTACGATGGTCCGAAGTAATTTCGAGATCTGTTGAAGAAATTCCACCAGTAGAAGTGAGTTTTTAGTTAATAATGTTGGTGGCTTTTATAACTTTTATAAATATGAATTGACATTTTTTTTCATTTGGAGCCTTTTTCGCCAGCTTTATATTAAACGTTGTAGCAAATAGTTAATAAGAATTACAATCTATATTTTATCTGGTACTTAGCCTCATAGTCCAGAGTTCTAGACATTGTGAAACATAGCCTTAAAATGTTTTCCTATAGATAAATCTCATAAAGGATCTTACTGATATTATACAGTTGAGAGTTTGTGACGATGTTTGAAGCACTTTCACGCACAAACTACTGAATAGATTTCTATGAAAGTTGGTAAAAAGAACATAATTAATTTTACTCCGGGAACGCGAGCGTAACTGCTGTCAAAAGCTGGCATTGAATATGCCGTCTATTTCGTTTTGTTTGTCTTTTACGATATTAATTTAGTTTTACAATGGTAATTATATCACACGTGATTCTAACAAATGCGCAACCTTACTTAATTAAAAATATTCTATTCCAGTACGCCTGCGAAACAATGGAAGCAACAGAGCGAGAGCTCCGCAGCCTTATCTCACAATACACGGCCGACCCTACATTAAACATAAACCCATTCTCCATGCGACTGCAAGGGACTATAGACGCTAACGTACAAGGCGGTATCACGAAGTATGAACAAGCGTTCATGACGGCTGAGTTTGCAAGGAACGCGACTCCCAGGGAGGCGGCCGCCGCGGCTAAACTACGGAGGCTCGTGTCTTCTCAGCTCGCTGTGGTAGACGCTGGTCTTACTCTGCATGGAAGATTGGCTCCTGAAGATGTTAAGCCGTTACACAGGTGTGTTTATATGTTTGTGAATGTGTTGTTTTTTATTGGATAGTTCGATTAAACGGGTAAGCGTATCACCTGGTAGTAGGCAATCAGCGCCACTCATGGACACATGCTACTACGACCTTTTGGCGATTAGGGATTGAACACCCGCAACATTGAGGAGATACAAGTACGTTGTCGTTCATTTGAGAGATTTAGGGATTGGTGATGTAGGAGAAGGCTTGTGCCTTCGGCTAATCTTACACAGCCAAAACACAACGCAATCGGCTATCACTCCGACCCACCCGGTTTTACGGCTCACACTTTCACGAAAAAAAAAAGATGGTCTGCGGTTCCACAGCTTTGTTGTTGTATAAATTTGAGATCAAGTTGTGAATATGAGTTGTTTCCAGAACAGCCTATTAATGTTAAAAATATGACTAAAATGTCATTAAATTTCAGGCGACTCGTGGAACGATTTAACCAACTGCGCCAAAACTTGGGACCGGGTTTGGCTCGTGCGCGCAGACAACTATCAGAAAGTATTGTCAAGTAAGTAACACGTACAATTTAAAAATAGTTTAATGCCACACTCTAAAATTATCCCAATTTGATCAACGGATATAAAAAGAAAGAAAGTAATCCGAATCCAGCATGATAATGTAACACTGATTGAAAAAGAGTAACCTCGAAGTTTGTTATTTGTTCTTCTCCTTAGGAAACCACATTATAGGGTAAAGTTAAAAAATACAACAAAAAGAAATGATATGATCAATTCAAATGACTTAGTCACTTTTTATTGAAACTAAATGTAGAACAAGATACATTCTTACTAAATTGAATTATTAATTTCAGCACTCCACTACCTCCGGTCCCAGCACTGGACAAGCGATCACAGAGCATACAACAAAGCGATAATTACTACGACGACGGCCATCTTTATGACAAACCGGTGAGTAACGCCATCTGTCGGTTTGTATAAGAATCCTTACATATCATGTAAAATCCCTTTACTAAAACTAATATTATAAATGAAAGTAACTCTGTCTGTCTGTCTGTCTGTCTTTTCTTCACGCCTAAACTACTGGACCTTTTTGGTTGAAATTTGGTACAGACTTAGTTTGCAACTCGAGAAAGGACATAGGATTGTTTGTAAACCAAGATCTGCAGGAAGTCACTATTTCACGCGAAAAACGTCGCGGGCAAAAGCTAGTTTAATTATAATTCGTCACGCTCAAGGTGGATGGGCGATTTCATGTCTCCTCATGTTGTTTTCCTACATCGTTAATCAGCGGCGTAGAAATACACTTAAAAAGTACATATAACTTAGGAAAATTCACGCGAAACCCTCCGAACCAATACGTCATAAAGGAATAATTAAGTCAAATTTCTAATATAAAATAAAAATATCGTCAACAGCTGTCTATGGAAGACGCAATGGAACAACAGAGTATAATGTCAAGCAGTCTCCCGATCAGTGACAACCGCGACTGTGTCGAGGATAATTCCATGATCAAGTCCGCACCTCCGCTGCCCATCAGACCAAAGTCCGGAGACCCTAGAAGTCCGACGAGACCACCCCTGGAGAAGTACCGGTGAGTGATATGATAATATAAGTTATTGAATAGTACAGAAACTATTAGTTAACAAATAACATCACATTTTTTGCAATATTCTAAGAATGGCTACAGTGTAGCAGCTTAAATTCTTCTAGTCATTAGGCGATTGCGATTGATTCCCTTTTTCAAATCCAAACTAATATTATAAATGCGAAAGTAACTCTGTCTGTCTGTGTTTTCTTCGCGCCTAAACTACTGAACCGATTTCTTTGAAATTTGGTAAAGACATAGTTTGGAACTCGAGAAAGGTCATAGGATAGTTTTTATACCAACAATCTGCAGGAAGTCGCTATTCCACGCGAACAGAGACGCGTGCAAAAGCTAGTACTACATTCCATAAAATTAAAGTAAGGATTTTGAAACGAACAAAACAAACGGTTTGGTCGTTTAAAACTGATTTAAATTTACGTTGATTCCCTCTTTGAACCAACTTTTAGGCAACGCATATATTTAAAGCATTTTATGATTTAACAGATCATGATTTCGATAATATTTAATGATATTACCTTTCACATCATATCACATCGTCAGCCTTTAAGTGCCTACTGCTGAGCAAAGGCCTCTTTGTCACACGGAGAAGGTTTAAGCCTTAATCACCACGCTTGCTCACGGCGGATTGGCGATTATAATTAGAAATTATAAGTCCAGGTTTCCTCACGATGTTTTCCTTCACCGTATGTCAGTGGTGTCTAAATAATTATAGAAACGTACGTACAACTCGGAAAAAGTCGCATTGGTACTTACTGCATATATGAGAATTTACACCTCATGTATACTTATCATATTTATTTTACTTTTTTTATGTGATAGGTCGGCAAACGAGCTTACGGATTACCTGATGGTAAGCAATCAGCGCCGCCAATGGACACCCGCAACATCAGAGGAGTTACGAGTGCGTCGGCGACTTTTTGGGAATTAGGGATTTGAACATTTAGGGAATAGGGAAGGGGAAGGATAATTGAGCCTTCGGTAACCTCACTCACACGGCGAAACACAACGCTGTGGTTGTTCCACGCCGGCTCCTGTGACCGTAGCTGTGCTATCACTCCTGCTGAATAGACCAATTCGTGCCGAGGCATGGCTCACCGATACAAAAAAATAAATACATTCAAATATTTTTATGTAACAGGGACTCGATTGACGGTGATTTGGTAGATCAGTGCAGACACAGCCGCGCATCTTGGAGCGAGCCTGGAGATGCTCCTCCATTACCACCTAGAGTTTCAGGTATGTAAGAATTGTTAATAAATCTTTATTTAAATATTTTTATTGTTCATTGATTACTTCTGTATGTGGAATATAAATACTTGAAACAATGGATAAGAACTCTAATCTCAAGATTTGACAAGGTCTTATGGAAAGACGCGTAGTGTTCCCCGCGCGCTAAAAAGAGCCTATAGACTATCACAGATGGGCTCCAATCCTCTTGCTCCAGGGCGAGATATGGTATATGATAATGAAAAGTTGTGTCGTGAGTGCGTTTACAAACATACAATTTCATTTATACACACACACAGACCCGGAACTACAATTGTGGATCACACAAGTTCCTCCTCCTCCTCCTCTTTGTGTGATCCACAAATTTTTGTTCCTTGTCTGGGTGTGTTGCGTTTGTACAAAATACATCCACGATACAAGAAAAAATTCTAGAGTGTGGTAACGTTTTTTTCTAAAGAAAGTAAAAAGAAGAGAAAAGACATGTTACCCCTAAAAAATCAACAGCGACAGCCCATTCGCTACTACCTTTTTCACCATATCAAAACTTCACAATATACTTTATCTAAATGTGTGAACATAACTAATTAATTTTCATAGGAGACAAACGGTCATGGATAGAAGCCCCGCCCGCCATTCCCCGCCGCGGGCCGCGTTGTATAGACACGCCGGACGACGCGCGGGACTCCGGCGTAAGTGTAGACCATGCGTACGGAAATGCAGATGAACATGGACATCTGCACAAAGGTAAGAAATGTGGTCCTTTCTAAGAAAGTTCGTAAAAAGTAATCTGGCAACCCCAATTTAGGACGCAATCTGGCAACCCCAGTACTATTTATATATTGTGTCGCATAGTATCTTTACTGAAATCCACAGAGAAAATATGTTAATAGCCTTGTTGACAATGGCGATTATGAATTAGAATAGATAAAAATTTCGGGTTCGATCGATTCAATCATTCATCTTATCTACTTCAGCTATTAAAATTCTTAGTCAGCATGAAGTTTGAAATTGTGCTCAAAGTGTGGCCGTAGTCTATCGGTCTAGGTAATTAATTAAATGTAAACAATCTTAGCACGTCTTTTTATCTAAAACTTGTTTTTAAATTTTTACAATCAGGTATTTACCAAATCGATTTAAGCTGATTATACTGAATTTAAATAAAGTTTGTGTGTATTTTATCGACCTCTTTAATATAAAATGTCATACCAGGATTGTTATCTTTGCCGGGGTTGCGGGTTAAGCGCAATGAGTCACCACGGTCTCGGCCTAAAGCAGGAGAAGGAACGGGGGGTTTTTAGTCAGTAAAAGTCTGACACTCTCTCGCCTTCCCTGGGCGGCATTTGAGGTTTTACCCCTGACAAAAAAGGCATTGTTATCTTTAGTAAACACGTCATCGGTGACCTATGGTAGCATATGATTCGCCTTCAACAGTCTGTCGGCAGTCAAAGGCCATCTAAACCGATAGACCATAGTGACAATAATCTTACCATACAAGTGGCTACCAACAATATTAGGTATTACACCAAAAATGGTACTCATTATGCCCATTCTTCCAGATTTAGATCTCACAGTAGACTCACTACGATATGAGGAAATAATCTCAATGATGTCGGAACCACTGCGGGTGGACGAGGGCGAGAAACCCCCTCCAATACCACCTAAGGGACTCGGCCATCTTAGTTCCTTCGATTCAGGACACCACGAGAACGGCGAATCACACTGTTAAAGTAAGATCATGTTTTTTGTTGTAAGCCAATGGCGCTAGTGAGACCTAAAGTCCTTTTGATAAAATGAGAACTAACGATTTTTTGCTTACTTACTACAAATGCCACAATTTCAGCCTGTTTTTTTAGAGTTTCTTTGTGCCAAACTATTGAACCAATGCAGCAAATTTTTGCCAGCTCTAGTGATGGGCAGAACAGACTTCACGTTGCATTAACGCCATTTCGCGAGCGAAAATCAATAGTAGTTGTAGTTCTCATTAGGTGATCTGTTAAGGTGACAATTTTCTACAAAATACAGACTTTATACTACATTAACTGAGAATAAGAAATTTGATTTTAATGCTTTGTCAAATGTAACGTCTGGCAGTATAGCCGACAACACACTAAAGGCGACTCATTGCCATTTAAAACTGAAAAATTAATTCAAGCCGAGTTTGTTTAATATTGTGAATTATTCAACCGATTTGTAAACTGGCAACGTTATCATTTGACAGATGCAATAACTAAAATACTTGATGATAAATTTTCGCCGTACTCGAAGGTCATTTAGAAACACTTTTGAAATAAAATCATTACCTACTATGGAATGGTATAGGTAATCGTTAACCTCTGAGTTATTCCTCTGAGTAAGGTAGTTTTTATGTTGATTTTATTGAGCAAAATTAGCTTTGTAAAATAATGTAACAAAATTTATTTGCGTCTCCACCTCAGCTAATCGTGGTTTGCCTAGAAAACAAAGACGTTTGAGTCAATAGGTTTTATCATTACCAATAAAACATATTGTATTAGTCAATTTTGCTTGTATTGAAAAATTCCAACAATCAACAATTCCCGAGATTACATTTACGGTTGAGAATATAAACAGTCCATACACTGTATATACATTTTAGTACTGGACGGTATAATATTTATATTTAAGCAAATGTCAACTTTACCGAAATGTAAATTAATGTTTATTTCAGACTGTTTACGAACGAAAGAATATATTTGTTTCAAAGAAATATATCAACTATTGGAGTATACGATGAAGATGCTTTTTATATATGATTTGAGTTCTCTTTTAATCAAGAGTACAGTATAAAATCATTTATGAAATAAAAATGTATACTATCCTTTCTTATGTAAGTGAAAATATTCGTTGCCGTTTCCAACGATCAATAAAAAGTCATAAAATGTCCTTCGTCCAATGTCTGCATTAGCATTGTACTAGCCGGTATCTCTACAAGATATATGTAGAATACGTGTTATTAGAAAATATAATAATATAATTGTAACTTCTCCGTCAATAAAATGCAATTGAAAAATCATATAACTATTTTCTCAATAGAAATGTTGACGCCTGACAAAATCTTCATAGCAGAAAGTTTTACTTATGCCATTGCTTATCTTATAGTCAACAGGCGCTCGGCAAAATATTTCTTTATTTATTAGAATAATAATAATAATTATAGTATGCATATCATTCCTTGTATGGAATAAAATTATTAGATATAATTTAATGTGATTTAAAATTATATTTTTGTTTTGGCACAGAATGCATTTAGTTATCTGTCCGGGGCCATATAACAGTGATATAATATTAATTTAAAACTTAACAATATACTAAAATACCCTTTCTTTCCAATTTTTGGCAATGAAAATCCAAAATATTACATTTAATAAGAGTTTCACTGTTGAGTCTGTAACTCTTAGATATTTTTCAAAATGTGTTTGATTGTTGTGTATTATTCGTGATTATATTCGATATGATTCCTATAAATAGTATTAAATTGGTATCATTATTTTATACATTGACATATTTTATTGTAAATCAAAATAATTGAATGGAATTGTATTATTTTTGTATGAATTTTATTGAGTTTTCTCTACCGATTTTACTTTAGCCAGTAAATTTATTTTACCAGTATTTTTTCTGCATAATAATGCATTATCAACAAATGTTTTTGTCAAAGTTATTTTGTACTTTATAGTCTTTTATTTAGACAATGTTTATGCTTGTGTTACTGAACTTATGTACGAAGTTAAATGTATCATTTTAGTCCGTATTGCTTTGCTCAATATGTAGTTGATTTTAGTCCGTGTTTATGTAGTACATACGCAAAAAAAAATATTTTTTGAAAATTTAGAAACAAAGGAATTATCTCAAATACAATTGTATATGTTTGGCAACTATAACGCTTAACGAGTTTAGGTGGATTTTATTTTGATATTACTTTAAAATAGATTATTCATTATAATATTTGTAACCTCAATTAATTCTTTCTCCCTAATAATGGTTCAATTTATTTAGTATCTTATGTCGTTTCGATGTATTTTTTCAATCAATTTTCATATTCTACTTTTACATTATTAGCATAGAACTGGTAACATTCACTTTTTTTAAATAAAATTGTATTGTATTTATCATAACGATGTAAATATAAGGCTTTAATCCTACTGATCTCTCGCTTTCTAAATTTGAAAAGTATTAAAGCTAAAACTGATTTGAAAAAAGAACATTTTAAAATTTGAATTGTAACGGTTCCAGGCTGACTGCTGTAATAAAGTAAAAAAAACCTATGAAATAAATAAAAACTCTGTATTGATATAATATATTCATTATACTTATAAAATAGTTATCTGTTATGGTATATTTTTAAACAATGCAATGCAATATTAATACCAAATAGTATAAGTACCTATACAATGAAACTAATTCAAATTTTCTACTCAACATTTAACAAATCTTCGACAAAAGTCTTTCCGATAATCAAGTGATATTTTTAATACATTTACGCGTTAGATTTTAATACTATTATAGCCCTTAAGTTTTAGGTGTTAAGATTTACATTTCCAACGAACAATTTCGTAAAATCTTTACATCTGTTAATGTGTTTACTCGTGTGTAATCCTAATTGTATTGTTCGACATTTTTATATTTTAAAATATTATGTATTATCTAGTTTTTATTGCTATATAACTGTTGTAAACTTGATAATTTTTGAATAGCTATCTACATTACGCCGTTCTAAAACTGCTCGGGATGTGAAATTTAGATAAGCTTTGATTATATGTAATTTCCATAGAAATCAAATAAGCGAGATCTTTCTCACAGTTGTATAGAAACGAGCTTGTTACGACAATTAGAACGTTTTGAAGAACACTCGTCAAGTATCGAATACGCAACATATTTATTATGATAATTGCTATTTTTTTTACATTAGAAAATTTTGTTTTACTCGCCAAGTATTAGTTGAGAATTATCGCAAAATAAAATATAAATTTGTTATGATTTTGCGTGATTTTTTATATTGTATGACCGAGATATTGAAAGCTGAATTCCGTGTTTGAGAAACCTTTTCATACTTTGCAATTAGTGAGATGTAAAAACGTAGAAATCCGATCAATCGGTACTCCCAAAAAAAAAACATTCTAATGTGTATGGCTATATTATTTTTTTCTAACAATGCGAAACCTTATCCAGCGTCTCTATTTGAAAAAATATTCAAGCAATGTCGATAGCTATTGAAAAATCTCCACACAGACTTGATACGAAATATACTGCAGTGTTTTGTTTTACGAAAAACTTGTCTAGTTGTTTCTATACACTTTTTATATGATATACACACAGTTAACGGTGCGTTCCACAGCTACGAATTCGCAAATCACATTTATTTGTCAATTTTTATATTGGAATTATTGTAAAAATAAACACTTGTGGCAGCGGAACGTACCCTAATCGAAGTTTTTTATATCTACATTTTCAAGTTTCTATTATCTATATTTGTACTACAAGTATTGAGTTACCTAAGCTGAATGATTTTCGACTGATTTTTCGTCTAGTTAATCTATGTTTATGTGTGATTATTATATTCCTTTAAAATACATTAATGTTACATAATTTCTCAGTAGATTAGGTGGATTCGTATTTAAAATTAATTTTAGTGTAATTATACATATTATAATCGTACCAAAAATTTCTTCAGCTATTTTTATAAATAATTTAACATTACAAACGCATTGGTATTTATTATGTTTCTTGTACTGTGTATTGGTGAAGTAATAGAGTGCATTGGTTAGCGTTAGGTGGCTAGTTCGCCAAGTGAAATTGTTCAGTACAAAGCGTAGTTGAGTCGAGGCTCGCTGACTAGTGAAACGTAGCCATTTACCATCAATTTATATTATGTAAATGAGCGAAATAAATATTTAGTTGGATGCATGAATTGCTGTTTTATTTCACAATACCTTAAAGTATTATTACAATGTTAAATATCTATTATATTGTTATTTTTAGATATTAAAAACCCGACTTAGAAAATCTCGTCTCTACCCAGACAATAGTTGTCCAAACCAATCAGAAAAATGGCAAGCAATCGGTACCGCCCATGGACACCCGCAAAACCATAGGAGTTACAAGTGCGTTGCCGACATTATGGTGATGAGGAGTTTTGGGGCTTCGAGGGTTGGGTAAGAACAGGGGAAGGATTGGGCCTCCGTTTACCTCACTCACACGGCCAAACACAACGCTATGGTTTTTCACGCCTGATTTCTGTGAGGCTTTTACCTTCCTACCTTTTATTTGATAACTCAATCCACGAGACAATCCACATAAAATTGCATTTAGACCATAAGTTTTAAACCAACACACCTGAAGCCCACTTTCCCTTCTTTGTGGGATTATTATCTCTCGCCCTTGGTCAGGCCAAAGTCTTACTGACAAAAAACCATCCAGTTCCATCTCCTGCCGAGCCGAGCCGAGCCCCGATGCCTTATTGCTCTTACATCCGCAACCCCTGGATCAAAAAACGAAAGCGAGATCACAAACCGCAAAGAACCTATAATCCTGCTTCAATAGCTAATTAAGTCCTAACATTACCGAAAGCCGACCGCGCCACCCGCCGCCGGCTAACGCGTTGTCATGCGAAACGATTATTGTATTTACCGATTGAATTTCTAAATAATAAGCGCTCTTAGCCCGGTAATTGAAGGTAGTCAGTTCGATCGATGCCACGCCTAGACGCGTGGACTTACAAGAATGCTGATCGACGGATATATCCGACGATCGATCGGCTTTGAACGATTTTTATTTAGCCGGGAATAGGTATGGATTATGTATAAAAAACTAGAACACTCTAAAAAAAGTATTAAAAAATAAATATGTCAAGGAGGTTTAATATGAAGCAGATTCAATCACGGCCAGCATAATCTGCTGCAGGTTCAAGATCGCATTATAAAACGTTCAGGATTATCAGACAGCGCAACTGCAGCGCTGCCAAATGACACCCGCAACACCAGAGCACCAGAGTAACTACGCTCTTTCTCTTGAAGGTTCCAGAAAGGTAGGTCACCTATGTTATATTAGAACTGCGTCTAAAAGAATTGTACTGTTATATCCTTTATCATATAGGCTAGTTTGTTATTTAATTAAATGGCTTAGGTATTATGCTGAGTATTTGCGACACATATCCTTAAAAGTCAGATCCGGGTTGCAGACGTATAGTAAGGTAGGTATAATATGTCATTGTACCTACTTATGTATTTAGTCTTATTCCCTTAAAAGTATTGAGTTGTATTGCCAAGAAATTAGACTCACTGATCAATCCTTAGAAACACCTAACTTGGCACCAAGTAGTGTGGCATTCCAATGAAAGTGCCAACTTTAAACCTCAAAGCTGTCACTTCTCACATCTTATAAAACTACCAATAATCTAGAATCAAGTGTTTTTTATGTGATAGGTCGGCAAACGAGCAGATGGATTACCTGATGGAAAGCAATTAGCGCCAATCATGGGCACCCTGGCAACGACGGAGAAGTTACGAGTGCGTTGCTGACCTTTTGGGGATACGGATTTGGAGATTTTGGGATTGGGGGAGGGGAAGGTATGGGCCTCCAGTAATCTTACTCACATGGCGTAACACAACGCTGTTGTTGTTTCACGCCAGTTTTGCTGTGAAGCCGTGGTATTACTCCAATCGAGCCGACCCATTCGTGCCAAAGCATGACTCTCCCACACTTATATTTGATATAAAACAGCGTTGGATACCACTACCACTAGTATTCAAAATGCGATGATTAGACAATACTTAGATTCTCATAAAATATGTACCTAGCCGAAAATGAATTTTCTAATAAATTAATAAGGCAAAATATCATTAATTTACAGTCTTAAGACACATCGCTACCACATTAACACCGTGTAGAACTGACTCGATAACTTCTCAATATCACCGCCCACTCTTGCCCTTAATGGACGCGCGCAACATTTGACAATATTCGACACCTTAATGAGAGGGAAGACCACATCACCCATCGAGAGCTTACGATATGTTGCGAATAAGCAGCTGTAGCGAGGCAAGCTAAGCTTATGAAATCGCCTCATTGTACTAAGATACGGGCAATAAATTCTCCACTTACCCATGTGCCTATAAATTGTTATTGTAACTTGAACATAATTTTATGCTAGCTTGATTTTTTTATTTTATTCCGAAGATAAAACTTGATGTGAGAATTTTGTAGCTCTTAAATAATGCCATTAAATATTCTCAAAGTCTATGTACATACCTATATGAAGAAATTCGTTGCTATTGTTAATTTTTTAACTGACTTCAAAAAAGTTAACGGTTTTAATTTCGACGGAGAGTTTTTCAAATGATATTTCTTGAGATGTGAATTAAAATAGATATCATTAAGGCATCGCTATCTGAGTGATTGTAATTGCAAAGGCACAAAATGGTCAAAGATACTTACTTCTACTCCAGACCTATACTGAACCTCGTCGTCGAGTAGGTACCTAACTAACCTGAATAAACATACATAAAATAGCCATAACTTATAGTTAGATCTCAAAAACTGAAACACATTATTAAGCAAAAAGCGGCTTAACAAAAAGTGAATAACATAAATAACATTTGAATTTTTAATGCTCATGTCAATTGTCCATTACGTTAATAGCGACATAAATTGCTCATATGGTATAAAAAATTATGTTCAGACTGTCGGATAAGTGAATAAACGGTTCAAGGGACACCTGCTTTTTTCTTCCAATTAATTACGATTACATATTAATAGCAATCATATCTGCAAGCTGATACGGACGTGAGAGTTGAATCAGTTATCTCTGTATTAACATTGGAATCGACGTTTATATAAAAATAATATCTACATACGAGTATAATCAAGTTTTGAATAATCAAACGAATATTGAATAATATTATAAAACGCATTTTAGCACATTACACAGTAGTAAGATTCGATTTGTCGATCAATCTGATTTTAATAATATGTGATTTATTTCGATCGAATCTTTAAATTATTATTTCGATTTTAATACCTATTAAGTAGGTACACTTAATCATATTTTTATGGGATAGGACTGAACCAGCAATACCACTGATTTTGCAAATTCGTTGCAGGGCAAGCGCAGTAAGTCATCGCGACCTCGGCCTAAAGCAGAAGAAGGAACGGGGGGGGGGGAGGTTTAGTCAGTAAGAGGCTTACTCCTCTTCCCTGACTCTCCCACACTTCACATTAATATCAAACTGTGCAGGTTTAACGTGTAAAATATACAATTCACCTTCACAAAGTTCTACGCGAACGTAGCCACGGCCACAGCTAGTGTAGTGCTTGCTACAATGCCTATGTTAATAAGCCAGCTATTAGTCTTATTAAACACAATGGTCCGTTTATGGTAGGGAAGCTTTTTTGTACTTCCTGGCAAAATGAGCCTTTTTAAAGAATAGATAGTATTAGAATACAGTCTGCAATAGCGTTAGCAAGGATGTTACAAATATTTTTATCGAATATATTGAAGATATATAGGTATTATAAAAGGAATTGAAGTTTGTATCTTTGTTTTAATATGAGAAATAACACTTTTTGAATTGTTCATATTTATATTTATTTATAAGGTTTTTCTTATAAATAAATATAACTAATAGGTACCTATTTACAAATCTCAGTTATAATAAATAATATCATACCAATTCCAATGAACACCAAGTGAAAATAGAATGCCAGAGAGAATAAACAGTGTTACCAGTATAAATGTTTATTACCAATACTTTGATTTACTACATAATTAATAATTACTTATTTTAAGTTTATTACACCAAGGTACTGGCCGATACATTAATTTTTGACAAATCATTTAAAAACAAAGAATAACTGTCAACAATTCTTCAGTGAAATTTGCCATATTCGTTGCGGTAGATATAATAATTGTACAATAAATACGTCTTAATATCTCCTCATAAGAATTAAAAGTAAAAATGGCGGTCGCATTGCCCATGGAATCCAACCCGGATACAATGAATAAATATTTAGAGAAGTTGGGCGTTTCGGAAAAATGGCGTATGGTTGACGTAATAGGTTTAGAAGAAGAGGCCCTGAGCTGGGTCCCTCGCCCAGTGCTAGCTATAATCCTGCTCTTCCCGCTGTCTGATGCCTATGAAAAACATCGCCGCGACCAGGAAAATGAAATCCAAGTCAAAGGGCTGGAACCTCCCAAAGACGTGTTCCATTTAAAACAAGTTCTCAGCAATGTATGTGGAATTATAGCCCTAGTACACAGCGTCGCAAATAATGTTCCCCACATTGAACTCAACGACGGGTTGCTTAAGACATACATCGATGAAGCGAAGAATCTCGATGCTACAGCCAAAGGTGCACTATTAGAAAACTCTGCTTTTTTGAACGCGTACAGGGAGATAGTGCGCACGGGAAGTGAGCCCGGTACCGAGGGCGAGGAAGCTGTTAACAATCACTTTGTGACTTTCATCCACAAGGACGGCCACCTGTTCGAGCTGGATGGACGCAAGGCATTCCCTATAAACCATGGCAAGACTACTCCCGAGCGTCTCTTAGAGGACGCGGCGAAGGTCTGTCGTGAATTTATCGCCAGGGAACCAGATAACATCGGCTTCAATGTGGTAGCTCTTGTCCCAGCACAGTAATATTTCCCATTTATTTGGTTGTGTATTTCAATTCATTTATTTAAATACATATTAATAACATTGTCAGACAGTCATTTACGAACACGTAGAGTTAATGTAAGTTGTATTCTTTTTGCTACAAGTATCATCGCTAATGAAATAATCGCATAGCAGTGACGTGACGGGGCTGCGCAGCGGCTACACGCGATCCTTCAATATGGCACTACGAAAAATGGCGTTCATTAATTCTCTTCATTAGCGAATACCGGCACATTCAGTTAGCGTACTCTGCTGCACGGACGTCGATTTAAGTCTTTAATTCATAATTAATCTTGCAGTATTTAACAAATCGCCAGTCGGTGTTCGAAACGGTGCGTTCGTCTCAATTAAGATATCCGCGCGCACTGCCGCGCTGCAAACACGGCTCCTGCATTCCTCCTTAAAATTCTCTATCTTCGGAAACTAATTAAAAATTCGCCTCGCCTCCGTGGTTCGGTGTTCAATCGGGACGATATAACTTCATTTAAAAACGAGCAATCTTGTCGAAGATAAGGGCTGGCGAGAAAACAACGAAGAGCAGCGCTCGCCACACGCGGCAGCGACGCGGCCGGACAAAAAGACAAACCAAAGAAAGAACTCCAAACTTTTAAATGGAACGCGAGAGAATTCACCGCGTTAACTATGTCGATACTGGGAAGGACGCGACATCGGTAAGTCACGTCACCGAATAAATGACGCCGGCACTGAAATAAATATATAAATATTGTGTAAATAAACAAAATAATACGGCGGGGACCCGAAATGCTTTAAATATTCAAATGAAGCGAGTCGAGGTGAAATACGAAGGTGCGCTCGCTCGAGTTGAGCCCAATTAAATCGGTGCCACTGAGGTAGAAATTAAAAACAAAAGGAAGATGACGGGGGTCCGGCGCGCATTTTTCTCATGAGTATTATTAGCGCGATGTCAACCCACAAAAAATGGAGTTAGAGGGTTGTCGTGGCCGCGATCATTATCGACTACATCCCGCGTTTTGTATTGTTTTGATAAGTGTGATGCTCTTTCGCTCCGACGTTTTGTTGACATTTTATATTCACCATACACACGTGATTGATATACTTGAGTCTAAATTAATTATACTGAATTTGAAACTGCATTCTTTGCCGGTTGTGTTATGCAAAGTCTTATACAACGTGCGTTATACATTCTCTCGGAACCTGATTACAGTTTGAATTATAATCGGTTCTCACTATTTTAATATCGTATTTCTATGCTGCCATAGCAAGTTTACATGTCCTATTGTGCACAAAATAGTGCGTCAATCACCTGACAAGTGCGCATGAGATGAATTAATGGATGAAAAACAAAACCTTAAACTGTGTTGGGCACGGTCATTAGTCATGAGGGGCTTGGCGAGAACAGATTTAATATTTGCCTATAAATCAATTATAGACGTGTGGAGTCGCTTAGCACTTAACGCTTTATTATTGAACTGCTTTCTTAAACAGCCATGATAAATTGCCTACGTGTGTTCTCTTTACAATCAATTCTGTAGGTATATTGAAATGAAAGCAGGGGGCAAATGGTAAAATTAGATTGAAATTATGCTTAATGGCGGTTACTTTCTTAAAGTTGCTAATAAACTGCGCCATTTTGTATTCAAAGATACTTGTATAGTTGGGAGGCAAAAATTACATCTACCTTCCAGGATTTTTATATTAGGTTTTCTGGTGTTGGTTTTCTAGACTAACTTCGAAATAGATTGTGTTGCACTTGTACCGTATATTTGTTGTTCCCATTCCATTACAAAGTTCAGATTCATTAACACTCGCGGCGACCTATACGCCTCTCGCACGATTTATTCAAACAAAATACATTTATTTTAGACAATGAGGATCTAAGTGGTTATTGGGAGAGATACATACCACTGAAATAAACTTCAACGCATTTTAGTTCGATGTACAAGCTACATTGCCGAGTTTAAACTAAGATTGTTGAAGATGGTGTTCAGAAAACGGCGATGTAGTGTTAAATTTTCTTAGGATGGTAAAAGATATGATGGGTGTTGTGATGTTTGGTGCAGGCGCTCTCCAGGGGTCCCGCGGAGGCCTACCGACGCTCATCACTATTCAATAAGCTCCATTTATTGAAATTACATAATTTGTGTGTGAATAATGACGATTGTGATGAATCTTCGTGGGCGATACGAGTGACTTGAAGCCGATTAACTTTTGACCGGTACACGATATTAATAAGCGGTTGGTTCGACACTCGCTCCGTTTAATGACATGGAAATGGAGTGCGCCATAAGCTGCGCGTTCACTCTGATTTCTGACGTCGTTTATTTGAATGGATGGTATTGTATGGGAAGCTTTTGGGCTCGTACTTCGATATTGTACATTCAATTTGTTTGGATAGCTTTTGGTTACTACGAAGCAGCTTGTGACCAATTTGCTGTGAGGAATAATAGTTAATACTTATCATAAAACTATTTATTTAGTAACTTAAGATTCTAGACCACAGATTTTAGTCAGGCTTCCCTGTAAAGGTGTGTGGTAAAAGTCCAATGTACAACTGTCGGTTAGTAGCCCACCAGACACGACACCCTGGTCGGAGGACCCTCCTTTTTTCCATGGAGGTCTCATCCCTCCAAAAGGCATTCTGAGGTGGCACTGGCACATTCATTTGTAACAATTTATATTTTTAAATGCATCTATTTAACTGTATTTAAATCTTTATCCATCGAATCTTCACTTTAAAATAAAATTCCTCAGAAAGTGTCTGCTAACTAAACGTTTCACAAACATTTCCTTGAAGCCTCTACGAGTCGAAAGTTAAAACAAAGAACATATTATTTTCCCATCACAGCATTTATTTAGTGGGTAGGTAGGTGCCTAGTTGTAGGACATTGCAGAAACATTTGCGACGTACATTATAGTGGTTTATGAATAAAACATAATTCTTGTACACTTTACAAAACGCAGGAATGCGACAAACCATTGCTTGATTTCGACATTTTGGTAAATAACGAAACGATTTATGGTGACACTGTAAGTTTTGTAACTATTTGTTTTAACTTAATACCTACTCATTTTTTAAACTAATACAGATCTTTGTAGCCGGTTTCAAAGACCTTGAGACGCGATGGACTTTAGTTTTACAGAAGCTGCAACAGTTTTAGTAGGTTATGGGGGAGCTTGGCACCTCAAAAGGTCTTTCTTGTTTTTTTTATGTAATTGGCCGGCAAAAAAGTAGACAGACAGACCTGATGCGTTGCCAACCTTTGAGGGGTTAGGGTTTTGGAGATTCGGGGATTGGGGAGGGATTGGTCTAGGCGAAGGATTGGGCCTCCAGTAACCTCACTCACACGGCGAAACACAACGGTGTGGTTGTTTCGCGCCGGTTTTCTGTGAGGCCGTGGTATCACTCGAGCCGCCACATTTGTGCTGAAGCATGGCTCTCCCATACTTACTTCTTTGACATCTGTAATTAGAAAAAAGTGTCCAGAAAACTCTTCTCATCCTACTTTGTATAATCTTCTGGGTAACGAAATATTTCTTCGTTTCTGCAACGCCTAGAAGGTACTTTTTTAATTACAATATTAGGTTAAGATGGATTCTGAATTAATTTAATTTGCCGATCTCACATACACTCTAATATGCAAATAAACAGTTTTCAGAGAGTGCCTATTTGGATAACCTTCGCCACTATGAAAACGTAAGACAGGTTACAAAATCAAATACGGACTGTAATCATCATGCCACATAGTAGAAAGCAACGAAAGCCTTGTTTTATGCCGGTTTTCTCTGAGGTCGCAGTATCATTCTGGTCCAGTTGGCTCAGTCATGCTGAAACGTGGCTCCCCATATCATATTCATTCACTGTTTCTCATTGAGATGAGATACAAGCCGCTGATATTATGGAAATTATTATTTAACCAAGACTTTGCACTACTAGAACCTGCTAAAACGGTTAAAGACATCAACCTAGATCTAGGAAGACCTAATCAATATGCACTTCCAAGTTACAATAACAAAGTACGAAGAAAAGCAATTATTTTCTCCACCCATTGTAATGCTAAATGGACGATCTAAGACTTAACACACGTACAACTGCAGTTATTATTTAGATCAAGTGGAATACCATCGGCATTCCTTCATGTCGTGTAAAAACTATATCTAGATACATTATTAATATCCAATGAATTATGACGCATAAGATCAGACTGTCCGCTAATGAATTTTCCATATCTTTATGGTAATTTGGGTGTTAAAAAAAGGTCCGTATTGACTATTTATGGTGCGTAATCGAGTGCGGGAAATTGGTCATCTATTATACATTACGATTACTATGTTTGTTTGTTTGATGTCTTACCGTGTAAATGAATGATGCACATAATTAATTATACGTGTACTGTATTATAAAAACATAACGTTTCGTCATGTACGTCGGTTGTATTTGCAGTGCAGTCAGTTTTCGATTGATTAGTACTTTGATAGAAATGAAGAACAAGTCTATGTCATTGTTCTGGTAGAATTATGGAATCTATATTGGATATTGGGATTTTAAATAATTTGTTAGTAAATCTGAAATCAATCGGAATCTAGATCGATTTTAAACTTGTGATACCATCATCCTAGTAAGTCCGTGTTAGGGAGTAGGTTCCTATACTTCCTACATGCATATTTTTGTAACGTAGAAAATTCCTACTAACAAAATTTTTGTGAACAAGAGAATTGTCATTACAGTTGAGTTGTTTTGACGGAACGTTATTTTTATCAGTGACTTTGTAGCTCGTGCGCCATACCTCACAACGCCATTCCTGACTTCCCAGAACTGAGACACCCACAACCAGCCACTTATTTACCAAATCAAACCATTATTTATATTTTTTCATCCGGATTTTCGGGTAAACGACCGAAACGCCAACATCCAACGACATATACGTAGAAAGCTGGATGATATGTACGTACCAATGCGCCCGCGCAACCATGCCGAGCGTTTACGACTTCCGAGAATCCCC